GTATGTGTGTGTGTGCGTGTGCGTGTGCGTGTATGTGTGTGTGTGCGTGTGCATGTGTGCGTGTGCATAAATGTCTCTGCTCGTCCTGCTCCGGCTGCCACTAACATGTCATCCATGCCCCATGACAGCGTGCAGGCGTTGGCCGGGGATGGTTTGGGACTCTGAATACCCCTGGGCCAAACTGGACTGTAAGACTGCCTGCTTCCTCCACGCTCGGCATGAAACCCATTGCCCACCACCATCCATTTTACCTACAATCATTTAGACCTTTATCCTACCATGACTAGATGTGTGCATGAGTTATTTTTCAGTATTCTGTAGAACTCTCGATCTAACCCCACTCACGACCTCTCAACTTAAACCTACATCTCTAGAATCCATTCATTCTAACCCTAACATCGGCCATCCCAGCATGGCGTCTTGCATGACCTCACGCATCGGTGAGAAATGTGTTTTCAGAAGTGTTATGTGTTTCTGCCAGACATGTGTTCTTTCTTTTTTTGGTACAAATGGATAATAGCACATGCAGTTCACCTCTGGAGAGTCTGAGAGCGTCCTCGACCTCACCTGGCTCTGCTGCGTGTGTCTTGCTCTTTCTAACCCTCCCTAAACTGCAAAAAGTCTATCAAGTATTTTCTGTTGATACCATGTGAACTTAACCATTTTGGAGAACTCTTTTCGAATCTCTAAAAGGAGTGGAATGGGTGTCAGGAGACTTTACAATTCTTTTGGGAGAAATGTTGTGGCTTCTGCTGAGGACAAAGCTCAGCCCCATACAAGCTGCCTCTCGGTGCTCTTGAACCTTGACCCGGGGTCATCGGAGGCATGTTGCGTGGAGTTGACGGCTTTGGTGTGTCCACTGGTCTCATGTGATGCTTTACTGTGTTCTTTCCTTTTTAGATTAACATTTCTTAAAGGTCCAAATGCTTTGTGAAAAGGTAAGCTCAGTGTCCACTGGAAGCCAGCGGCCCCTGTACCCTCCGATCGTTTTTCTCCTTCCCTCCGCCTCATTTTTTATCATTCTGTCCTAACCAAGCTTTATTTACTGAATAAAAAGAAAAACTTTGGGAAAATAATAGGCTGTTTATTTAGGTGGACTGTCCTACTGTTTAGGGCAAGCTGGTAATTGTGAGTGATGCACGGTGGGGACAATTAGCACCTGACGAAGTAACAGCATGAACAATACGGCTCCTCTTCTGGCCCTCGCTTGTGCATGTGGTGTTCCTTTTCCTCTCCCCCAGCAAACACTTTTTTTTTTTTCTTTCTTCTCTTTATTTCCCCAATCCCTGGGCCACCCCTCCCCAGTTTCCTCCTGTTGGAGTGTGCCTGTTTGCCTGGGGCAGACTCTGAGACTAACACCTGCCGCACTGAAGACGTCTTTGTCATCCACAGCCTTGTTTGAACTGCTGAAACGGGGCCAATGAGACACAGGGTCATTCAAAGGGACTTTTCCTGTGCTGTTTCTATCTGAAAGATCAATCAATGATAAAGCATTTATGTATTTACCACTAGTTTCTTCTTTCTGTGATTTTCCATGAATCCATCCAGTTCAGTCCATTTAGAGAAATCAACCCAAGTATTGTTTGGCACAGTGGCACTGATAGTTGAAGATTATTTTAATGGATACTTAAGTGGAAGTCTCAGTGTGTGGTTTGCTGTAATGTTGTTTTCAGAAGAAAGGAACTCAAATGAGTGTTTTTGCTTTATTTTAAAAAGAATAAAGTCTTACTGTAGGAATGATCGCAACAATACGGGAATGCAGGCCTTCTGTGCCTGTAAGACCCAGCCCACATTTTAGTCAAGACCATTGGTTTTTTTACATTCATATGCAGATTGGAGAGTGCGTGTAGGGAGGCCTCACCTCCCATTGCTGTGTACAATGCACACACCCAGTGCTCCGTCTCAAGCCCAGCCTCTCTGCCTGTACGGGATGCTGCTGAGTGTCTGTGACTCCAGCCATCTGCCATTCCTTTTAGCGCCTGCAACTTGAGATGCCTCCGAAAAATGGCAGGAAATAAAAGGATAGGAAAGAAAATAGGCAACCAGATGCCATCTCAACAAAGCATCGAAGTTGTTTAAACTCAAGGCATGGTGCAAAGATGAATGGGGGGTCTCCAGTTTGTGCCTGGATAGAAGGCGTATAATCGCCAAGTGGCTGCTTACAATATTTAAATTTTTACCCACCTTACAGCCTTTTACCGTTGATCATGGATTCATGTTTTCTGAAAGGCTACAGCACCTGACAGTAGGCAGGCTCCACATGTTCAAAACAAGAGCACAATGTGATTTCATTCCAAACTCTGCCGTCATGCTGCACAGTCTGTATAGCGGGAGGCTTGACAACATGCACAACTTATTTGAAATGCATTGGTAACATGTAAGCATGTTTTAACCTGCTTGGCTTTCCTTTTTAAATGCCTATGATTTGGGGATTTTCTCGTGAAAAACGACAGCACTGCTCACCCTTTCTTTCTTGTTTGAGTATCTGTTCAATGAACAATAATCTTTTCTGAATTGCATCATGGGGGATCTGGGTCAGGGAGGCAAAAAGCCCTTGCATGACAAAGCATGGTGGTAAATTGAACCGGTTTGCAGAGCGCTGTCATATGGCGCAGTGTTAATTGTGAACACTGTGTCTGTCCCAGGCTCCTTCACCGGCAGCGTGAGCACCGAGGCCAGCTCAGCCACAGACTCTGTCGACCAGGTGTCGCCCACTCTGCCCCGTGCCACAAAGCACAGAGTTTCTGGAAAACTCCGCCGCTCAGCCAGCGCTGTAAGCAAGTCGTCTTCCTGATCCTCTTCAAACCCCCGGATCCTCGAGCTATGACTGCAAGACATGTTTTATTATGTATCTTACACACAACTGGATCTTTATGCAATTTTTCTTATTTATGTGTCAGTCACTATAAGTATGCCTTGGAAGAAATGACTGAGATGTCTTAAACAAACCATTCTTTCATCTTATGTTCTAACTGATGCAGTAAATATGTGGACTTAGACTGTTTTTATGCTGAAATCTCCTCTTGATCCATCCCATTCCCAGTCGGAGCACTGAATGACAGGTAAACGGTGAAGTATGGACTGCACAAGACATTTGTGTCAGTGGAAAATGTCTTTTATACTTCTCTTTGCACTCGCCGTGGCCCTAATCATTTTAATCTTGTTTTAATGTATATTTGTTGTAACATGTTTATGCTTCATCCTACTGCTGAAAGAAGTGACCTGTGACCCATTATTACACTGGCACGAAACAACATTCACTTTAATTAACGTGTGCTGCTAGGGCATTGTTTTTAAATTATTCTTATTATTCTGAACCCAGAGCGGACAATCAATGTTGTCTTTTTAACTTATGCTGAGCTGAAATTCGTTAGGGGCTTTTTATCACTAATTTTCTGTTGTAAATGAATTCCGATAGATTCTGTCATGTTTTGATTCATGCCACTCTGCTGGAATGAGAGAGTCTGCGTTTATAATTGTTTCGTGATCTCGTTAACATAGACTCATGTCCGGTAATTGGATAAGTTCCTCTTGTCTCTTTCCTCTGCTATCAGTTTCGTCCTGTGGATCGGAGACATCGACATTCCAACATTTCTGCACTAACTCTCATTGATGACTACTATTCTATGTTTGATCACTGTTGGCTTCACTGTACTTAAATTATTTTTGTTTTCTGTTGGTGAGATGTATAATATATAGCTATTTTGACTTGTCACTTTGTTCTTACGATTTCCCCGTGTTGTTGGATTCATCCCCAAATGCCTCAGGTGACTTTGAACCCACTATGTTTATCTTTTCCCCAATGATTGTGTCTGTGCCTCTGCCCCATCTGCTCTCTTCTCCCTCTAGTTGCCATGATCACTGCTTTTTAGTTTCCATTATCCATTCATTGCTTCTTAATTTTTCTCTCGCTCTGCCCTCTGATTCCGCAATCCCCACCAACACAACAACAACAACAACAGATGGACCAAATTGCGGCCCTGTGATCTTTATAAATGCTTGGGCTCCCCCTCGTCTTCATCTGAAAGCGTATAGTCACCAGCTCCTCCTCCTCCTCCTCTCTCGTTCCCATAATCTCCTCCCCACGCTGCTTCCAGGGGTCTCTGCAGGGCCACGCTATAGGGACTGGAGGTTTTTTAGCATGCCACCGCTCACAACTATCGCAGCCTTCCTAGTAACAACCACTCCCCCTGCCTGTCCTGCTCTGGCTCCTGTCGCCATGGCAGCCAGGTGTTCCAGGCAAACACAGGCGAACGTTCGAAGCACCTTTTTTCCGACCGCTCCACCCTGGATGCAATGCCCTGGCCCCATCTGTTGCAGCGTGACTACTATATGCCTTACTCACCGCCCCTCCCTATCACTTTCATGCCTCCTGGTACCTGCATGTGCTCCCCATGAGTGAAAAACGAAGGGGATTAGGAACAGTGACGGGTGATGAGAGAAAAATCCTCTTTTTGTGCTTTGTGGTTTTGAAGAATGTATAAAAGCATAGGCCTGGTGTCAAGGGGTTTTAATTCTCCCAAAGCCTCTAAAGCCAGGATGCTAATGTAAAGATTGTATAGATCATAATTGTGGAGGGGTCTGTAATCCCTTATCGGTGGGCTAGATACTAGAGTTGCTACTTCGACCAATCTATTTCCTATTATGTGAAGATAATGATGTAGATGTAGCCCATATGACATATATGTTTGTCTTTTTACTCTGCAAATTCTACATCGTGTCAAATGTGGGGGTTCTTTCCAAAAATGATATGAATGCCTGTACTTTATTCTTTGTTTCAGTCAGAAAAGCTTGAAGATTTCATCCGTATTTCTAAACATATCAATGTGTTTAAGGCTGTCTTTAATAGAAGTGTGAAAGTTGAGACATTTCATTAAATCAAATTGAAATTTTCTTTGCTATCTGTTGTTTTCTTTGACATCCCCATCAGCTAATTGTGTAACCTCAGAGCTTGTGGATTACTGTGGCTTGGTTTATACTAAAAACATGCTTCTGCTCTTTCACCGGGGCTTCCTGACCCTGGTCTGGCCCTGTAGCAGCAGCAGCAGGAGTAACCTGACCCTCCTCCATCTGTCACCCCTGCTGCTCAGTTCAGAGGAGACTATAGCATAATGGAAGCCCACCAGGAGGTACAGGTGCATGCTCTGCACCTCTGCGTACTGCCTCACCTTCCCACAGAAAGACACAAGGACAGCACTTGACTGTAATTGGAGCCTAAAACAAGTCAAAGAGCAGTAGCCTAATGTTGCCTCAATTTAGCAGCTCACTGCTAAAGTCAGGATTGTTTTTTTTTTCCTTTTTTGCCAGATCAGCAGGGGCTGCATGTTCAAGCACTCCTTTTTTCCCCATCTTCCAAAATGGATTTGTTACACCTTTCTCTTTTCAAAGAAGCCTGTCTCCCTATAGTATGCTGAAGCACAAGGCAGGATGCTGCTGTTCTTGGTGTAATATAATATTAATAATAATGAGCTCCTTTTTACATTTACATCTACCTTAAAAAGAATTGTACACAGCAGGATTAGATGTTTGGGCCTAAGCTGGAGTCCCTGGTGGTTGAGATTATCCGCGGTGCTAAGCAGCATAAGGCTAAAGTGAGCTGGCCTGATGCTTTCATAATGTAAAGTCTGATAGAAATCTTGGTGCGTCTTAAATCAGAGGTGGCCAACATAAATGCAGCTGCAGATGTTTTACTGCTGTAAAGGTGAACGCACACGCCACCCCTCTGTCCCCTGTCATGTCCCGACATGCATCAGTCTGGATTTATGTGAAGGCCCTAAGTGCTACTGTTTGTCACTGAGTGCGCGCATTGAGTCGATACGGCTATAACTTAAATCCACGATGTCTTCATTGATCTGACTGAAACCAAGAAGTTTCTGCTTTCGTGATAGGCCCGTCCTTATTATAAATATAACGTTGGGCCAGGTTTACAGGAATGACACGTGTCCTGTTGATATAAAGTTTAATTTACCTCGAGCAAAGTGGGCCTAAGGCTTTTCAGTTTGCTGCTTAAATGAATTAAGAGACATGGCTTATTGGACTTTGTGGGAAACAGAAGAACAGGCCCATCAGAGCAATGTTCTCATTTAATAGACAATAAAAACGTTTTCTTCTTTTGAAAATATTTTTTATTATTATTAATAGACAACAACAATATGCACATACAATCAAAGCGCTATAAAAGCCAACATTTAGGAAAATAACTTGTCCTTAAAAAAGATTGCATCTAAGGTAAGAGCTTTACGTTTTTCTTTCATTACAAGAGCTGTGAAGATTGAAGATTTAAACCCGACCCACGACATTAAACACAACTCATAAGTTTGACAAAAAAAATCAAATCAAATAAGAACACAAAACATTTTGGCTATACGACATGTAAACTGCCATAACAATTCACATAAATTACAACAAACACAACAATAAGTTACATAAAATAATTAGAATAAATAAATAAATAAACTTAATGATGAAAAATATTGCAACAATCTTCCATAATAAAATATGTGCCAGCATTCAAATGAGAGACAATCTAAGTTGACTTGTTTAAGGCAGTTGTACAGCGGGATTTGGGTGTGTAGACTATGTCACTAGGCATTGATACTAAAGGCATTTGTGGTTCTACTTAGCAGGGAAATTTCAGTCACGCTTCTCCACCACACAAAGTTGATAAATTCTGACTTTCACAAACAGCGTAAAGCTACACAGGTCGCAATCACAGTCGGTGAATTAGAAGGCTTTGATGGGGAAAAGGTTTCTGAGATTTAAGACATTTCTTAGGTCTAGAAGCTATAATTGAGCACACGTGCTGTTCTAGAAAAATATCCTTCAACAGTCAAACTAACGCTTTGTATTTTAACTTGACAAACTAATTTGAGAATAAAAATCTCAAAATAGGCCTAGAATTAAAGATGGAGAGAATCATTCAACAATCACTGATTGGCATGAAAAAGAAACCAACTACCACCGCCCTGCCCTTCATTGGCCTAAAGTTATGGCAGTGAGCACTCTCCCACTTCAGTTTGCTTTTTCTGCTTAAAGGCACGAGTTGAGTGTTGTCTCTAGCAGGCTGGGCGCACCGGCATCTGCAGCAGGATCACCTGCCGGTTCTCCGAGGGGTGGCACTTGTTTATGTGCCTGGTGAGCCCCGGGGAGCTGTACAGAGTGGCGGGGCAGTATTTGCAGGGGTAAATCTGGGACGAGTGCATGAGGCGCAGGTGTCTCTCCTGGGCTGCCCTGCTGCTGAAACTCTCCCCACACACCGGGCACAGCAGGCAGTCCACTGGACTCAGGTTGAGGGGGCTTTGGTTTGACGCTTCCTCTGAGGAGGAAGAGGATGGCATGGGGGGCTGCTCTGCTGCGCGCTCGGCTGTCTGAAAGTCCTCCAACACTTTCTTCTGCAGGGCCTGGTGTCCCATTATGTGTTTTCTTAGGTATGCCTGACGCTTGAACCTCTTCCCGCAAAACTGACAGTCGTAAGCGCCGTCTTCAGAGCCGGACTCGGACAAACCGGGGCTCGGGGTGTCCCTGTCACTTGTGTCTTTGGCTTCATCTGACTTGACACCCAGAGGAGGCGCTTTGGCCATGTCAGGCTTGATGCCCTGTGCGGGGGGCAGCGCAGACGCGGCAGTGGCCCGTGGTTTGTGCCAGCGGCGGTGAGAGGCGAGATTGGCCGGGCAGCTGAACATCTTATCACACTCGGGACAGCGGTACTCGACACGCACGATCCGAGAGCATTTGTGTTGTGCGAGAGAAAAGGGATCCGCGTACGCCTCTTTGCAAAGCTGACACACAAACTCTCCCAAAGGCTTGTTTCCCGCCACGGACTGTGGCCGTGGCTTCATCTCCACGGGGCCCTCTTTGATTTTGAGCCCCAGCACTGGAGAGGTCGTCACCTCATCCTCAAAGTTGAGCTTCCTGATGGCTTTGGGTTTTTTGGCAGCGGGTTTGGGCTTACGCTCGGTGGCCTCCGCGGGTCTTTTGGTGGTTAGGCGGTTTGGTGCTGGGAGGCTGCTACTGCTGCTGCTGCTGGTGGAGGTGGTGCCGCTGCGGCTGCTGTTGCTGGTGCCGATTTTCAGATCAACCGGAGCATAGAGCAGGTGGTCCAGGCCGGAGAGGGATGCTGGAGTGGGGAATGACTCTGCAGAAATCGGTGAGCCTAGATTGAAACCCCGCTCGAAATAGCCCCGCTCATGCTCCTTGCTGATTGGTCGGGTGGGGCTGTAGAGAGCTTGGCACGCCGTCTCGGGGTTACCAAACTGGGCCGGCTTCTCCATCCTGGACACGGGCGCGTCCGCTGCGGTGAGGAACGCTCGGTCTGTACTGGGCGCCATGGACAGCGGCGGGGAGGGGTCTGCATGACCCGGCAAGGCAGCTGAGGTGGGGGGCTCCTGGAGGTCATCCTCTTCTGGGCGCGTCCTGTAGGAAACGTGTGTCGATTTCTTGTTTCTTTTGACCAGGAAGCCTTTGGGCATGTTGGCGAGTCGCTGCTGAAAGGCACTTTGGGGATGTGAATGATGTCTCGAGGATCCAGGTTGGTTCAAATTGTGGCAACAGAGATGCGTGTGGGACTTAATCTCCCCCGTATTCGATCCTTCTGTTCCTGAAATGTTTTCGTCTCTAAGGCATAGCTCCACTCTTTTTATGCCGGAATGATGCTATTGTTCTGCCCCCCCTCTTCGCCGCATCCCCAACCAATCGGATGAAACCAAGATCCCAGTGGATTTGATTGTGGGAGGGCTCAGAGCCGGGCTTTGGTGGATTTCGTTGGAGGATGTGCAGATAGCTCAGCAGATGCACTGGCGGTTTATTACATTAATGTGTGCGCCTAGCCCCTCCCCGGCGCAGGCACACGCCGGGACCCTCCTTTTTACGGTCTGATGGGCCCCTATACAAATGCACACGTGCCACGGCTTTGTGGCTCTCCTTTGGGGGCCCGATGCTGCCAAAAGGAAATGTGTGTCACAACTACAACTTCAGAATTCGACGATTAGTTCATATATAGGATGTTTCTTCAGGAATGTGCGCGGCTATGTTTCAGAAGTGAAATGTTTTGGAGCATTTGAAGATGTTTTTTTCTTTTCTTTAATCTACAACAGTTTAATGACTATTATGCGCCTCTTGTTCCTCCGTTGTTTATTCTGTCTCATTACGCACAACTTTTACGCACAGCCCATCGCAGCTCTTCACTCATATTGGTTTTATTTCCCTAAAGTAAACATTGTAGAGGGAGTGTTTCTTTATTTTGGGGCACGTGTCTGTCTCGATAGTTTAACTCGACATATAAATCAGACATCTCGGTGCATACATAAGTAATAAGAGCCCTCTGGCCTTGCTACACAATGGCCACGTCTGCCCCGTTGTAGAAATCCCTGGCTTTTTTTGAAGACAAATTGACCTCTTAACTATGACACAGAACTGGACAATCTGGTCCACACGACACGCGCGCTGACGGATCCAGGGCTCCAGACAAAGAAGAGCACCCGTCCTCAGAGCTTAAGTATTGGACTGACCCACTGCACATCACACATATTAAGAGCAACTTCCACAATGTTGACAAACACTTTCATGGCCTATCTGACATTTTTTACATTTAGAGTCCTGCTTTAACCCTTTCCCCCAAGAGTACTAACAGAAGTTTTCAATGAATGTCTGTGTCTCTACTGAACATTTTTGTAGAGTGATTGTGAATGCAGCTAATGTATAGGCTGCACTGTGCCTGGAGGGTGCACGCTCCTTTCAGCCGCAGACCAGGGAGGAATTAATCTCCATCGTCGTACATTGTTCTCCTCATTTGCATAAAGCTGCAGTATGACCAAGTCAAATAATTACACAATCGGAGCTGAGCCGCAGGCCTGCCCCTTTGTGAATAGGCCTGTGTGTCCCGGTGCCTCTCACCTGCCGGCAACACCGTTATTTAGTCTACAACTGTGTACGTGTGGAAGTCTGCAGGAGATTCACCCACTTGTTTGCAAAGCTTATCTTGTAACATAAGTTTGATGACTTAAACCATTTACTTACTATAATTCCTATGAACAGTCACGAGTAAGCAAATCGTTAAAACTGTGTTTTTATAAATCACTTAAAACACATTTATTTATGGTCTGCAAGAGTTTTTATGTATTAAGCATTCGCTTAAAGGTTTTTATTGTATGTCTGTTTGGCTTTTTCTCTTGTTTACCGTTCCCTAAACCTTTGATGGCATTTGAACAAGTTCCTCTTTTCAGACCATATGTGACGGACGCGTGGGTCGCTGTAGCTGCAAACAGGCCTGCGCATGCGCGTGTTTGCTCAGTGGCGCGTGCTGCTCTGCGCCTCATTAACATACAGCTGCAACTTCCCCACAGCCTCCAACATGTCGCCTGTCCCGTGTAGGATTCCAATTGTTGTCCCCATTCCATGCAATTCTTTTCAGCCCATTGTTATTGCACATGCGTAAGTATTTGTGGAAAAAGTCGATATTCGAACTCGTATCTTGACACATAAAGAACAAAATAAGCCTATGTTCTCAATGTTTTTCAATGTGTGTATGTATAATCAGGCCTATATTAAAAGTTAGAAAAATAACAAACATAACAACTAAATTGTCCTGCATAAGCTTGTATATGTGTGCGATTTCGGATGAGGCTGGAATGCGCCTATATAAATCACCCCAGTATACAGAGATTTCACCAATCTGCTCTTGTCAAACATTAACCACGTTACCAGGGAGATGCGTGGAGCAGTCAGTCATTACACAGTGATTTGTCCTCCCCACATATAGAAAAGCGGTGCTTCTGTGAAACTTTCAAAAGACTGATTGGCTGCATGCGCTTTCACAACTTGGGTTAATTTTAAAAAGGGATACGACAGCGCTGTAATTGGTGTTCACTTCATGTCCACCTTGAATGCACTGTCAATCAATTATTGTAATGGATTAGCCGAGGTCCTGTTTTGGCAGCTTGTAATCTGATAGAGAGTTCTTTCAGCACCATGGAGAGAGCCAGCAAGGGACCCAGATTTAATCAGCCCAGCCCTGGCCCAGGCACATACGGGGCTTCAGCCTTTGTCCTGTCTGAGAGTGCGCACACACCAGCGAGACAGCACTGTCCAAACACGACCAGAGTGACACTGGAAGCATGTCGTTTTGGTTACGTTTTACCGGCCATAGTGAGGAAAAGCACTGCATCCATCTTCTTAAACATTATACAGTACACTATCAAAGCTAGGGTGCCTAACTTTTTTGTTTTTTGAGTAACACATGTAGTTTGTCCGGAAACAGAATATAGGTTTGTAAAATGTTGTGTAAGTCAGACCACAACACACAGTCTTCCTATTATTAACATTTTCAGCTGCCCTCCATAATAACTCCAACTAGGCTCTATGGATTGTTATTATGTCACATGAAAGCAACCTAATAAAGTACAAAATATAGTATGCTTTTAACTTGGAGACAGGAAAAAAACTAATTAAAAAGGATTCATATTGACAGTACAAGCTGTAAACGCACATTATTTAACTTTTGTCTTTCAGATGTTTTTTTTTTTTTCTACAGTGTTACAATGTATTGTGAGAACACTGTGAGAGAATATTGTGAGAACATAGTCAAAGCTCACCTACACCGGAACAGAGGGGGTCAGAGTTGCTAATGGGATTTCTGTCCCTGGTCCGTCTCTGGTCTACACTAGTGTCTTTCAGAATGTATTTTTGAAGCTTGAGTGGCCCAACTCTGAGCAGCCAGCAGAGGTTACAGAATCAGATGGCCTTGTGAGTGTAATGTCCCTAATGACAATGACCAGACCTTGGTTTTTATTGAAATGTATCATTATTAAACATGTTTGGGAGAAATGGAAAAGCTTTTTTATAAACGATAAGCTTTATACAATGATCTAAACTGTTTTAAATCCCAATAAATATTTTTACAATATAAAGCACATTTTTCTTATGCTATTTCACTGTTTTTAATGGAACTGAAAACTCTAAAAACATATGTCCAAACAGGGCTTGGATTAGTTTCCATGGAAGTGCTTTTCTTTTTGCTTCAGAGAATGTTTTACGGTTGTAACGTTTCTACAGAATCGGACTGGTGGCTTTAACTTCAGAAACTAAGACCTTTGCCATGTGCCAATTCAACATTTCATAAACTGGCTTTAATATGGAAAACGACAATACAAAAACTGCAAAGCACAAAAATCCTGGATCCAAACTGTGATCCGGATTACCTTACAAATGTCAGCATTTGTTTCTTGTCCCATAGCTTTACTGGATATTCATTCAAATTTGCACTTATTTGTTTCTTAGTTTGTTACAAAGCAGCAGATTATTCTAATGTTTACTGGTTAGTTCACTGTTTTAAAAATAAATCATTCAAAGGCACAACATAATATCTCTACAGTATATGTACCTTTTACCCCAACAGTCCTGAGGTCACAGATCTGTTTTAAAAGAAGATAAGTGGCACATTTAGCCCCAAGTGAACCAGAGTTCACTTCCTAAGTGTGAACGCACACACCAAATGTTTAATCTGTGGTCCCCGGGGCATGATTTCCTCATAAACAACATCAGTGTCTCTCCATCATGTCTGCAGTTGTGTTTTGGGGCGGGTTCTCTGTCGGAAAGCATGCCCTGGAATGTTAAACACTCATTCCCCTCTGGGGCTGCCGAGGTGGATAAAGTGATTGTTCTATCTAAGGGCTGATTAAAGCGCCTGTGTCTCTTCCCCTCCTGCACCGCTGACGTCCATCGCAGTCATTTCTGTATTCATGAGCACGGACCTGGCAGGAGGAAAGCAGGAGCGGATGCCATATTACTGTTAATAAGAGCAGCAGGCTACCACATTGGCCGCTACAGGTTTCCCCCACTGGTCCAGCTCATTCAATTACTTCATGAGAGTTCTCGGAGGCACAGCTGCACTATAGGGGCGAAGAGCAGCAAATGGAGGTACATTCATACTTCCTCATAGACACAGGCTCCTGCACACAGCTGTAGGGTACGTACGTATGGACTGAATTATAAAAAGTTGAACCAATCAGTGATTTGGAAAATCTAGAAGCATAATACATTTCCCAGGTTAGTATCACAATATGATGGCAACATTTCTGTGAACACAGGTTCCATAGATTTTACACACTGTGATAAACAGTTATTGTGAATGTCACGTAATATGCATGCTTCTAAAATGACAGAACCTTTGATACAAATCTCCAAGTCAGGAGAAAAATGCAATCATGCTCATGAGAGGCTGTGCATGAGGTCAGCGCTATCTTGATGAAAGTGGAGACAGCAAAGAAAAATGGTTTGTGGCAAACCTAATGAGGCCTATCTTTTATCCTGCAAGGCTGCTCAATCTCTCCTTTAAAATATTAGTCAGGCTCAAGTCACAACCCTCACCCCTAAAGTTATGACTATAGATGATCCTATTTCTGTCCATAATGAAGTATAGTAGTCTAAATGCAATCACGTGAACCCCATCAATAACAACATTGTTCTTTAAATTTAAATAAGACAAAGAAATAGAAGAATATTTCATGTAATAATACTTTATGCTGTCCGTGGTCCTGAAACGATTGTAGACTTTTCAAGAACTGTCGGATATCATATCAACAGACGCAGAATAACTATTGTTTTGTGTTCTTTGTTGATTAATACTGTATAAATACTGTATACAGTATATGTATACAGTATATGTTTACAGTATATGTTTACAGTATACAGTAATGGACTGGAGTAATGGCAAGGCCATGGTTCCACAGAAATAAGTCGATACATGTTGTGGAAGATTAAAACAAAAGAGAAAACATTTCTCTGTAAACAAGCGGAAGGAAGTGTGGTCTGGTTGTTTGTCTGAAATGCAAATAGGTCTTTTAGTGTTTGATAAAAGAGAGTGAGGACATAAATATATACATTTATATTTGAATGAATCGTATAATCACACACATAATATCCACTCAAATCACATGAATTATTTTCATTTGAATTAACTTTTTCCTGGGGAGAGGGAATACTGCAGAAATATCCTGCAGTCATGGGAAGGAAGTGTGGGCGAAGTGCTTCGTCACAACCTTCAGTTCAATATTTACAATTAGAATCACCTCATTAATAATGATAATAATAATCACAATAACGCATTTGTTTTTTATAGCACTTTTCAGGACACAAGACACTTCATATGTCATTATTATTTCACTCATACACAGTGAGCAGCTGCCCCGGGGCACACTGACAGAAGCAAGGCAACCAGTATGTGCCATCAGCCCCTCCAACCACACACCAGACTCATTCTAGTGTCTTGCCTAAGGACACAACAACAGTTGGTCACTTTACAGCTGCAGCCGCCACTTTAAACAAATGTAAATGTGCACTTTATTGTCCCTGTAGGGAAATATGTCCTCTGCATTTGACCCATCCTCGTGCCACTAAGCAGTGGTCAGTGGTCGCAGCAGCAGTGGTCGCCGTAGTAACAGTGCCCGGGAACCCATCTCCAGATGTTGAAGCTCGGCTTGGTCAGGACTACCGGAGCTGGAGGATTTTACCTATTGAGCATATTTTCAGTGGTAGGGGAAACCGGAGCACCTGGAGGAAACCTACGCAGACACAGGGAGAACATCAGAAAGGCCCTGTTTAACTTTCCAGCCCTCCTTTGACACCAAGTATTTGATCATAGATAATACATTTTGCAATCTAATTATCTTGCAAAAGTAAAAAAAAAAAAAAATTCTGAAAAAGCAGAGACAGAAACCACAAAATCATGAGCTTGGAACTTTTTCAACTTTTCATCACATTCTGGTATAGGCGTTTTTAATTTTTTTGTAATTCTATAGCTCTGAAGTCTGTATTCTATCTTAGACATGTAAACAATAAATGAGCTGCCCTTTCTTCTGACCTTTGATAAAGGAATGCCATATTTCCCAAAACAAAGATGAGCCTGAATTGGTCCACTCTGCGTTTGTTGGCATGATTTGCATTCTTTGATGATTGTGCTGTTTCCTTGATTATTAAATGATCGCCCTAATTAGGCCGCATAATGGGGTTAATCAGACTCTGCTCATCACACTTATTACTATTCCTGCAAAAAATGAAGGAAAACGATACCCTACTTGATTAATTATATCTGCCTTTTCATCACCAGCGCATCCATCCCCTCCCCCTGAAATTAATATCATGTTGTAAATGGAAGGAAGGAGCTGGCCGGACACAGACAGATGAAAGATTTCACTCAAATTAATTAAGCGCTAATTATGCAGCAGGAGTTGGGTGCAGTTTGCATAATGAGAAGTATCAAAAGAGATCAGTGGCGGAGTGGGGCTGCAGAGTTTTCTATACGGCTCTGTGATGAGGTGCAGTGGATCAAGAGCCCGGAGGAGAAGAGGCTTGGAGCACTCTGAGGCTGCCGTGGTGAGCCCGGCGAGTGCTTTGTTTGGTTTGTCAACAGCCTTAGGAGCAGAAGCTTTCTCACTTGTGCCACAAAGGCGTATTATTCCACCGTGCGTCCCACTCGGGTTTGAGATTATGCATTTGTCCCGCGGTACAGGGCACACCCTTCTAATTGTGCATATGTATCTCAGAGTACATGCAGGTTTGAATGCGGTTCAGAATGTGGGATTTGTGGGAGTCTTGGGCGATTAGAATGTGGTTCAGAAGTCCTTTTGCTTCTGTTTTTTTGACAAGGTGAAACTGATGCATGACAGACTTTATACTTTGATCATTGAGAAATATCAAACCTTTATTTGTATAATGTACAAACAATATGGCTCACAGCAAAAAAAAAACTAATGTCAATATTAAAATGGACTTGGCCATGATCATCAGACTGGTACTTGTGTGCGATGAGATATTTGTACTGTATATTTACAGTCTATGGTTAAAAGCCCCCGATCACTTAAATGCACTCTAACTATTTAGATTTTAGATTTTCAAATGTTAAAAAAATTGTGGGGATTCACAAAAAATGTGGTTATACGTCCCGGGAAATTAGAAATATTATTTTGTCGGAATTTATTCGTCTCAATTGTATGATTAGGAGACATCCCCAGGTTAAGGGGTTGGGATTAGGAACAGTTTGGGTTGGGATTAGATATGATATTTTTTGTCCTTCACATAATATACAACATAACTTCACTGCAGCAGATTTTTACATGGAAATACATAGATTAGAATTATAAGGCTGTCAATTAGAAGTTATTTTGATACTTGATCAATTGGTTGATTTAATCTTTTGATGAATGAATTAGTCAGATCCTGAAAGCTCAGTGATTATTGGATTTTTCATAAATTTTTTCAAAACCAAGTGATGTCCCTGGAAAACATCTTCACACAGAGGACTTGTTACACATTGGGTTGCATGATAAAAACAAAAAAAATCTACAAATAAGTAAAACAAAAAAACCTTTTAAATGATTCATTGATTAATCGATTACTAAATGAAATAAAAACTATTTCAATAATTGATTAGTTTAACTTGTTACAGCTCTAGATACCCAAACAATCTCCAACTCATTCAATCTATACAATGATAGCATATAATATTGTATTATCTGATGAGAGTGTGGTGTAGTAGTAATAGTCGTAGTTTCATTTCTTCTGCCATTTTGTACATTAGATCTCAGGTCAAATGTTTTCAAAGATCGCATACATTTTACAATAAAAAATAAAAAATAAAAATAAACGTGTCTATTGGGAGTTTTGGTGCTAAATCCTGCCTGACCGAAAAGGCTTTAGGCTGAAGTCATCGCAGAAAATCCAAGTTTTTCTTCCTTTTCAACATATTTTAAAACCTTTCCCAACAAAGCACTTCCTTATTGGTTTAAGATTAAGAGATCCTTTATTCGTCCCACAGTGGGGAAATTTCAGTGTTGCGTCACAAGTTACAGAACAGTAGGAATGAGGAGCACACAACACAAGATAAGTGAACAATAACACCATATTAATTCAAATTAAACAAGATCTCTGACTCTAGTATCAAATATATATAAGTATAAAATCTCTATCTTGAACATAATAATAATAAAGAAGTATTATAAGTATTAATTATATAAGCAACAGTGTGATTATTGATCCAAAACTATCCGTTATATTTGCCCAGCTAATACGCCAACATATATGGTAAAAATATATAGCTGTACAATCCTGTCCCCTGCACTTTAGCCGGTCGTCAGGCTGCATCCTCGCCCCAGGGAGACGCACAGAGCTCATTACCTCCCACTCTGATTCTTACCGTGGTTAGGGACTGTCTGCTTACGGAGCCAAAGCAGGATTAAAGACATGAAATGCACGACTAAAATGCCTGTTTAATCAAAGCCACTGTGTAGTATATGGATGATTTGTGGTACATTCACAGCAATCATGCATGGGGTAATCAGCAGACCCAACTCCTCACTGGTTTTCTGGCGCTCTGAGGAGAATTACAAAGACTATGATTAGTTAATCAAATGAAGCACCCACTGCCCTTTCTTTATTTGTGTATACACCTGATCTAAATGGAAATTGTGTGGTCGAGACACTTCCAGGAGGACACATCTACATGAGAAAGATCCTACTTCAGTCTGCGGTGCTGAATGCAGAAAAGGATCTTTCACTCCGAATTGGCCTGTTACGGCATTGTGGCGACTTATACCATATTTGTTGTCAATGATGCCTGTTGTGTAGTAAATCGGAACAAAACATGTGCCGGGAGCGCTTCAAACAGGAAGCACGGCACGATGGAAGAGAGAATTTCTTTTATGATTATTATCCGCGGAGTGTGTGGACGGAGTGTGTGGATGAAAATACAACGTTGCTTGAACAAAGGTGCTTTTTCTGATATTGAATTTACTGATTTGTTATCCTTCAGTGACTTTTGATATTGTGTTACTGTGAGCGGCTTCGCAATCAAGGAGAAAAGAAAACTACTCGATGACTTCCTTCCAGGGTTGGCAGACTTGACCCCCTTGTCTGTCCGGTGCTTTTGGGCGTCTTAACAAAACAACTCAAGTTCTGACGGGTTAGATTTGTGAGCAGCAATTTCCAAAGGTTTTCAATGGGATCTAGGTTTGAACTTCTTTAAACGTTCCTTTGTAGTTCTGGGTTTATGTTTATGGCCGTTGTACTGCTGTAAGGTCCGCCTCAGCCTCAACCGTTTTTGTGTAGTTGGCTCGAATCCCGGTTGAAACAGGGTCTTTCGGACTGAACTTTACATGTTCTTCCCGTCTCTGCATTCAAGTTCAAGTTATCTTTATTGTTTGATTGGTTTTGCAGCAAACAACCATCTAAAAACAGGCAGATACAGTAAAATCACAACATTGAAGAAAACAAGAACAAGAGAGGATGTCACAATGCTAACTTTCAGTGCAAATATTCTGTAAAGTGCAAAAGTTTGTACAAAGTGCTATGTGCTGTTAAGGTGCTTCACAGCTGTTGGAATAAATATAGTAGGATTCCTCTGGGTGCTCCGGTTTCCCCTACCACTAAAAACATGCACAGATGGTCTGAATGTAACGTGTGAATGAGAAGGCTTTGATGCACCAGTGTGTTCGGCGTCTCGCTTTCTTCATCCCCGCATGTGCAAAAATAAAGTGGATAAATATTTGAACTCTGAACATTGTAAAGTGCTGTGGGAGACCTTGGTCTGTAAAATGCACTATATAAATAAATATTGCTTACCTACTCACTACAGGTCAAAGAATCAAACCGAAAACTTCCCTGCTCCCAGCGAAAAACTACAGCTCCACAACATGATGCTCCCCCCCTCCTTCATATTTGACACTGTGGATAGTATATTTTTTTGTGAATGTAAAAGAGCAGCTTTAGAAAAATATTATTTGGGCCAAAAAGTGACATTTTGAGAGCAACAAAGCAGCATTTCTTGATATATATTGATGTATCGTTCTTCAATGACTTTTGATATCCGGTGACAATAGTAAGGAGAAAAGAATATGCCTCCTTTGGTTGGAGATGACTTCCTTCCAGGGGTGGCAGTTGACCCCCTCGCCTGTCCTAAACCTCTATTATGTGTTAGTGACAGCAGTGCTTTGGGAGGCTGGGACCCCCCCTTATCAAAGATACAGGGTCGTGGTCATCCCAATCCATCTCTGTCTACCCCGGGATTGATTGTGATTCAGCGCGCGGGGCAGGAGATGGTGGGGTTCTTTTCTGATGGCGGTGTATAAGGTGGGACCCTTTGACTCCCACCACATGGCAGGCAGAGGCAGGCTTGTGCTGAGGGGTCACGGGCAGCTGGTGGGGGGTGGGAGGGGAGCAGAGGGACAGGACGCATCAGATAGGACGTGTCCCAAATAAAAGACAAAGCCATTAAAAGCTGAAGGCTGAGTCTATCACGAGGACCATCCATCACACATTAGGATCTAGGATAAAGTGCAACAGTGTGGGTGTTTGCAGGACTGAAGAAAATGACTGTGTGAATTATCATGGTTTTCTACTGAGGAGAGATGTTTCCTTCAAATTATGTTTCCATACTTTGTTCTATGATAGGCATTAAAACGCATCTATATAAAAAAGAATCTTATGTCTTATGCCCTGTTATCAATCTCATGTGTTTCTTTAAACACCGGTTTACCAGAAGAAAAAAAAAGCAAAATTGTATGTTTTGGTCTTGTCTTAATGCCACTTTAGTTTCAATTGTCTAAGTCTCACCAGAACCAGCCAGACCCCATGTTTTTCTTACAATTTAAAGTGTATTTGAATTGTATGCATTTAGAGGTGTAGGGTCAGAGGGTGTTTGGGCCTGTCTTCATATAAACGTTTAAATTTGTAATATCACCACATGAGCAAAAGAAATCGAGAGATGAACCAGGTCTCAGTCAATGATTTTTTTCCAGACGCATTTGTTAAAATATTGTGGGAAAAAGTCCCTAAACCCTAAAAAGTGAAGTTATCATGTGTTTTCAAATAGTAATGGAATTGACCAGATGGCTGTAGTCTCCAAAAATCAAGAAATATTTTTGAGCGGACCGATAAAAAGAAACCAATGGAATTTGTTCAACCAATGGGATGCGTTTACCCCTTTCACCCTCTTCCTGTTTCCTCGCGAGTGCACCTGAGTTATCGGATATTCTAAAACCTAAAATGGCTGAACAGAAAAGGCCAATTTCACATTTGCCATCCACGCTCCCTGTTCTGACAAAGAAAAGAAAATTCTGGATGTTTGGTTTGGTGGAGAGGAGAGGGGAGGGAGGGGGGAGTGGTTTCGAGTTGGTGCTACGGCTAAGCTAACAAAATCGCTAACTGCACTGTGGCAGTTAGCGATTTTGTTCAGTTCAGTTAATAAGTCCTTAAGTGGTGACTGGTTAAGTTTAGGTGTCTAAGTAAGATGGTTGAGGTTAGGGTTAAGGGTTGGGGTTATTTTATGGGAATGGCTGGTTAAGTTTAGGCATGAATAGGTAGTTTGTTATATTTACTTCCGCTTCCGTCCCGATTCCGTGACGTGATCATGGGTCTAGTGCTGTGTATAGTCAAACTGAACTTCTGGATGAATCCGGTTTCCGGGACAAATCCGGGAGTGACATGCACCTTTAATAGCACGACACAGGTGAAGCTCGAGTCCTGACGAGAACCAGGAAGTACGATCACATTAGTCCAGGTCTCTGCTTCCTGTGCCTCACAGAATAGACTTTAAAGTAGCTCTGTTTGTTACAGTCTCTCCATGGCCTCGCACCAAAGTACAGTACATATGAACCAGCCCAGACTCTGAGGAGCACAGGGACTAGTCTCCTCTTAGTGCCAGAGTCAGAACTAAACATGGGGAGGCGGCGTTTAAGATTCGTTCGGCCTGGATTAGGAGAATGTGAAGCAGGCGTCTACTCTGGCGGTTTTCAAGTGTTAGTAAAAAACAGGTCTGATTAGCTGTGCGTACTACTGAATTATTTTATTTTTACTCTTTTTAGTGCATTGTGGCTTACGATTCCAAATGTTTTAATGGTTGTGATCTTATTGTGTGTTGTATGCCCTTTGGTATGTTAATTGTATTTTTTCATGCTTATGATTTATGCTTGATGTGATATGGGTGGTGAGGCACTTTGTGCTCATTGATTGATTGATTGGTGGATTGAAATACAAAATGCAGAGAAAGTTGTGAATTTCTCAGCTAGAATGTTACAATGAAATAATACTAGTTTGAAATCCAAAGTTGTGTGCAAGAACAGAAAAGAACAGATTGCTGTTTGATAATAAAATAATCTCTAAATCTCTTTAGGAGCACCAGTCTTCTCTCTGATTCCCAGTTGAGGTCAGGCGCTGGCTGCTCTTGTTAAGCCTGGCCTTGGTCTCGCTCCACTGGTCTGCTCCGCCAGCTTAACTCCATAATCAACCTGAGGGGCTTCATTTCGCACCATTTCTTTTCATTCTGAGACAGGTGGGATCCTTCAGTGTAAACATGTGCCTCAAAACTCACCATTGAAAGTCAAATGCACACACATACTATTGCTACTATTCCAGACCATACTACATCCATGGATGATTCACCTGAATGAAAAATCAATCAGAGGAAGTTGGTTCAGTCCGGTGAATATGTAGCCAGTAACCCGATCCCCTGTTGACAGAGCAGGGACAGGTGCTCCGGACAAACTAATCCATACGTGCATGTCGGCCACTGGTCATCCATTAGGCCAGATTGATTCTGAGCTTTAAGAGAGTCCTCCTTTGCCATCCCAGGCCCGCTTCAAACCTCCCTGTTGCCATGATACCAAATTGCAGAATTTCAAGATGGCCTGTCCTGGAAAGTGAAAGGAATGTCCACTTTTGTCAGCCCAATAGTAAAAACATGTGACCACAAGAGAACTTCAAAAGTCATATTGGATTGACAATAAAAAGTAATTAATGTGGTTTATCATTTATATTTCTATACGGCACCAAGACACATCAATCTGGAATGGCAGTATGATAATGGAAAATTGTGATAGGCTTTGTGGCCATTCAAGAAAAGTAGGCAAGGACCTATCTAATAAATAGGCCAGAATTCACTTTGATTGAATGTTATTACCATTCCATCCCCTGAACCAAAATGAAATGCCAGATAAAGGTTTACAGGCTGGAGCCAGACAGCTGCTCTGCTCTGATTGGTCCACACAGCAGCGGTAGTCTCACCTGTTTTCCGCAGCCCAGTGCATGGTAAACAGCCTCCGAGGGCTGTGGGGAGGAGAGCCCATCTGGTCAGCAGCATTAACAACCATCTCTTTAACAATAGCTTCCAGGAAAAGGAGAAGGGCACAACAGGCCGTATCAGCCAATAAAAACAAGCTATGCATGACATTTAGCGCCTGATGCAGGGCTTTGCAGGTTGCTTTACAGGTTACCCACTGTCCGCATCAAACCCTGCTAATAAAAGTGCAAGCAATCTCCTCCCAGGACCCAGGAGTGCTGCGTGTAAAGCAGTCTCTTGTGTTGAATTCATAATTCAGTGTAAAATACGGATGGGCGCAAAGCAGAAAGGGAATCATTGTTATGCTTGTTTGACATGAATACATGCGAGATGAGAGAACCCTATTGTTTAACAGACGTATTTATGAATGAATGTGTTATATTTGCATTATTATTATCATTTCATTCATGAATGTAGTTATTAACTCAGTCTGTGGCTGATCAAACCTTTCGCAGACTTCAGGGCCAACGATTGAAAACCAGTCCACGGGTTCAACCGGGGTCTGACTGACAACAGCACCCTCTGGTGTCCTAAAGTGAAATCAACATCAAGAACTTTTGGCTTCATGTAGTGTAAAATAGGATTAGTTCATAGTCTATGCTTAGGCTGCACAATGGTTGAACTGATTGATTTGGCAAAACATTGACTAGAAGTAAAACCTATAATACTCTGCGACTTATTTTATTATTTCAGCTTTGTTTGGATTTTTTTTTTGTATTCCCTCTATAAAAGAGTCAAAGAAAAGCACTCGATGAGAAAGAGCTAAAGAGAGACAAAGAGAGATGTGAGAGCTGAGGTTTGGGGTGGAGGCTGAACAGCCAGTTCTGGCCTCTCTACAGCTGCTGGCTCTAATGAGCATAATTACCCTGGTAATAACATTAGCCTATCTGAGGGAATGGAGGGGAAGGACAAGTGGTTGTGTTTGCGGCCATGCATGTGTGTGTATGTGTCCATGCTATCTCACTTGCGGTCTCATTCCCTGGATCTCAATATCTCTTTGTTAGCCCACAATAATTGTATTTGGGCCTCATATCCGCCATATCAGATTCTAGTTTGTACAAGGTAATTAGCAGAGGAAGGGAAGCCTCCACACCAGGAGCACAAATGCCCCCATGACATCATCCCGGCTCCCCTCTGCATCAGAAGCCTTTCTTCTCCTGCTCTCATTCAGACACACTTAAAACGCTCTGAATGGGGGCCAAAGCGTAATGGCAGGTGAAGGATGATGACATTGAAATGGAGGAGATTTGGGATTAATAAGATAAAGAAAAATGGCTACATTTGCGAGAGATAGGGCTGATAAGGGTCTGGGGAAGTGACTTGGATGAGATGGAAGGGCTGTGTTTCACCGCAGGCCTGTAATCTCCAATCAGCTTTGACTAACAGGCAGCAGGGGAAAGTTCCTCCGTGTTAATGCAGCACGCTATTGAGACGGAGGCAGCTGGGAGCCCAGGATGAGGGGAGGATTAAATGGCACTCAGGTAGAGAGAGAGCTGAAGGGACTCAGATGGAGATCCAGGGATGATGGTCACACCCTCATATGCTCCCAGCTACTCACTTTTCCACAAATTCAATTCAGCATAGACTTCTGACGCATGAGGTGTCAGCAATCAAATACAGCTTAATGTTGTTGTGATGTGTGTAACAGTTTAAGCCTCTAAGTGCATTTCATGTTTTACAATAAAGCTGTGGTTCCTCACTTTGAAACCACAAAAACTGTATCTATGTAATAAAATCCATCCCTTTATCTCTCTCTAAACAGTTTTGTTCCATCACTAATTTTCAGCATGTATTTTTGTCATTTCTAGGTTTCAACCAGCTCTCAGCCCAAATAATCAAATTGTTACTGGGCTCTTTCTGCTAACGATAAGATACATTTTTAAAGTTTTAGTTTTAGTTTTGCAACCCTCTACACAGTATTATTTACAGCTTTAACTTTTCTTTCAAAACGTATCACTGATTTATTGGCTCACGTCTTTTACTGTCACAAATATGGTTTTAGGCTATTGATTATAATTGTAATAATGTGTATTTTTGTGTGCCTGCCCAGTGTCTACAGATGGAAAATGGCAGTAATCTGGTGGTTCTAATGGTTTAATAAAAATATGACCTTATTGTGATCAGATCGTATGGATATAAAGACACTGCTTGTAGGTTTTTATATGAAGAATTTACTGTATTTACAGCAACCACCAATCATTCACTTCAGCATATTGGCTTGTCCCTGGTGACCTGTCGATGCTTTTGCTTCAAAATGGCAGTGTTCCCCTTGTGACAACCATGTTTTTATCCTGGTAATAAATATTCTCAACCCTCCATCTAGTCATCTCTACATTCTGTCCATCTATTTTGCTTTGGGCGAACGATCCTCCTCCGCACATCCATTTACTGGCAGTGAAATACAAATTATTGTAATGTGATTTTGCAGAGACTTTAGTATTTTGTTGACGAGTAAGATAGATGGATGGATGGATGGATGGATACATACTGTACATACATAGATAGATAGATATATACATACAAATACATACATACACACACACACACACACACATACACACATACACACATACATACAGACATACATGATATATCAAGAAGTTGGGTGTCATTCATACAAACATACATAGATAGATAGATAGATAGATACATATACAGTACATATACATACATACATACAGACTTAAGTTAGTATTTTCTCACTGACAATTTTCTTCTCTGGTTGTGATGGATGACCGACCTCTCCACTGACATAATTATGAGTGAGACAATTAGAAAATAATGAATGTGTAAATGCAGTGGGCTTACTGGCTGTGTGTCAGCTCTGCAGTGGTTGCTTGGAAGCCTGTGTGTGGTGCTCACATGTGGGTTGTGGCTCGTTGGCATTTCCCTCTGGCACTTTCGGCCTCCTCAAGCCTCATCTGGGTCACCCTGATGTCTCTCTGCATTTGCACACTGCTCACACTGCCCCTCACTGGGCTTGTGGGCTCTAGTTGTTGGGCAGAGAGTAGAGAGAGCAGAGGTGATGTGACATTCTCCGTGTGCACAATGTCTGTTATTCCCATTAACTTTGGATATTGCAGCGATATGGGAGAAAAACTGTAGGTCAAAAATCACACAGTAAACAGGCTCAGTTTTGATGACGGTCATGAGTTTCAGCTTCCTGTTTCATGCAGCATTTTGGGAACCTTTCTCCCATTTGACAGATCTAATCTTCTAATCTAATTCTTGTTCATCAAAACTGTGGAATAGTCTACGTCTGTACATTAGAGCAGCTGCTTCATTGTAGGTTATTAAATCTGGTCTAAAGACACATGTTTACGCCAATTGAGCTTTTTAACTGTATGTGTATGTATTTATGCTGTTTTCCTTTGTTATATATATATATAATTTTTTTCTATCTTTCATGCCTGAGAAGCATTTGGGCAGCTTATAAACTAAATATTTGTGCAGTAAGTTTTTACAATTTAGTTACTGTGCAGATAGCGACACAACATCCAAACAGATTTAAAGTGGTTAGCCATGCTTCTAATGAATTTGAATATGGTTAGCCGCACTTCTAACTTCACATACTTTTACCATAACCAGCTTGAGTTTGATGTTTTGTTTATTGTCATATTCTCTGCCAGTGCGAAACATTTGTAGAACATTATAATATTGTTTACAGTAGGTGTTTAAAGGGCAAAGCTTAAAATGTCTCCAATAAATACATTTTGTATCAATTATTCAACAAAACCTTTTTTTCAAATACAAGGCTTGCTATACTTTTACATGTTTAAATTTGACCAGAGTTGATTTTTATCTAGGCTATCTTGTGTGTCTAAGAAAAGTACTTTTTCCACCTGTGACACCATGACCAGCAACAACGAAACAAAAATGGAAACTTGCTGTCCTAGATTGAAGGTGTAACACAAAGGGAACAAAAATAACCATGTAATTTATAAATCAGAAAGTCTGCCACACATTGTTTCTGCTGCTTTCAGACTGTACAATGAACACTTGCTTTGTGTGTTTGTGTGTGTCATTCATATGTAGTGATATGTATCATACAGGTTATGTACAACTTGTATTGTATTACTGACCGGATAAACAGGTTTAATTCATTTCCTGGCTGGGATGAATGACAAATCGCTGATTGTGGAATGTACACAGTATAATTTCTCTTATACAGAAAACTTGGAAAGTGATATTAGTCTAATTAAATAATAAACATATATGTGCATTTAGTTGAGAGACAATATCCCAACATGTACAATGAGTTGATGTAAATTCAACATATTTTTTCACTTCTCTTAACAAACTGTGACTTTATTGATGTAAAACAACAATCATTTATATGTGAATCATCTGTCATTATACCAAAATAATAAAATAATTACACACTTCACACACTTTTCTTTTTTCTTTTTTGAGTCACTCTGCTACTTATATGCCATACAACAGAGAACTTGCATACATATGCAAATTGTAACCCACATGATTATATTGCAGTCAATTAGGAAGGTAACGTTAAAAAAATTGTCTCAGCTGGCCTGGGAACGCCTTGGATGTGTGTGGATAGGGAAGTCTGGGCGTCTCTGCTTAGACTGCTGCCCCCGCGACCCGGCAATGGATGAAGCAAAAGAAGATGGATGGATGGATGGACGTTAAAAAATGTATTGAATATGATTTATTGAATTATAGGTTATTTATTGTATATCAATAGCCATGTTTTTCTTTTTGAGTGCTTTCCAAAATTTTCTGCACTTTATAACCATAGAATATAACACTGATAATGACCCACTTTGACAAATAAAGGTTATCTTGTCTTATCCAACAATTGTCTATTTGTTATTAATTCTGATGAAATATATACAACACATCTAATTATAATCCTAGCGTCTAAAAAAACCTATTTACCCTCTATCTAAAATGTATTATTAGTCGTTTTATTGGCACTGAAGGTGTGCCTTGTTATTCTGGATCTATTTGTTTTTTGTTTTACGTCAGTAGTACACGTGGCCGGAAGTGTAAAGCTCCATGTGGCACAGCCACATGTTTCCGGTGTCTATTTTAAAACTAAATTTTTACAACACACTAAACGTGATGTGCAAGTTTGTGTTACATAGTTTGCTGTTAAAATGTAACCTAATTTAATAGATACAAGCAGTAACGACACCTGCACTGGTAAATTACAAGTATATTTCAGTCGTTTTGTTCAGGCTTTTACTTTGAAAATTTCTGCTGGCGCTATTGCATGACCTCAGCTTTATGAACACTTCAAATCCACATTTTACCGGAAGTATTAAAATGTTTGACGCAAAGAGCACAGTAAAAGTTTACCTGAGAACAGACAGGTTACAGTTGTCCATGTTTTAAACACAATTTGTTTGTTTTTATCCAGAAAAAAGCTACTTAGCGTGTTCCCTGACATTCATTCAGCGTGCTATTTGGTAAGGACTGCTTTATTATTTCAATGCTTTTGATTTTATATGACTGTTTATGGCCCTGGGAGTCTGTCATTCATTCATTCAGCTTAGAGCATTCACTATTTGGTTGAAAACGAGCCTGAAGCTATCGCACTGCTTACTATATTACAACACCATTTCAGTAACTTTACATCTGCCTTTTTCCTGTTTGTTCTGTACCATATATTACTCTAGTGATGTCACAATACTAAAGTTCAAACTCTATTTCAAAACGTTAAATACCACAGCTATTGTTCTACATATGCCCACTTTGGACAGTAAACTACTTTTTTTTTTACTCAACATAATGATTATTTGTTTATGGGGCCTCAAGGTTTTATACAAGTTGTTCTGATGTAGTGTAAAATGTCTTGTTACTGTAATTTCATTTGGTATCTGTACTTGCTCAGATTAGTGTAAAGGGATTTCACCCTTTACACAGTGCACGATACAGGAGTTTGTGTATAATGGTTTGTAGACTTGCAGTACTATTCTTTCATTAATCAATAATCAACCACTTATCATTACTACATTTTGTTACTGAAATTTTCCTATCAGAGATAATTAGCACTAAGCTTACATGACGTAGGCTAAAACAGGATGTCACTGTATGAATAGTGACGTGTGTAAGGTGTGTCCTAGGATTATTTATGTGCTCTAACCAGGTTTTTTTTTTAAATTCATTTTTAGAACTTGTCAGTCCAGACAAAAAATGGTTGAAAAGATTCTCGTCACTGGTGGAGCAGGCTACATTGGCAGTCACTGTGTGGTGGAGCTGATTGAAGCCGGCTTTGAGCCAGTAGTCGTGGATAATTTCAGTAATGCAGTGCGAGGTGAGTTTTCATATCATATGTAAGTAGCACATCATCAAAACTCTCATACAACCTCTCATTTGTCCCTGTGCTTTCACTCAATGTGGAAGAAGGAGAGCGGGATAGGCCAGAGAGCATAAACAGGATAGAGAAGCTTCTGGACACCCACATTGAATTTCAAGAGCTGGACCTTCTTGACCGGCCTGGCTTGGAGAAACTTTTCAAGAAGGTGGACTGACTTACATATTAATAACAGTATATCAAAAACAGACAAGTGCCGTAATTGTTGTGTTACACTTATCTTTTTTGCAGCATTCCTTCAGTGCTGTGATACACTTTGCTGGTCTGAAAGCTGTTGGGGAATCAGTGGAGAAGCCTTTACACTACTACAGGGTCAACCTCACTGCATCAATCAATCTTATAGAGGTCAGTTTAAACTAACCTTGCTTTTGCTTCACTGCATGCAATTCATGTCTGCACTGTTTCCAGCTTGGTGTGTTATAAGTTGCATGTTACTGGTTCTATTTTATTAATGCAGTTTGACCGCTTTGATTATACTAACATGGCGACTGCTGACGAGGGATGCACTAGTCCAGCTCACGAGAGTGTAAATACACCAAGGCCAAGTTTAATGGGCTCTTTTTAACACCACTTCACATCTGTACAAAACATTTCAGCTCAAACCAACCAGTATTTTTTGTTTTATCCTGCCAAACAGATACATTTTGCCTTCTTCAGATCATAGCCAACTTGTTACAAAATGAGTCACATTGTGTTAAACTACAGAACAACTTTGTATCAATAGAAGTGTAAACCCAATAACATTCTGGGTTAAAGATTAAGATTAAGAAATTCGTCCCACAGCGGGGAAATTTCAGTGTTGCAACAGTATAGATATGTAGTAGCAGTGTATTTACATCTGTACATGTTAGTAGTAGCAGTGTATTTACATCTGTACATGTTAGTAGCAGTAGGTTTACATCTGTACATTAGCAGCATGAGACTCTGGGACAAAGTGACAGTGACATATGTGGTTCTAAGCTGAAAAATATAAGAATAATACTCTTCGATCTACTCCCTTCTGATCATGGAAATATTTGAATGAATTGAAAAAAAAACTTCTTACTTGATACTTGTACAACTATGCATTTTCATGAAAAGAATAAAAAGAATTTCACCTAAGCTGGGGTTACCCAACTTTCAAACTACAAAAAAATATCTATAAAATGTATCTATCTCGTTCCTTGCTCGGAAAACATTTTTGTGAGAGGAACCCCCTAGCTCAGCCAATCAGCTCTCAGTTCAAAGCCTCAAATAGTGACTCACAAGGTAATTAACAAATGATATTATATAAAAAAGATGGCATGATGTGGTCTGATTGGTTCAAAACATCTTACTTTTATAAAACAAATTGTATTGGAACAGACAACATGTATTACTATGACATATTTTTCAAGGCCCAATCAGAATATAAGTTTTATAATTGAACCGGTGGTGGGTGCATCTCGAGTAGCGCCGTGTGCTTTGATCTTTACCTGGCTGCTGACTGTGATGGCGTGCCGTGTTTGTGTGTGCATGTTGTTACACTGTAGGTGATGCAGAGTCACAACGTCCGCAATCTGGTCTTCAGCAGTTCGGCCACAGTGTACGGAGACCCGCAACATCTGCCTATAGACGAGGAGCACCCGGTGGGAGGCTGCACCAACCCCTACGGCAAGACCAAGTACTTTATCGAAGAGATGATCAAGGACCATTGTAAAGCCGAGAAGGTGTGAATGGGATCATAGAGGGCGGGGCTAAAGGATCAGGCGGTTTAATGTTGGCTGTGCATAGGACTGGAATGCTGTGCTGCTGCGCTATTTCAACCCAATTGGAGCACATTCCTCTGGACTTATTGGAGAGGATCCTCAGGGAATCCCAAATAACCTCCTTCCGTATGTTGCCCAGGTACCGAATCTTTCCACATACACACACACACACTCTTACACACACACACACACACACACACACACACAGCCCATGAATGCGGTTTATTTACCCCTGCTTTTCTCCTCATCACAGGTCGCTATTGGGAGAAGAAAGTGCCTCAGTGTGTTTGGTAACGACTATGATACTCTGGATGGAACTGGTATGTGTCTCTGTGCAAAAATTGTTTTCATTAAATAACACAATTTTAAAATGGGCAATTTTTTTCATTCTCTCTCAAGGTGTCCGTGATTATATCCATGTTGTAGATCTCGCCAAGGGGCATACAGCAGCTTTGAAGAGGCTGAAGGATAATTGTGGGTGCAAGGTATGTTTCTGTGTCATAGACGTGCTTTAGATGGGTCTTGGACATTATCTATGGCTATAAAAGCTTAGTATGTTACAAATGTTTGGTTTCATTCTAGTTATCTATCTACCTCTTTCTTGTCATAGGTTTATAATTTGGGTACAGGCACCGGTTACTCTGTGCTCCAGATGGTCAAAGCTATGGAAAAAGCATCCGGCAAAGAGGTTAGACTAAAATAAATGTTTCTCACTGAACGTCCTAAACTTGCTTCTATAACATTCGTAATAATACTTTTTTCAGATTGCATATAAGATTGCTCCGCGAAGAAGTGGAGACATTGCTTCCTGTTATGCAGATCCTCGTCAGGCTGAAAAGGAGCTGGGCTGGAAAGCTCAATTTGACCTGGAAATCATGTGTAAGAGATTCAAAGAAGACAATTGAGTTGTTTTACTCTGAAAGGGTCATTAAACCCATGTCTAACAATTATGTATTCACTTCTTTTCTTTCAGGTGAAGATCTGTGGCGCTGGCAATCCATGAATCCCACTGGATTTTCAAATGGAAAAGCTAACTGATTTTATATGATTTATGTAATAATGAAATAGCAAATAAAATATTTTCAAAGAAGAAATATTTGTTTTTGAAAATTAGAGGGTGTGTGTATCTCTCACTAAAATATATCATAGTGGTTCTTTACACACCAAGTGTCACTACACTAAAAACAGGTCTATTCTGGGCCTTCCTTAGACCTACGCTATTTCTAGAGCAGTTCTATGCGAGAGTCAACTTGAACTAGGGGAACTGGTATTTTATTTTAAAGGTTTTTGAAGAACCTTTATTAAACCAGGAAAGTCCCACTGAGATTTATGAATCTCTTTATCAGGATAGTTCTGGCCCCAGAGAAAGGGCTGTGGCAGTGGGGTGAGAGAGGGCGTTACGTCCGTTTTTGGGTGTATGCTTTTCTAAACAGTTTTTTTGACACGGTATTCCTTTTTTGACATATCGATGCACCTCCAGTAGTTCTCCTACACCAGTGAGAGAACCCCCATATGCCACATGCCCTGTGCTTTTCACACACGTGTATAGCAGTAGATGTAGGAAGTCCCCCTCAGCCCCATGATCAGCCCTCGGGTGCCATGATAAACGCCCACGTCAGCAGCGCACGTCTCCATGCGCTCTGAGCGGGTTTCGTGCTTTAGGGCTGAACAGGAAGTGCGCCTGTGCCTGAGCGCGAGTGGACCCAGAATAGGGAGAGAAAAGATCACACAGAATGGATATAGTAACAGACCTAGGGCAAAGCAGATTACATCGGGCACCGGGCGAACCATGTCACCAGTGAGTATGGATGTGTTTGAGGGTTTGTGCAGAGTGGGGTGTAAACGGGTCCCTTCAAATAGCCTCGCCTGAAAGAGGGGCAGGGGCTTGGGTAGCAGGGTAATCTTCCCCGCTGCTCTCGGTACATCGGACCGCTGTGAGCCTGCTCGTAAGGCTGAAAGCGGGTGTAGCGGTAAACACAGCGATGCGTTGCGTTCTCGTTGCAACACATTTGACACAGGCGCATATAGCGGGTCTGGTGCGTTTTTCTATTGTGTGGCTGAAGCCTGAAATGGGCGTCACTCCAGGACAGACGATCTCAGCGCTGCCCGCTTTTCACTCTCACTGCAGTGCACTCTCTCATGGCGCTGGTGAGTCCTGTAAGGTCCAGTGAAGTTGCAAGAGTCCTGAGTCCAGACCGTGGTTTAAGCTTGTTCTGCGGCAGGAGAGGCGCGGGGAGGCGGGCGTGCACTGAGAGCCGGGCGACGCGCCTGTTTATGGCTGCGTTTCATAACACTGCATCAGAGACTGTAGAGAAACGTACATGATTTATGTGTGTGTTTACTTTTTGTTAAATCGAATCATATGCTACAAATAAAGCCTCCCCTCTTCCTAATTGTTATTAATTAGGGAGCCCCAAACATATTTATTGTGTTAAATTATTATAATTAATTTGAACTTTGTCAGAACGGATGGCATGTGGCTATAACCCGAAGCTTCGTGCTGAAACCGGGTGTAATTCTACAAATGGTTTGGCTGCAATGCTGCATGTCCAATCTCAGAGCATCTCAGTTATTATTACATTCTGTTCAAAGTGGGTGGTGTTCATAGTGGTGCATGTTTATTCTGCTGATTATAGTGTCCTTCCCTAATCATGGTTCCTCTTTCGTGTGTCTTCAGGCAGCATCAGAGGTGGTTCAACACCGCTGACATCACAGTGGCCCACCAGAGCAGCCTGCTGAAGCAGCTCAACCAACAGCGGCGCCAGGAGCTCTTCTGTGACTGCAGTGTGCTGGTGGAGGGCCAGCTGTTCAGAGCACATCGAAATGTCCTATTCGCCAGCAGCGGCTATTTCCGCATGCTGCTGTCCCAGGCACCAGATGGATTGTCCGACACGGTCAATGCCACCTTTGACGTCTTCAGCCCAGAGACCTTCACAGTTATTATAGATTTTATTTACTCAGGACAGCTGGACCTCAGCCGCAATAATGTAATTGACGTTATGTCTGCAGCCAGTTACCTGCAGATGAACAGCGTCATCAACTACTGTAAAAACTTTATCAAATCGTCTCTAGACATTTGTGTGAAAGAGGAGGAAAGCGAACTTTGCCTCAGTATGTCTGAAACATGTTTTACCAGTGCAGCTGGAGAGGATACCACAGAGCAGCAGGTGCGTGCCCCCCCTGTCAGCCCCCCTCCTGCTCTGTGGACACGGGACACTTCTAGTCAGTGCACTTTTGGAGGCAAAGACTCTGACCTGGAAATTTCAATATCCAACATCAAAACTAATGTAAGCAGCCCTGTGAATGATCTGGGTGCAGAGGCTGAAGACCCACAGGACCCCCTTTATACACTACCAAGACCTGAACGAAAGAGAAGTCGTCCCTCAAAAAAGAAATCCTCCAACAGCCACCACTCCAACCACCACACTGACCTGAACCTCGAGGAGGCCCGCGCTCAGAAAGCTGAAAAGGCTGAGGAGCTGTATTCTACTATGCCTTCTATAGTTGGAGTCGTCGGACAGTTTAGTAAGGATGAATACAGCATTACATGGACTTTTAGAATTGTTTTTGGGGTCCTTCAAATCTTGATCATATTTTACTGTTTGTTTACAGATCACCCTATCCTGCGGTACAAATGTCCTTATTGCACTCATACCGTGAAAAGAAAGGCAGACCTTAAGCGCCACTTGCGATGCCACACTGGGGAACGTCCATACCCCTGTCAGGAATGCAATAAACGCTTTACCCGCCTGGAGCATCTCCGAAGCCATTTTGAGACTGTAAGTGGACAGAATAATGTGATGATCTGTATTACAGTTCATGCTGCAGTGTGTTTTTCCTTTCACAGATTCACCAAGCCAGGAAGTTGGTGTGTAGGAAGTGCAAGTGTCCCGTGACAGAAGAGACTGGGCATGTTGTGTGCGAGGGGACACGCCGCTTCCGCATGTGCACTGCATGTATACAGGAAGTTGGCTGCGACAACCTGTCAATGGACCCTTTGGACGGACCTAATGATGAACCAGCTCTGTTACTAGGTGTTGACGGGGAGGAGGAAGGGGAAAGCAAAAGGTCATGGATTGTAAATGATGATGATGATGACCTGGCAGAAGACTCGGGTGCTGACCTTATCATACAGCAAATTGATGACAGTGATGAGGAGATCTAATGCAAACTGCACACCCCAAGGAAGGAATGATTGTTTTGTTTAAACCTATGGGTAAAAGCCATTGAAGAGACTTTATGCATACTGTACATGAATAGCTAAATTGTTATAGATTAAAAACGGTTAAGATCTGTTATTCTTGAAGCATTTTTCTTCTGTGTATTTTAATACAACTGCAATATCTGAAGCATGCACATCATATACATTTATAAGCATGAAACACTTTTGTTGAATTAATTCTGAAAAGGAACCAGTTCAATGCCTTTATTTAATTCTTAAACATTTGTTTTATTAAAATGTTGTGTTTGTATTTATACAGTGCTTTTGATTAAACTTACGTTTTTTTATATCCTGTCTATGTATTGTTTGTTTTACATGGAACAAGCCAGGTAATAAAAGGGAATGTGTAATTTATGAATTTGTTTGTATCAGGTTCAACATTTAAACAATGTGATGTATCATAAAGATCACGCATTTGATTGTAAGGGGGAAGAGTTCCATACTCTAACAGTAGGTGTCGCTCTTGTGTCGATACCCCATTACTGCATGACGTCAGCAGAAGGCGTGTCCAACATGGCGGCCGCCATCATGAAGCTTGTCAACAGAAGCTCTCAGAAGACGTTTATGGGACAGCTCTGTATCGCGGTCACTGCGGCCGCTAAAGCCAGTACGGTCAGTGTCAGCGACAGGACATTTGTCCTCAGTGGAGATACTTTCTGTGACCAAGTCTGAAGCTGTCTGTAGCAAGGACATCGCTGACATACTCGCATGATAAACATCCTGCTTACTTCATGTTTGTCTTTTATTAGGCTGGAGTTAAAGCTCGTGCAGTTCTTCCAGATAAAGTGAAGATTGTGGAAGTGGGACCGAGAGATGGGCTTCAAAATGAAAAGGTGAAAACTGTGACAGGCCGCAGCGACATGAGCAGAGAGCTGCCTGCTGGAAGAGTCCCTGATCTACAGGGTTTGTTAAAAAAATAAAACAACAACAAAAGCAACAATACGATTGATTTGTTCATAATGGATCTCAAACTACTTTACCAACGTTAGTCAGTATTTTGTGTTGTTATAATAATCTTATCTTTTTCTTTTACTTAGATAATTGTGCCCACAGAAACCAAAATTCACTTGATCAACATGTTGTCAGAAGCCGGCCTTTCTGTAATTGAAGCCACAAGTTTTGTGTCTCCAAAATGGGTGCCCCAGGTACCCATTTTTACATTAATGTTATTAATACTAAACTCTTTAAAGGAAAAAATCACTTCCTTTTATCTAATTTTTTTGCAGATGGCAGATCAAATGGAAGTAATGAGCGGAATCTGCCGAAAACCAGGAGTGACGTATCCAGTTCTTACACCAAACCTAAAAGGCTTCCAGGCCGCTGTAAGTGCCATGTTTTAAACTTAAGTCAGTGAATGGTCCATTCAATCCAAATGTCTTTTGTTGTTGAACAGATGAAGGCTGGTGCTTCAGAGGTTGCCATATTTGGAGCTGCTTCAGAGCTGTTCAGTAAAAAGAATATAAACTGCACTGTGGATGAGAGTTTACAGAGATTTGAAGAGGTAATGAAAGCAGCGAAAGAGGCCCGGATACCTGTGAGAGGGTAAGGCAGGTTTACAGTTAGTACTTCATACAACCATCGATATCTTAACTTGTTTTTTTCTCCACAGTTATGTGTCTTGTGTCCTGGGATGTCCGTATGAAGGCAAAGTGGCACCAGAGAAAGTTGCTTATGTAGGTCCCCGATTTTTACATTATATAATTATGGAAGAACGATGTATCACAATGCGTTGTCTTTTTTGCAGGTAGCTAAGCGTCTGTATGACATGGGTTGCTATGAGATCTCGTTAGGTGATACAATTGGAGTGGGGACTCCAGGAACTATGAGTGTGATGTTGGAGGCAGTGACTAAAGAAGTGCCAGTCAATGCACTCGCAGTGCACTGTCACGACACGTACGGACAGGCTTTAGCCAACATTCTGGTGGCCCTACAGGTGTGAACATTTGGGTTTGGTCCTATCAATGTTTCAGTGAACGGTTCTAATGTAATCCTGTGGTAATGCACAGATGGGCGTTAGTGTAGTAGACTCTTCCGTAGCTGGACTCGGTGGATGTCCTTATGCTCAAGGGGCTTCAGGGAATGTTGCTACAGAAGATGTTGTGTACATGCTTCATGGTCTTGGCCTCAGAACAGTAAGTTTATGTCTAATTAGTGGAAAACAACCTGTGATATACTGTTTTTGACACTTTTCTTTGTGGCAGGGAGTGGACATGTCCAAGCTGATGGATGCTGGAACTTTTATCTGCCGAACCCTAAACAGAAAATCTAATTCTAAAGTTGCTCAGGCCACCTGCAAATTGTAGGTTAGACTCCTGACACATGGATCAAATAATATATATACTGATAGATTCTTTCATCATACTTAATGGTAAATCTGAAAGAGTGCCTTAGTGTCCGTTTGAAATCAGCATTCGTCTTGTAATGACCTATTTTGACCTATTAAGTTTGTGTTTATCTTTAAAGATAGGTAGACGACACACTTATCTGTAGATTTAGGGCTTGTACATACTGGAGTTTTTATTTTCTTATTTATTTAGAAATGTCTGACATTACCCCGGAAACAAAATCGCATGTGCCTGGTGTCATTCAAGACATCACTTGTAAATCCAGTTTCATAATTTATCATCCGAATGAGATGTTTCGTTAGTTTGGCACATTCACCGTAGATTTGTTGGTGTTGGAATTCCAGTCATTTGTATTGTATGAATTATTAACTTTAATAATATTGTTTATTAAACACAATTTCTATGAGGATGTATTTTCAGTTCATTCATCCCTGCACCATCCAAGCCTTAAAGGCTTATAGGAGGATTTTCCCAACGTTTAGGAAAGAACCTGCCCTCTCCACTCTTCACCAGAATGATTGACACTTGGGAGGACCAATAGTCTTGATGATCCACCCGGAAGTAGAAAATCCTCCCACATACCTTTTAATAAGCTGTTTTCTAATATTTCTTCATCATGGTGAACAAGCAGTATCCTAACTTCTTTTTAAGTAAGGAAGTAATCTTTATTTATATACCGCCTTTCACAGACCAGAGTCACAAAGCGGTTTACAATTGTTATTTTTTGGGCATTTGTCTCTCACTCCACAGAGAGATGGGACATGACTTACTTTTAACAACAGTAAGTGTTGTGGTGGGTCTGGGTCTGGATTCAGTGGAGGAGGTGGTAGAGCAAAGAACGCTCTCCAAGATCAGGGTGATCTTGTCCAACCAGAGCCACCCACTAAATTCCTTTTTTCCCGGCAGAGAAGCACCGTGAGCTCCTCTTTCTGAGGTGCTCCAAGGACAGACTAAAAAACTCTTTTGTCCCCAAAGCCACCTCAGGGAGGAGCAGGGGGGGAGGGAGGGTGGGGTCTTGAGAATTGTTTTGCAGTGCCTTAACTTCTCTTTTAATGTTTTTAATGTATTTGTCTCTTTTTCAACTATTTTGCATCTTTTCTAACCTATGTATGTATCTTTGTGCACTGGTCCCTTGCTAGCAATCATACAATTTCCTTCGGGATCAATAAAGTTTATATCCATCTAGTCATGTCTCTGAGCAGATGTGCCGGCAGCAGCTCACTCCATTGGTTGAAGGATTGGTCAAATGCAGAGGTGTGTTTTCCCTAATATGAACATCATAATGTGTACCTGAACATAAACTTCTAAATCTACAGACAGATTGTAATAAAAGCAGTATAAAGTGCTTTGTTGGACACACCTTAGAGAACCTGACCGACGAGTCCAGCCGGCGGTCTGGGATTCACACACCTTCATGCTCCTTACGCAACCGATACATGGAACTTTTTGATTAACAACAATTTCCATGTTGATTTTAAAACTAAATGTTTCATAGGGCAAACAATCTGTGATGGGGATTAATAAATTGGTTAGGAGGACCGATTGAATCTCAACATATAGAAAAATTAATAACTTTATTATATTTACATTTCATGAACAAAACACATTCCTGGCCACATGTATTTAGGCTCTGAAACTCCTTTGTTCCTTTGGCTCTGACAGTCCAGTTCTCTAGCCAAGGATTCAGCAGCGTTGCTTCCTCATTCCCTCCTTTTTAATGATCTTGCACATGTTATTGAAGCTTTTTTGTGACATATGTGTTTTAACCATTTACAATATTGACAAAAGGCAGAGAGGAGAAATACAATTGTGTGAATATTACCACTCAATACAAATACCATCCCAGAATTCTGTAATACTGTGATACATTTTGCCTGTACTTCTTGAGTATGTTGTGATGGACAATGATGGGGGTAACAGTAGTAGAGGAGTGTCTTTCTCCTGTAATGCTGATATCAGCATGTCCTGCAGTTTATCCTGAGAGACCACTTTATTCTGAGATGTCACTCCCATCATTCTGAGATGGACAGATTAGGGGCCGAGGCATGTATTTTATCCTCTTGCCTGAGTCTGTGCATTGGGAATTTGGCCGCAGATTTGAAAGAAGGGGGCATATCCTTGAAGTGTTTCGGGTCTTGCTGGGAAAAAGGAAGTGTGCTTTGGTTGAAGAAATTGTCTTCATTGACGTCTTGTTCAGGCACCACCATGTGGCGATTAAACCTTTTCATTTTGTTCACACATCTCGCGACTCGTTTGGAAATGAGATAAACAATCTCACAGATGTTGAGGATAATACAAAGAGCAGAAGCGCCAACCATGAAATATGTGAAGACTTTCTTTTCAGTGGGATGTCCAATGTAGCAGTCCACTTGGTTTGGACAGGGGAACACCTCACACTTGACCAGCCGAGGGAGGTAAAAACTGTCGTAGATTCTGTGGAGAATGTAGAGGAAGCCCGCCTCGATGCCAGTCTTCACAAAGAGGCTGATCAGATAAGTCCACCACAGCCCTCCGTGCTTTTTGCCTGTATTGGCGTAGAGCTTCTTACTGTCTTCCCCGTGCTTGGCCTTGTATTTGCGCTCGCGATCATCGCGGTAAGCCACATGCATGACCACCATGAAGGATGGGCAGGTGACAAAGATGAGCTGCAGGGCCCACAGGCGAATGTGAGAGATGGGGAAGAAGAAGTCGTAGCAGGTGTTGGCACAGCCCGGCTGTTTGGTATTACAGTCAAAATCCTTCTGATCATCGCTCCACACTCTCTCTGCAGCCACCACATAAACCATCACCCTGAACACAAACACCACCGACAACCACACTCTGCCGAAGGCTGTGGAGTACTTGTTGACCCCACTGAGCAGGGCTTGGAAGGTCTTCCAGTCCATGATGCTGACACACACTCAGAGCTTGGTCTTTCTTTCTTTCTTCCTTGTTTGTTGATTCTGTAACCAAGAAGACCATAGCAGACATGACTTCATGCAATACAGTGTATGCCTTGAATATAACTAAGGTTTTCTTTAAACGTATTCTCTTTCATGATTAGATTATATGTGTCAGCTGTACACATATAACTGCTAACTAAACTAAACTGATGATAACAAAACCAGTCATTCAGTTGGAGGCCCCAAGCTGAAGGCACGTTCTGAAGATATAAAACACGAAATGACATAATTAGTCTTACCCATTTAAGCGTGTATCCTATTGTATCATGTGTTTACTCTATCATCGTAATCACCCTCTGTAACAAAACTCCATTATAACAAATATCATAACGACAGCCTACAACTTTATAACACCACAGTTCAGGGATCAGAAACCGCTTAAAAGTCTTAAAAGTGAAAGTTCCTTACCAAACCAACGCTAGTCCATCACGGCGCACCGCTTTGGAGTCCTTTCCTTGTCGCTTGGGAAACTTTACGCACGAACTGTCGCGCTTTCGGCAGGTAGACAGCTCAGCGTAAAGAAATGTGCCTGTGGGTGTGGTCAGAGAGGTTTGGTCTATAGTTTGGGCAGATGTGTCTCTCTCTCTTTCTCTCCCTCTCTCCCTCTCCCTCTCTCTCTCTCTCTCCCTCTCTTTTCCCAGACGCACCTCCCTTTGCCTCTCACCCACACGCTCCTATGCCGTTTCTGAAATCACGTCACATCAAATATGAGAAATATCTACCTTCCTTAAAAATATGTATTTGCATAACCGTGGACGTGATTTGGATTTGTATGTTCTTTAATTTCTTAGAACAAGGATGCGTGTCTTTAACAGTTTCTCAGTAGCTGTCATGGCGCGCCCTGAAGTTATTATGTTACAATTCAGCTTTACCCACAGCTTGGCTATTACTCAAGCCCAAATCCCTGCACTCTAATAATATTTTGTTACAGTGTAGCAATAGGACAGGGGTATTACATTTCCTTTTTTCCACTATTTTACCTTTTTAAGCCACACACTCAACTCAATGGCCTGGGCTTGTCCTGTATCTTTGCGAGGGAGAAAGGTGTTGCTATGTTTATTCACTCTGCTTATTCTCTGGATATTAAAGGAAGGATAAGATGTCTGTTTGTTAAGGAAATGCCATTGCTGTGCCCAAGCATGCCAGCGGTTACAAGCTGCTACATGCTTGCACAGCTTTGGGCATCTTTTGTTATGAGTGAAAAGACATAAGTCCCTCTGCACATGGATCATACAAGTTTAATCACCAGTCTTTTAATCTCATGGCTGTATTGTCAGTTTGAATGAGTATTTAACGGCATATGATCCATGCACTCCCTCGTTATATTGTGTATTTACTGCCTCTTAAAGCTGGGGTGCATAACTTGTTTGTTTCAAAAATAATGCACTTGGTTTGTCCCAACAGAAAAAGACTTGTAAAAGTAAAATGCTGTGAACGAGTTTTATCAATTCATGTCTTCATAATAGATTAAAAAACAGTTTAATTTTATAGAAAGAGACTTGTGAATCACTTTCTGGCACGTTGGGCAGAGTACTGATTGGTCCTCTCTTTTTTTTTGTCTGAAAAAGCTGTTTTAGATATTTCACAGAGTCTAAAACACATGCATGTGAAAACTAGAGCCATAGTGAGAGCAAGGAACAAGTTGGGACGACCAGTACAGTCTGATGTGATTTATTTAGCTTTAAGTCTGTATCAATTTGTTTGCCACCATCTTTCAAATTTGTAGTGTCACTATAGAATATCAAATTCATTGGTATCCTTACAATGTACAATTGGACATTGATTTTTTTCCGGCCCTGCACAAGGCTTCAAAATAAGGTTCTTAAGTTCTTTGGCTTAAGTTCCTGTATTTTTTCAAGTGTAAAATTGTTTTTTAGATGACTGGCCGGTCTTTGAGAGTGTAGAAACTCTATTGTGGAGGAAATGCCTTGATGAGTAGAACTGGTCCAGGCTGTTTCCCGAGACACACCTGAGGAAATGTGCGTGTGAGTCAGGGACAGCTGCAAGTCACAGCACGAAGCATCCAAACACAACTTCAGAAACATCCCTACACATTGTCCCTAATGTAACAGCAAAATCTACTTATGCTGTGAGAATGTGAAACAACAACCCCCAGACATGCAGGGCCCGGCTAATGAGTGCTGATTACAGAACCGCCCATATAGGAAAGAAACAGTCAGCTATATAAAAAACAAGTATCAAGTGGAACGACAATTCACACGTTTTATATAAATGCAAGACAATTCAAAAGGCTATAGTGGGATAAAGAAGTGCTGCTATGGCTGTGTAATCATAATACCCAGGCCTTGTTAAAGCTGTCAATTGAACGCTAGTAAAAGTTCCATTGGAGAGGGCTTTATAAAGTAACATTTAATTTGAGCATGAGTCATCTGCAGGGCAGGGAAAAGCTGAGCCAGAACTGCAAATTCCTTCTCAATCTTCAGAGGACAACTTGAGTAAACTGTTCAGCATGTTCAAGATTGTATGTTTTTTCCTTCTTTTTTGTTCAACCCTTCATCTTGCTTATCACACACACTTCAACACAAAGGACTGGAGGATTCCAGCTCTGGGTGGGTCCACGCGTCAATGTGGATGAATCAAAAGAAGAGAAAAAATAACTCCTTCGTATACTCCGGCCCAAAACTACCAATCAAGCCAAACAGTTGAGGCCACAGCTCCTAGCAAAAGAAATTCTAGAGGCTGCGGTCGGTGGGAGGGATTTATGAAATACACGGAAAAAATGAGACGTCCCAAGTAAATGTGAAATCCAGGAAATGGACAGTTCTGTATATTATTATTCTATTGATATGTAATTATTTGCAACAACACATTTAAAAAAGCAAATTTTATTAAAACAAAATACTGAACAAGATCCAGCCGTGCATTTCTGCTGCCGTGAGAATATATGTATACAATGAGAGCAACTATGTTTACAAAAGTACTCTGCAACCTCATCATTCTCCCCTTCCTAACTGTAAACAGTCCAGTACCACAACTGAGATAGCAGCACAACCTCGGATTTAAATTATGCAAATAAAATAATATACAACAGAAACTTATGACTGCTCTCATGAGAACAAAGAGCCACACTACAGTGTAACATGTCTGGAGGGAGGCAGTGCCAAAAAGAGGGAAAAAAAACCTGTACAAAATCTGAGTCATGTAAAACGTCTGCATACGAACTGATGCACAAGGAACTATACAGATCTAAACCAGTAATAGACAGCATTCCTTATTCATTATACAGTGAGCCAAGCACAGTATTTATTCAATGGCTCCACTGCTGTTCCACTTCATTGTCTCAGCACAGGAAGGAACTTCCTCCTTCAGAGTTTGGACAGACAATCTTTTGCTGAAGTTGATGAGACCTATTTTCCTTTTGAAAGATTGTCAGTGGAAATGGCCATGCTGTATGTAGGGACAGGAGTCTTTGGTCTTGCTGACTGGCTCATTTTTAAACTGTTGCCTTCCATAAGAGTACTTCCACTGGACATCGTTTCTGTTATGGCATGTCGAGAGCGGTGGTGCGCAGTGAAGCATTCTCGACAGCGTTTGCCCACTAAATACACGATTTCAATCACAGAGAGCACAATGCATACCAGGCTGGTGACCACCATGAAGATAGTGAAAATACGCTTCTCTGTGGGACGTACAATAAAGCAGTCCACTATGTTTGGGCAAGGGTCCTGTTTGCACTTTATGAGGGAGGGGAAGTCATAGCCCTCATAGATGTGGTACAGGAGGTATACAAAGGTGGCATCCACCAGTATTTTGAAGACAAGAGTAAGGACATACGTCCACCACAAGCCTCCACGCTTCTTGCCTGTGTTCTTGTAAAGTTTGCGGCAGTTCTCTCCGTGTTTGGCCTTGTGTTTCTTCTCTCTCTCCTCTCTGTACTCCACATGCATGACCACCAGGAGTGATGGGCAGGTGACAAAGATGAGCTGCAGGGCCCAAAGACGCACATGAGACACAGGGAAGAAGTGGTCATAGCAGACGTTGTGACATCCTGGCTGAGCAGTGTTGCATTTAAAGTCCTTCTGCTCATCCCCCCAAACCTTCTCTGCTGCCACCACAAACACCATGACTCTGAAGAGGAAGACGATGGACAGCCACACTCGGCCAAAGGCTGTGGAGTACTTGTTCACTCCACCGAGGAGGCTCTGAAGGAAAGCCCAGTTCATGATGGATGTTCTGAGGTCTGCTCTCTTGCTGGTGGCACAGAGCGAGACCTAAAGCAGAGGCTGGTGTCTGATACCTGTCAGAACAACAACACATGTCAGAGACAGGCACAGTCCATGAAAACCGAAAACAATTCAGCTGTTAAGTTTAACTTTAAACAAGTGTCTTAAAAAAGTTAATCATATACACAGCGATACGCAATTTAATTCCGATTTGCGTGTCTCCTTCAAAAATAGTATTGTCTTAGTTTGAAGACATTCACGTCAAGTAAATATTATCAATGAAAATATTTATTTCACTTAGACAGGCTGTGTATTACTCGTAGAGAAACTAAATGTATACACAGGAGGAGTTGTAGTGATTTAAAGGTAAATATCCTCAAGTCATACAAGCCGTGCGTAATTACGCGTGCTATTATAACGTACTCGGATAAAAAGTTTACAGTTAGAAAAGTTACAGCGTCATTCGGAAGAGCACCGATGTCCACTAAGAATTACTTACGGTTTTGTCGTGAAGTTGCAAACCTTTTTGAAGCGGAGACAAACACGCTGGATGAATGTTACAGCCAGATGAAAATGTGTGGGGCAGGAGTGGAGGGGGAGGAGTCTAGTTCCCAAGTCTCAACTGAGAAAAACCTGCTCAGGTGTGGCCTGTATGATAGTGGCCCAACTCCCATTCTCAAACACTTTCACACAATAGGGCGCGAGGATTCATAATGATCCATATATTTGTTTTTGGCTGTTCTAACTTTGGCCCAAAGTTGTAATAGGTAAGTGTGCGCCAAGGTAATGCCTCACAAAGTATCATTAGGTCGTTCACTTCTATTTTTGTAATCATGTTTGAGGATAAGTTAACGTGGAGCCAAATACATTTCACAACCTTGTTGTTCCTTTGTTTATTGTATAGACTTCAGAACCAAAGTCACTCAAGCATTTCATTTTATTAAAAAAGGCTTTATTCAAATATCTACATGGCAGACAGAGTTGCAGAAGAAGTGCACAACTTTTGACACGTCACACAAATTCGCCACAGTCCGAGATAATTACTTTCTGTTTTGGCTTCCCATCTTTTGTTCCTTGTGCCTGTAAAATACATAAAAGTTAAGATTAATAGCCCACAGACAGTGGATGTAGAGCCAGGGGGAAAGAATTATGTTGTATTGAATGTTTAATTTTATGGGTGAAACCATGAGCATAAATGTTTACTTGTAAAGCTCTATTTCATGCATGATATGAATTCTTGCAAGTGTTTTTGCAAATTATGAAATTATCATATATTCCCACCTCGACACCTTCTCCACCGACTCCCACTGATGTCTGCTGTTGTTGTGTCCTTGGGCAAGACACTTAACCCCACTTTGCCTAAAGCCCCCACTGAAAGATCAAGGCTATGCTCACACTCAGAGAGCAGCCGTCCTCCTGTGGACTCACCACCTGCAGAGGGTCAGTGAGGGGCTGGTGCTATGAGACTTGGGTGGCATCTCTGACTGCCACCCCCCTGACCCAGAAATGGATTGATGGATGGATGGATGGAAATGATCAATGTAGTTTAATAATACACATAGTACATCAGAGCAATTATTTTGTTTTTTATGGTGGTGCTGTTCTTGCAAAATATAGTTTTCATTTCAGTATGGGTTTCAGATTAACAGTAACTGTTGTCTTGTTATCAGTGTGTTTTGTTTGGACCTCACTCACCTCCATTGCTTTAACTATGTCCATTCCTTCTACTAGTTCACCAAAAACAACATGTTTTCCATCAAGCCAGTCTGTCTTGTCATTTGTGATGAAGAACTGTGAGCCATTTGTGTTTGGTCCAGAGTTGGCCATGGAGAGCTGCCCTATAATCAGAGAGAGAAAGCAAATATATAAAGTAAAAATATTTGGCATTTGGTTTTAATATTAAACATTGAAACAACTTACCAGGGCCGGTGTGTTTCAGGATAAAGTTTTCATCTTCAAACTTTTTTCCATAGATGGATTTGCCTCCAGTGCCGTTGTGGTTGGTGAAATCACCTCCCTGGCACATGAACTGAGGAATGATACGATGAAAACTACTTCCCTTGAAGCCGAAGCCCTTTTCATGAGTACATAGACACCGGAAGTTTTCTGTAAAAATAATAGAAGATTTGAAAAACAATCATTTAAATATATATAGATGCGCCCAATGGCAAAAGTGATCATGGGCAAAATTATGCTTTGGCTCCTATTCGCCTCCACTCATTCTGTATATCGCCTGTGTCACACTCTTTTAAAATTGATACTGTCTTTTCAAATCCAGATACAAGCCCTAAAAACTGACCAATTAGGTGCTTTCTAGCCCAGAATTTGACAAAAGTGGGAACAGACTAATGGTTGTACCACACCAAAGTACAAATTACATTTCGTACTAAGATCTGGAGGTGCTCCATGAGCTCTGTTAACAGGTAGGAGGGGTTAACTCTTTTTGCAGATTAAAACGACTGGATCTGCGTCACGCACTCATTTCAGCACAGTCCAGCCCTCAGTCTTTGATAACACACATACCCGCTGTCATAGGGACAATATCAGCACGCAGAAGAAACCGCATCCTTCCAGCTGCCTTGTTGCCAATCTTCACATCTATATAAACTTGGGGATTTACTCTCCCCTTTTTACCCGGTGGCTCAGCCTGCAACACCACAAGAAAGAAAGTTTACTACACCTTTATGAAGAGTAAACAAATGGCAAATCTCTAACATACTCACCTCCTGTTTGGTGGTGCTGGCAGACTCTCCGGTTGAGGCCCCTTCTGCCTCAGCCTCTTCTATAGTTTTGCCTGAGAACTTCTTTAGCCAGTCATCATCAGACCACACTGTACCAAAAACAACATGGGGTTATAGAGACTTTGAAATGAAGAGAAATCTGTGATTAGATAGTAAATACTACCGCACCGGGGCGAGATGATCCTTCTTTGATTCGCATCGGACGGGCAATGTTGACTCTTATAGTCCGACCAAAAAGCTCAGACTCATTCTGTAAAAAATAATAAAAAAGTTACACCTGGACGTTCACACATGCCCATTTTACAGTTCAGTTTAGTTTGGTAATTCCGAATTTGAATTGCACAAAAAACAACACCAGAGACAACGTTGTTATTGAAAAATACCACATTAAAAGTACATAAGAAACATTAGGCACAGACACACATACAAATAAGTGCTGAAAATGCAAGCTTACCATGTTATCAATAGCAGCTGCTGCATCCTAAACACAGAGAAATATGAGCACATTTTATCATATCACATTCACAAATTAAAATCCTTGTCCTATGACTGGAGATCCATTTGATTTATTTAGGGAAAACCCCTTGAGACGCAGCATCTCATTTTTGAGAGGGTCCCATGAACATATAACAAACACAATACATATAATACAGCACAATAAAACAATTAACATTTAACACACAGGACAGGTTTGCTCCCTCAGATTAAACTCCACCTCCTACTATAACACATTCAAAAAACATATACATCATTTCTGTATACAATATAGTCAAATACAGGCCATACATACAGCAGCTGATAGAATAATACAATTTAAAATCCAGATATTACAAAATAGTAAAAAATAATATTAATAGAAAAAAAACAGCTAATAACATGAACAGGGAGAGGTAAGATATGTAGATAATTCGGATTTAAATAAGCCAAAGGTTGAGGATCTTATGTATGAAAAAGCTCTACTTACCTCTGCCAATTCAAACTCAATGAATGCAAAGCCTCTGTGTTTTTCTGAAATGTAAAACAGCAGAAAAACAATAAGTGCTAGGATCATACAGTCAAAAACATTAAGAAAGTACATTTCATTTTACCTGTCTCATAGTCTAATGGAACTTGAATGTCTACAATGTCCCCAAAGGGAATAAACGCTGCATGTAACACCTTCTCGTCCACTTCTTCTGCCAGACCACCTACATCAGGGAAACAATCAATAGTTTATATTTTTAACCTATTTATTTTTCTCGTAATAGAGCATTTCCTCGTTTCTTCAGATGTATTTCAATGAACACACACTGTAGCGTAGATTATAACGTATTTAAAAATCATAAATGAGGAGAGCATTTCTTCATATCTTGCCACTGTCTTAGTTTGGAGCAAAAACTAAACAGTAAAAGTGTCTAAATTAATTTTAACAACAACATACCAATGTACAACACTCGTTTGTTCGCCGCCATATTTGAATCGTGCTCTCAACTCTGAACCCTACTTTTTTCCCCAACACAGCCGTCTTCCTACGCTATACACAGTACTCGCACTAAACGCTGTGCTAATCACTATTTATTTGTTATAAGATGCTGATAATATGCTGAATTAAACTATTATTCTTTTTTTTTCGAATAAAGGCATTGCTAAATTCATTTAACCAAGACAACGCTTTAGGATTGAACTGCGTTAGGGAAAAATATGAAAGTCCGCCCATTTTATCGTCTGCACCTCCTGCTGGTGAATGTGGACATCGCATCTACTATTTCGTGTTGCTCTTCTTATATGCAGTTTTGAATGCTATCAAAATTACTCAAAAAATAATGTAACCAGCTTGATAAATAATTGTAAAGTTGTTCATTATGTAAAATAACAACAAATGAGACAGAATGGGATATATTGTTTACTCAAAGCATGGATGTATTTTCATAATCTCAGTTGTTGTGACCTAAACTCAAACATTACGCAATGCAGAGGTGGTTCGAGATTAACAGTTACTACAGACTTTTGAAATGTTTTCTACGATGTTAGGATCTTGCCATGAAACCAAACACATGCATCCCTCAAAACAATATAAACAGCGAGTTTTAACTGCTAAAGATGTAGTGAAGTAAACCAAACTGGAATATATTAAATACTGAAGAGAAGACACCTGAAATTGATATTTAAGTTCATTCAGAATTACTCGTGTCCTTGTCTTACATTCCACCACTGCTTTACACAAATAAATGAAAACACATTTTACCCAACATTCTTTTTATTTAAATAGGTTTACAACATGCCACAGATAACATGGTGTCAGTCAGCTAAAATTATTATAAAGATTGTTATAATTGTTTCATACAATCTTATAAGATCTTAAGATTGTATAAAAATAGGCTCTCCTTGACCTCAATCATGATCATATGTTGTTTGTATATCTATATAAGTTACAGCTTGTATTTCTTTTTTTGAATTATTATTCAAAGACTTCCAGCGTCATTTTAGGAGGAGGGAGTGGAAGCAGAGGTTGTCAAACCAACTTTCTGAGTGGCATCTTTCTTGGCCTGGTGTGCCTGCAGGACTGCCACAGCTTCTTCCACCTTGGAAATACCATACAGATTAAACATAAGATAACCTCCTAAATTTATTCATTCATTTATTTGATATTTTTCAGTTTTGTCAGAACATGTGATGAGTTACCTTTGACCGCAGAGAATCATGAGACTCCAGCATATGTAGCAGCTCAGAATTGTCAATCTCCAACAGCATACCAGTGATCTTTCCAGCCAGGTTGGCGTGCATGCCCTGGATCAGTGGAAACAGGCGTTCCCCTAACAAACAACAACAACAACAACAACACATTGTTATCACAAAAACAATCCAAATATATATTTTTGTTTTTTCGTACCAAGCATCTGCTTTTGCTCTTGTGGGGGGGCAGCTGCGAGCATGGAGGCGGTGAGAGGCTCCTGGCCCTGGACATGGACAGCAGGCTGTGGCTACAGCACAACCAGACAGAACAGATCAAAGCCAACGATAATGACAGACTCAAGAACAATTTAACAGATCTTATCTATTTTTTTTTTTTTTTTAAAGGGACCATGTACAATTAGAACATAAATGTTTTCATTTTATGCATTAGGCTAATTATTATAAACCTGTCAAATTGTGATATCGATGTGCTGCGTTACTGGTTGTACCTGCTGCAATGCAATTGGCTGAACCACTTGTGGATTGGGATTGCGGACACCAGTGGCATACTTGTATGGAGGCATTGCTCTCGGACCACCCACCGAAGGCCGCGCAGCCATTGCCTGGCCAGGGGCTAAACAAAATGAACCAAACATAATAAATGACACAAGGGTACAGTTAAAGATCTCCTCTTTTTCCCCATACAGTGCCAGTCTGGACGTTAGAGGTCTAGACAGGCACTGTATGGCTGTTGGATCAAAAGGTGTTTGAACACCACAGACAGGTTTTTTGTATCGTGTTGAAATCTTGTGTTGACCATCATAGAAGGAGTGAACTAATCGAGTGATGACGTCACCTACAGTGTTAGGGCCGATTAGGGCTAACTGGAGTAGGCTATTTGAGTTGGAATGTGGAGTCAAATGTATGCAAATTTGAGGATAGGAATGACCAAGCAACTATGAATCAATCAGGAGCAGCGCCGGTCTGTCTGTCTCCTTAGTTATAGCCGATTTCGGCTACAGAATAATCTGACAAAAGCAGTGTTCAAACCACAACCTTTAAAAATGGTGAGCAACCTCTCTGCATCTGAATCGAGAGATTCTTGAGTCTATAGAGGCTGTCTCACCTCCTGAATCTAAAGAGATAGTCTAACCTCGTGGGCCTTGTCCACTATTTCCAGGACTCATGTGCCGGAGGTTAGCTCTGGGGCCAGGCTGACGCAGTGAGTTTGGCATGCCTTGGAAACCACCTGTGAGTTAGATCGGAGTAAATTACAATCGATACAAAACTAAATCCAGCAGAAAAAAATGAAGACGTCAGCATTTTTTTTTTACCTCTACCCCCCTGCTGCTGCCACCGAGGATTAGGTCGCATTTGAGCCATCTGATTGGGTGCGTAGTAAGTGGTTCTATTCTGGGCCTGAGAAGAAGTTAGTAATCCAGATTCACATTTGTATAAACAACACTAAAAAGGATAGCTCATCAGCTGTCATCTCACCTGTGGCACAGCAGGCATGAAGTAGCCACTGGTGGGCTGGAACTGGTTAATGATGGCGTTCGCCGGCATGACCCTCATTCCAGCAATACGCTGCATGTACTGGTTAGTGAGATGGGCTTTGCGCTCTTCTTTACGCTGGGCCAGGGCCACATACAGAGGTTTAGTACCTACTATACGCCCATTCATTTCTGTCACAGCTTTAGTGGCTTCCTCCGGAGAGGAGAAGCAGACAAAGCCAAAGCCTTTTGAGCGACCCTCCTCGAGCATGACCTGCCAACAGAGACATGTAAGTGAATGTGCTCTGATACATGTGGGCTGATATTCAAGGCACTGTGTCAGACCTTAGCACTTGTAATAGATCCAAAAGGAGAAAACTCTTTACGGAGTTTTTCATCATCTATTGTGTCGTCCAGGTTTTTAATGTAAAGATTAACCCCCTGAAACAAAATCGTGGTAATGACTTATATTTTTCTATCACATTAGCGTCTGTAAAGCCATAGCAGACCTGATAGCGACTGATCCGTTCTTGCTTCAGCATCTCAAATTTCCTCTTCAGCTCCGCTTGCCTCTCCATCTTTTTCTGAGCGCGGCCCACGAACACAGTTTTGCCATTGAACTCAGTGCCATTCATTTCTTCAACAGCCTTTATAGTAGAAAATAGTTAAATATGTGAACCAATGAACTGAAGCTCAAATAAGAGAAAGTACCTTGTTGGCATCCTCGTGTTTCTCATAACTGACAAAGCCAAAGCCCCTGGATTTGCCTGATGGATCGGTCATTACTTTGACACTGAGTATTTTACCTACACAGGCATGGCCATTAATGAAGAGAATTACATTAAAATTAGATTTACCATGAAGATTTGTTTACCGTATTTATCAAACATCTCTTTCAGTCTGTCATCCTCCATGTCATCCCCAAAGTTTTTGATGTACACATTAGTAAACTCTTTGGCTTTGGCTCCAAGCTCAGCCTCTCGCTCTTTTCGTGATTTGAAACGTCCCACAAACCTGAATGAGGGTTAAGAGGGGTAAAATAATGCATTATAGTGCAGTTCAGACATTAATGTGTTTTTAAACAACTGGATAGACGACGAGTTGCAACCAGATTTCCAGGAACAAATGAGCGTCTAATGACATTCATCAAGGCGTTTCATTCTTATAGCAAAATACCAATCATTTTAGTTGCTGTGAATGCCACCAAAAGCAGGTAAATGTGCAGGCATGCTTGACACAAAACACCAGGACAACAATCAAACATCACGGCCCGAAACTTGATAAACAAAACTGTGTATAGTTTACGCAGGGGGGTGGATGACTTCACAGTACAAAAGGAGAGGCTAAGGAGGACCAGATGATCTTATATACCTTGCTATGTGGACCTGGTTCCCTCGGCCTTCTCGTTATGTATCCTGCCCTCGATCCATCACTAAAACAAACAATCTTGGTCACACACGCACTCACACACATGCAGGCACTTCAACACAAGTGGCAGAAAGTGGGAAATTGAGCAACAGAGAGTAGCTACTAGAGTAAGTCAGGGGTTATCCTCATGATTATGGACAGAGGTGAGCAGATTAAGAAGTTTTTCCACACACATACACCCAAATTAATTTCCACACCAAGCATAACAATATGACATAAAACATTGACAGTAACATACATGTACATTGTGCTAATGGATAAAACTGATATGGTAGTGTCAAATTGAAATGTATGAATTATCATGTATTTCAGCGTGAGAATAAATAACCAGACACTCACACCTTGCGGTCATTCAGAAGCATGCCATTCATCTTCTCAATGGCTCGGTCAGCTGCGTCTTGTGTCTCAAAGTGAACGAAAGCATAACCTTTGGACCCGTTCTCATCACACACCACCTAAGCACAAGAAGACAGGGAAATAATAGACTTATTTCAGAGGATGTTTGGGAATTTTTCATACAAGAAAAGTTACACATTTCCTGTTTTGTCTATATGCAATTTAATTAAAACATTAAACTGAATAATACGGAAATATGCAATAGAATACATCTAACAAGTTTCTGGCTCTCAAAACTATCACTAGTTTTCACATGTACAAATTTCACATCTTTAGATCAGAATCAGTGGACAGAAAAGTGAGAACCACTCTTGCTCAGCCAAGCAGGACTCAGCCCAAAGCGGCATAAAGTGACAAAAAGGGCTCTAACAAGACAAAAACAGCATGTTATGGTCTGATTTGTTCAAATTTTACAAGACTCTTAAAACGTTTGAATAAGTCAAACATAAAAAAGGAAAATCTAGTATCAATTATCTATTATCAAAACAATTGCAGCCCTATATAATGTTATGTTTATGTATGAATTGTTATGGCAATAGTCAGTATCTCATCTGAAATGGATACTTTTATTTATATTACGACTTAATGCATTATAATAAAATACACTGTGCATTTGGTGTACCTTGCAGGAAAGGATGTTCCCAAAAGCAGAGAAAGTGTCATACAGGGCTTTGTTGTCAATAGACTTGTCGAGGTTTTTGATAAACACGTTGCCCACTCCAGACTTCCTCAGGGAGGGGTCTCTCTGGGACCACATGATTCTGATCGGTTTTCCTTTGACAACATCAAAGTTCATTGTGTCCAGAGCCCTCTCAGCTGGTCAAGGAAAGGAGAGAAATGGGAGAAATATTAGGCATGAAATGCATGATATATCAGTTTATCAGTAATACATGACAGTATTATTTGTGTTTGATTTGAACAGAAATCGTCACTGTGTAGCAGAGAGTAAAGTCTGAAGGGAGCATGAGCAGAAGGCCATGTGGCTGATATGAGCAGCTGAGTGGGCAGCTGCTGAGGCCTGTGACCCAGACCCTAGGCTCTGACAAACGCATTTATCAACAAAATTCATTATTCATCCACACTTGGTCACAAAATACAACCTGAATAAAATATTTACCACTATACAACTCCAAAACATATGTACATTGCAACTGAAATTAAAATTCTAATTTAAGAATGAAAGCCTAACACTAATTACCCCATGAGTCCAAGGTGTCAAACTCCCCATTGTTCAGTGCATTCACTGTCAGGCACACAGCCGAGCTGTCCCGCTGAATGTGTCTGGTAAACAAAACAGTGTGTCTGCTGGTGTCAGCAGTTTGACCTGCAATTGTACTTTAGCAGCCATTTGCAGACAGAAGGTGGCTGATGATCACTGTTGAAACATTGGTGATTGTTTCAGAGTGAGAACAACTGCATTAATCTGACTGTTTACCACACACTAAAACTGAATGAATCAAGACATTATTGGCAGGCGCATGTCAGACTAAAAGATGTTCTAAAATTAGAAAGGGGTCCTGAGAGGTGTGCATGCAAAGAGGGTATTGCATTATCCACCATTGAAGGGTTAGAAACCAGAATACTCATGAGTAACACCAGACTTTGTGGCTGTTTATGCAACAAGGATAAAGGAATCTCATCCAACCATGTTCACTATCGCCTGCATTTACACTAAGCAACAGCCTACACTGAGGTCCTGACAGAGCAGGTGTCCTTAAACATGCAGACACCACCATCCTAACAGCATAGGCCTTGAGTTTCCCTTCGTTGTACACTTTGGTTCAGATTTTGTACTGGGTTTAGCTGTGATGGATTGTGGCAGGTGGAAAGCAAAAACAAGAAGCAAAAAAGTCAGCTCCAAAGGGTCACCAGTGACCACCACAGCTGCTACAGGAGCTCACATGTTTAGATAGTGCTGTAAAGCTTAAAAGGCACAGGACAGATTGATAAGAAAAACAGCTGCTACAATGTGATATTATGTCTGTTGGTATTGTTATATATTACCTTCACATGACAGAGTAAAAAGAGTTGCACTTAAGTTTCTAAAGCGCACAATGGTCCATACCACAAATATACTTTTCAGGGATATTTGTAATGACTTTATGGTGTAATTTTCTCAGTTGTAGACACTGGCCATTTTTAGCAGTAAATTGGGTCACATTAGGTTAAAGGCAGGGAGGTTGGTAGAAGACCTAAATACATGCTGAAAGTGAGGATCTGGTGTACTTTCACTGATGTGGGATAGATACATTATTACCAGGCATTATACTCAATAGTTGAAACACTGTTGATAAAATAAGATACACTTTATTGATATAGTGTATTTAAAGGTGAGAGACTTCAGATTATGTGACTCCTTACCGTCAGCAGGCTGGGAGAAGTTGACATATGCATATCCCAGAGATCTGCGGGTGATCATGTCTCTGCAGACCCGAATGGAGAGCACTGGTCCCGCAGGGCTGAACTTCTCATACAGCATCGCCTCCGTGATGTCGGGGTGCAGGTCGCCAACGTAAAGAGAAGCCATTGGATAACTCCCCGTAGCTGTGTTCATACCTCAGAGGAATTTAATAGAAATGCCTGCTTGCGTTACAGACGCAAAGGGAAGCAGTACAGCAGCGTGGGTTGAGCGCGTCTCTCCGCCTATGGACTCGGCAGCCGCCTCGGGTCGATGTCAGCGCCTCAAAAGCCGAAGCGTCAAAATGACAATCCAACAACGGTTTCTTCAAGTGGCAAACTTCCACGGCGGGTTACGTTTACTATTTTTTTTTTCTAAAGAAATTTCACAATTTTGCTATTTTTAAAACGTTTTTGATATAGTGTTTCAAGTATATCGTCTTGTTTTTGTATGTAGATTTTTAAGAATTTTATGTTTTTTATATATTTTTTCTTTAAGTTTTTCAAGGCTCTGTGAGTTGAACACTCACGGTTGTTGTGGCTAGGGAAAGAGAGTGTGTGGGGAAAGCATGGGCTCTTTATACACGGTACGTAAGTACGGAGGAAATTGTGGCGAGGGTCAAACTTAAAGGGGACAAACATGAAAGCGCACACGTGTCCAGACCCGGGATCTACCGTAACCACAGCACCTCTCAGCGACATCAGCACAGAATGCAGAGGCTTTGACAGCTTTATTTGAATATTAATGAATGTAACCACCTCATTGGGCAGTCAAAAAAAACAATTGCTGTTCTTTCTGCGAGAGCAAACATGCACCTTTCAGATTTAACTTCTTTATCAAATGTAGAATGCCAGATACACGCACTATTGTCAGGTGCACTGTGCAGACTGTTGTGTCTATTCTCAAACAGTGCTTGGGGTAAGCAACTTGATTCCTTCCGGTGGTCTCATCTGCAGTTAAGTTGTTGGATAAACCCATAGACCTTTGAGTCTACAATTTCATCCTCTTTCTCTTCATTCAGTGTCGTCCCCACGGGTTTGACAGAATGGCGACATGCGCGCGCGGGGGGCGGGGCCTGGAGGTGTGCGCGCGGCAGGAAGAGCAGGGAGTCGCAGGCAGGTAGCTTTGACTGCAGCTCCTCGGAAGTCCTGTCAAAAATCACTCGAAATGACATTTACCAAAGCAACTGCACTGTAAAACCCGAGGACATCCTTCACCATGAACTATCTAGGTAAGTGCATGTTTGATTCTGTTCTGTTTATCGTTGTTTAAAGCGCATCATGTTGACTTTTCAAAGTTTTAGGCGTGGCTTCTGTTGTAAGTGGATAGCAGGGATCATACCATTGTCATAGCTGTCTTATTACATTTAAGTTAGCATCATGTCCTGTGTGCTGTTGGTTAAATGTGTGAAATGAAAAAGATTTGGAATGGTACTACTGCTGGATACTATTGTGATATGATTGTAAACAATACAGTGGAATCAGTTTGTACCTGCCTCTCGCCCACTGAGGTAATGTTTGTTCATTCCAACCAAAGCATTGTCCTGAAGTTTAGGCAGAGGTCATGTGTCCCACCTATAACTGACTGATCTAGCTCAGATTATGGCCCAGAGACTCCAGAAAAGCAGGTCTGCAGTTTCTGTATTATCCGCTCCTCTGCATGGGGTCATGGATAATTGTGGTTACTCATTTTCATGTTGTCATGGCACAGAAATTGCCTAACAAAATTCACTGATGGTTTTTAAATGAAAGGACTGCTCAACCAAAGAAAATCCTCATCATCTGTCCCATTTATTTATCCATTTCTGGGTGAGGGGCTGAGCAAGCTGCCACTGTCGCCCCTACTAATAAAATCCTCCTACTTTATACTTCATGAATAATTGTGTTTCATCTTTAGGAGTATGCTGCGCCAACCTGAAGGACAACAAAGCCCTGATGAAAATGGGTTTGGGGCTCGTACTTGTGGGCCACGTGAACTTCCTCCTCGGGGCATTGGTTCATGGAGCAGTGTTGAGGCACATTAACGTCCACCAGCAGGCGCGAGCCATGGTCTTTGAAATCTCCAATGTGATCGCAATAGTGGCCGGACTGTTTGTAAGAAGCTTTGTTTTCATTTTTTTATTCATTTCAAACATGCACAAGCAGTTATTCACAGGAAAATATGACAATAAGTGAAAACAAGAAAAAAATTGTGCATGGTCCCCTCCCCCCAATCAGACACACACTAGAATACAAAACAAATACAAAATTCATAACAGTCAACAACACACACACACACACTAGCACTTTTCAGACAGGATAGTAAGAAAGATCCTCACTATCGACTCCCAGTGCTCTTCGTTATACGTGTTCCTAATTATTAAATGTTCTGCAAATGTGTTCACAACATTTTACTCCCTGTTGGGACATACAAAATTGTAATGTAAAATTCAGGTAACTCAGCTTTAATATCAACACCAGTAGCTCACCTGCACCAGAAAAGTAGCACAGTCCATTTTTCATATATTTTGAAACGTGTCTTATAATGTGTTTGTTTGTGTATTTGTCGTCCTCAGGGAATTATTGAGGGAATAATAACCATTGTATTGTCCAAAAACAAGAGAAACACAATCCTGGTAAGTGCCTTTTTTCTCTGTGAGCAGGATCAGCTGAAAAGTCAACTCAAAAAACTCTATTGCTCTTGTTTATTGGCGGCTTGTATTGTACGGCTTCAGGGTCATCTACCCTCTGTCAGACCCAATAATACTGTCATGAGTTGATAATTACTACTACACCTACGAGGGTTTCCGAATGGATATGGAAGAATTTAAGATGTGTGTATGGTTTAATTTTTTTTAGTATGTTCTTTAATTAGATAGATAGATACGTCATTGATCCCCGCAGGAGAAATTCAGGTGCCCAATAGCAGCAAAAATAAAATGGATCATTCTACAGCTAACAATAGTAATAATAAGCAACAGCCCTTTTTAATGTATTATGCATTATGAACTAAACCTTTTGAGACTTGTTCTTGTTTTGAATTTGGTGATATGGTCAAAATAGATTAAAATAATCCCTTTTGATCAGTACATTTTTCGTCAATTTTTTGTAAATAACATCTGTATATTTCTATTGTTGACTAAACTAAATATGTTGACAGGAGCATTAGAACTATGTGTTTATACTATTTCTTCTGTTAGGGCAATATATTTTATAACTTTTGAAATGTATTTTGCTATAACTCACTGTCTATGTTTTTTTTTGTGATTTTCAGAAGTGGGTCCTATTGTTCCTCAGCTTTTTAGTTGGACTTCTGGCAATTGCTTCTGCCATTAGTTTGAGTGTCTCCATGGTACAGGCAATTATGAACAGAGGGAAGATCCTACTGACACATTGCCTACATGCTGATAAGAATGGGTCTTCAAGCATCACATATGAATGCCCTTTTGATCCCACCCGTATATACGTAAGTCATCATTATATTCTAAATTTCCTCGAATCTCGTACACGTTTTATATATTTTGGTATTTTTTCAGGCGACAACCCTCATTCTATGGTTGCCTTTAATTGTGATGTCAGTGGTGGAGACTGTCTTTGCCTTCCGATGCTTTGCCGTTTGTACGTCCTCTTTGTACCTGTGCCCGTGCAGGAGACGGCCGCTGATGGCGAAGAGGGTGAGCGGTTTTTTTGTGTTATGTCCAAAAGTTATGTCATGTTTTTATGTTTTTAGGGCTGTCAAAATTATCGAGTTAACGTTACTTATTTTTGTTTATTAATTGCGTAAAAAAATTAACGCGATTGACGCATGCCCATGCATCCCATAATAACACTCAGAATGCCGCGGACACATGCGTGTGTGAGATGGTGACAGAGCAGGTAGGCCCTCTGTGAATCCAAGTTTTAAAAGAATACACGCGTGACAATGGGGCACTTCCTGCATGATCTCTGCGAGCTGAGCTGCGGGTGCTCTGGACGGCAGTTCCTCCAGCGGCTGTGATCACGGCGAACGGCGCCGCCGTAACATGATCGTCTCCAATACCACGCACAGAACTATTCTCTGCTTGTAGTGTGCGTGTCTTTGCGTAACCAGTGCACATATTAAATACAACTAAATCAAAGCTGGGCTACCTAATTTTCCCTTCCACTACAGTTCATGTTGGTTGTTCCCAAAAGTAAAATGTTGTGAGCAAATCAAACAGATTTAAGGTTTGGAAATGTCCCTCATCTGTAACAAACAATAGTTTTGGTCTGAGTCTAAACAGAAAGACAGAATGTTAATAATGTTAATGCCATTTTATATGGATTTATTGTTATAATAAACAAATACAGTACATATGTACACCATGTTGTCATTTATCTTTCCATTCAATTAACCATTTACAGAAAAATATGGCATCATTTTGTTGATTTTTTGAAATGCGATTAATTACGATTAACTCGATTCAAAATGTTAATCGTTTGACAGCCCTAATAGTTTTCTCTTTAGTCCACTTGAATTCTTACTTTGTAACTTTTTTTTATCAAATGCAGGTTAGAATTCAACAAACGTTACAATCAGTAGAAGGTGAAGCGGATAACTCACCTGTGGAGCCTGAGGAAGAGTCTGAAGAAGAGCCTGAAGAGCGAGACGAGCTGCTGGAGGCTGGCACTGCGGTGGCTCAGAGTGACTGGCTCTGATTAAAAGTGTAAGCAGTGGTGGAAGGTCAACAAGTACTAAAGTATAAGTACTGTACCGGAGTATAGGGTTACAATATTAGAACTTTCCTTATTCCATACTTGCACATTACCCATAGCGGCAAGATGAGATAAGATAAAATTGATTGATCTCACGCTGGAAAAATGTACATGTCACATTTGGCCCGGATAGAATCACTCAGACTGTGCAAAAGACAGAAGTGTGCAACAAATAAATACACAATAAAAATATAGTCTGTACAGGATATAATTATGTACAGTAAAAAGTGGCAATAGCAGTGCAGGGTTTTTTCAGTCCTAGTGCATTAGTGACTTAATGCAGTCTGACAGCGGTGGGGATAAACCACATTCGAGCTATATTTTATTGATACCGAATTTCTCTTTTTAATCAAATTACATAGATGAAAAGAATATTACACAATAAATTACTTCAGGAAATCTTTAACAGCACTAAAGATGTGATATCTTTACTGAGCTGGTATTTCATTTCTTATACTGATGTACATTTTGACATAAATACTTAACAGCAAAAGGTATCAATCTTCTTCCACCACTATTTATATAAATGTCATTGTTACATCAGAACTGAGTCCTGAGCTTGCACTTGAAAGTCTTATATATTTGTGATTGTTTTGTGTGAGGTTTATTTTACAAAACATTGTGTGGATTGTCATTTGTATTGTTGTGTATATTTTTTAAGATGTAAAACAGCTGTTATGTGACTTTTAATACAATGACTAAAATGATTTCTAATAAGTTTTATTGGTGTTGACACATGTAACATTGTATTGGTAAGAAGTAGAAATATACAATTTACAAACTGACTTGCTTCCTATAAGACTCCTCAGTATAATGCAATTGAAAGATTTTCAATAACATTCATTGACAATATTGACTACTTTTTAACCAAAAGGTGCAAGTAAAAAAACACCACAATCAACAAAAAGGATTTACACTAAAATAAAGCATTGGTGTCCAACATGAGAACTGTCTTCACAGTCCGTGGAATGGGTTACCAAGTCTCGTGTTCAGACATGCTTTTAACTAAACTATATATTGACAAGGCACATTGACAAAAGCAGAAATAAAAAAAAAAGCAAACATCTATGATTTAAATAACTTAAATCTTTAGGATACGCAAAAATACATAAACACTAAGATTTATACAGTTGTTCCACAAAAGAAGGATATAAAAGTACAGAAAGTATACAAAAAACAAAACACATTTATCTGTGTCCAAAATGTCCTAAAGGAGTCTTACAAAATTGTACTGGGAATAAATTCCCGTCAAGTAAACTTAAGGTCAGTTCAATGCAATTCCAGCGCAGTTATGGTAAATGTAAAAGAAAGTTTTAAAACAAGTCCAAAAGGTGTTGGCACTGGACGCTACTCGACTTCAGGGTGTTTTTGACTCCTCTTTGGGCCTTCAGTAAAAAACAGAAACAATATTACAAACTTGTTTTGTTATTATTCACACAAGGTTCTCAAAATTGTTACTGACTTTGAAGTGTCCATCTTTTCATCCTCAGGCTCCTTCTCCTCCTCTTTCACTTCTGAGATAACAGAATACATTCATTAGCTCATTACACAATCATCTGCGAATGAATTAAAAAAAAATCTTACCTTCTGTTTCTTCCTGCCCCTTTTTCTCCTTCTCGTCTCCCTCCTTCTCGCCTTCAGTTTTTGGTCGCTTGGGTTTCTTGTAGCTTGCTACGTTTCTGCGGCCACCTTCGCCCTCGTCTTCGGAGTCGGAGAATTCTTCCTCACATGCTATCCTCTTGTCATGAGCACGGACTGCAAAAACATGGTGAATAAGCGCTTATCCACTTCTATAATATATTAGATGAAAAGATGTGCCTTGAAATAAAAACTCAAGTTATTACTAGATATGCGCTTGTTGGGGTCCTCTTCCTCTTCATCGCCACTGTCTTCTTGAACCGCATCTTCGGGAATGGCCTGCATCTGTACTCCCGGGGCGTGAGGTAACATGCGCAAGTTTTCAAACAAACGTTGCCTAAAAAATAAAACAACAATAACAACATCATATCTTTAGATGGACCAAAACTTAAACAGCATTTGGTACTAACTTGATCTTCTCCAAGTAATCATTAGTATTTTGGTTTGTCATGTTAGAGGGGCTGATGTGCAGCTTGAAGTCTGGCCCAAAGTACTCAAAGTAATCATTGTATGGGAGCTCTGCAAAAAATGCCAGTTCGAGTTATAGCAGTGTTCTCTCCGTTTTAGCAACTTGCAAGATGTGACCTGTCCGTCATCTTGTCTTACCATTAGGTATAGAAGCATCAAGAGCCACTGCGGTCTCGTACGTCCAGCAACGCGCCACATTTCGAATAGTGTAGCCACCTCCTCCCAGCATTAGCAATGGGAGGTTGAAACTTTTCATGTACTCCACACACTTGGCATGGCCTGAACACAGATCGTGCAAGATTAAATAAAAATATTAACCAAAATCAAAATGCATTGTGGACAATAACCCACCTTTAATGGTGAGGTTGAAGCATCCCAGTCTGTCTCCCGACAAAGAGTCAGCTCCGCACTGAAGAACCACTGCACTGGGTTGGTACATCTCCATCACCTTTGCCATAATCTGTAAACCAAAACTCCCCAGTTAGGAATCTGTATGTTAAAAACGAAGAGGGATTTTTTTTAACTTACTGGTTTGAAAATGGCCTCATAAGACTCGTCATCAATGCCATCGCGCAGTGGGTAATTGACTGCGTAGTATTTGCCTTTACCAGCACCAATGTCCTGCAGATAAACAGCATGAGTTACACATTGTTGAACAGTGATGAAATTAGTTCAGCGCTGTTTGGTGGTTGAGTTACATAATGCCAAGTTCCAAAAATTAAATCAAATGCTCACCCTGAGGTCTCCAGTGCCAGGAAAATACTCGCCATACTTGTGAAAGGACACAGTCATGACGCGATCTGTTGTGTAAAAGGCTTCTTCCACACCATCACCATGATGGATATCAATATCGATGTACAAAACTCTCTGATGGTATCTAAAAGCAATTTCATGTTAGAGAGAACAAAACATGTTTTTAATGCACAAAGTAGTTTTTCTTACTTCAATAACTCCAAAATGGCAAGGACAATGTCGTTGACGTAGCAGAACCCTGAGGCTTCAGACTTCTTGGCATGATGCAGTCCTCCGGCCCAGTTGATCGCTATATCCGTTTGCTGCTTGTTCAGTTTTACAGCACCAGCTAAATGTTAAGAAACTTTGTTATAGTCCTTGATTTACGTGTCATAAAGATCTTAACGAAAGTTACAACTCACCAACTGAACCGCCTCCTGAGAGCTGACAGAACTCAAACAAACCATCAAAGACTGGACAATCTTCGCCCACGTTGACTGAGGGAAAATACAATAATCCTCAAAACCAGTTCTGCTGTTCCAATGTACCGTTTTGTTTGAGTGAACTTACACCGCTGCATTTGTTTGCTGTACTCGGACATGTTGTCTGGGCGGATGGAGCGCAAAAATTTAATATAATCATCACTATGATACTTGGTCATTTCTTCTCCACTAGCTTTGTGTGGACGCTAAGAGAAAGAAAGGGTTACACGTTATTTCATGAACACTGAATGGTATTTGTACTTGTACAAGTAAATATACTTACGTAGATTTCCATCTTCCTGTACAGGCCATAGTTCAGTAACAGGTTGTGGGTCATACGAATTCTGTGAGGTTTCATTGGATGCCCCTGGCCATAGTAGTAATTTCCAACATCACCTGAAAATACATTTGTAGCACAACAAAAGTTAATTACAAATAATTCATCCGTAGAGCTGCTTTCTCTGGACAAAGCTACTCCTGTAATCGGCCAAGGGGAGATTGTTTTGCATTCATTTTTATGTAATAATATCTATGCCATATTGTGATTATAGATCTCCAAACGGGGGTGGCCCTCCCCCAGACCAAGTATAAGCCAGGTTTATAGAAATGCATCTGACTCATAGTAATGATGCATTATTGTGTACATTTTCCGGTGCAATAAAGAATAACAAATAAAAACCTGGTTTAGCTTGAGTGGCCTAAGAACGTACGTTTAGCAACTTAAAAATATATTTATTAATTACAAATACACATATATTTACATAAAGTTGATCAAATCTCGTTAGTAAAACGTACGTATTGGATTGTTTACGCAACATTATCCCTAAACAGGAAGTTTGCGTGTATACATTTCAAAAGACGGTGTTAATCAGGTCAACATGCACCAAAGTGGATTCATACTAAAAACATTTCTCCACCAGCAGAAGTCTTTTATAACTCAATATTACTGTCTCTCCCATAGAACGGTAACCAAAACCTTCAGTTTGCTGTTGAAGAGCAAGAGCCGGGGAATGATGAGAGAAACGAGCTAGCCTGGTTAGCTAATGTGCAGGTTAGCAAAATACACAATAAACTTTACTATTTCATTGCACAATATACCACCTTCCGCTGCAGCGTGAGATTATTGCATACACATCGGCATACGCAAGTACCTACCGTCATAGTAGTAGCAAACTTTTTTCTTTGTTCCTTGCGAAGTAAGCGCCATTTTAGTCCCTATAGCAGCAGCTTCAGCGCAGCGTGTGAGACAACAGCGACCAGCAGCAGAGGTCTTCACTGTGCTGCGCGCCTTGGCCAGCAGGGGGCGCCACATTCACACTCTACATGGAAGCCCTGTCTGCAGGAGGACAGAGCAGAAATGTACTATCGCTGCACATCAGTAGATGCCTACAATTAGCTTCTAATTGATTGACTGCGGAACCTTCCGCAGTCAACCATTGGTTTTGTATTTCTTTATTCCGTCATTTTTTTTGACACGTTTCACAGCTTTCACATTTTCAACAATTTCCACAAGTTATACATCAAAACGTTCCACATGTTTGGGAGATTATTGCTATTACTTTTGGGACTTCAGCGATTTCCGGTTTTTCCGCAATCGGACAAAAATCTGCATTGAGAATTCTGCAATGCATTTTAATAGGCCCATGCATTTTAATAGGACTTCAGCTCTTTCAGACATTTCTACAGTTTCAATGATTCAACAGTTTCAAGGATTCAACAGTTTCAAGGATTTCAGCAGTTTCAAGATTTCAAGAGTTTCAAGGACTTCAACAGTTTCAAGGACTTCAGCAGTTTCAAGGACTTCAGCAGTTTCAAGGACTTCAGCAGTTTCAAGGACTTCAGTGTAATCATGCAACCTAATAGGGATTTTTCCATGTAAACCAGTATAATGCAACTTAATAGGGATTTTTCCATGTAAACCAGTATAATGCAACTTAATAGGGTTTTTTCATGTAAACCAGTATAATGCAACTTAATAGGGTTTTTTTTCATGTAAACCAGTATAATGCAACTTAATGGGGATTTTTCCATGTAAACCAGTATAATGCAACTTAATAGGGGTTTTTACATGTAAACCAGTATAATGCAACTTAATAGGGTTTTTTCCATGTAAACCAGTATAATGCAACTTAATAGGGTTTTTTCCATGTAAACCAGTACAATGCAACTTAATAGGGATTTTTCCATGTAAACCAGTATAATGCAACTTAATGGGGATTTTTCCATGTAAACCAGTATAATGCAACTTAATGGGGATTTTTCCATGTAAACCAGTATTATGCAACTTAATAGGGATTTTTCCATGTAAACCAGTATAATGCAACTTAATAGGGATTTTTCCATGTAAACCAGTATAATGCAACTTAATGGGGATTTTTCCATGTAAACCAGTATTATGCAACTTAATAGGGATTTTTCCATGTAAACCAGTATAATGCAACTTAATAGGGTTTTTTTCATGTAAACCAGTATAATGCAACTTAATAGGGTTTTTACATGTAAACCATATAATGGAACTTAATAGGGGTTTTTACATGTAAACCAGTATAATGGAACTTAATAGGGGTTTTTACATGTAAACCAGTATAATGCAACTTAATAAGGATTTTTACATGTAAACCACTATAATGTAACCTAATAGGGGTTTTTACATGTAAACCAGTATAAAGCAACTTAATAGGGATTTGTACATGTAAACCAGTATAATGCAACCTAATAGGGATTTTTCCATGTAAACCAGTATAATGCAACTTAATAGGGATTTTTCCATGTAAACCAGTATAATGCAACTTAATAGGGATTTTTCCATGTAAACCAGTATAATGCAACTTAATAGGGTTTTTTCATGTAAACCAGTATAATGCAACTTAATAGGGATTTTTCCATGTAAACCAGTATAATGCAACTTAATAGGGGTTTTTACATGTAAACCAGTATAATGCAACTTAATAGGGGTTTTTCCATGTAAACCAGTATAATGCAACTTAATAGGGTTTTTTTCATGTAAACCAGTATAATGCAACTTAATGGGGATTTTTCCATGTAAACCAGTATTATGCAACTTAATAGGGATTTTTCCATGTAAACCAGTATAATGCAACTTAATAGGGTTTTTTTCATGTTAACCAGTATAATGCAACTTAATAGGGTTTTTTTCATGTAAACCAGTATAATGCAACTTAATAGGGTTTTTTCATGTATAATGCAACCTAATAGGTTGCATTATACCACCAGACCAAGACCCAAACGAAGACTCAGACCACCACCAGATAATGACCACAGACCAGGTTTCCTTAGTTACAGGAACCAAATTGTTTCAGCGGTGAGGGGATTTTTCAGTTTCAAGGACACTTTCAATACATTCAGTAGTTTCAAGGATTTCAGCTGTTTAAGAATTTAACCAGTTTCAAGGATATCAGGAGGTTCAAGGATTTCAGGAGTTTCCACACTTTCAACAGTTTCCAGGTTTAAAAAAGTTTCAAGGATTTCAGGAGTTTCAATGTTTCAACAGTTTCAAGGATTTCAGGAGTTTAAAGGTTTCAACAATTTCAAGGACTTCAGGAGTTTCAAATATCTATCAAGTATTTTAACAGTTTCAAGGCTTTTTAAAGGATTTCAAGGATTTTTTTTAGCAGATTTCCACATTAGATCTGTTCCGCAGTCAATCGCAATGGCTTCAGCCATTGCAAGTTTCTAGTTAACTATTTACCATTTATTACAGCACTGCAATGAGATATCTAAAACTATCTATATATTTACAATGATAACACCCATGCATTTAATCCATTTTCAATTATTTAGCCTAATAATAATAATAATGCATCGGTTTTATATAGCGCTTTTCTGGACACTCAAAGACGCTTTACGTGTCATTATTCTTTCACTCCATACACGGTGGTGATAAACTACTACTGTAGCCACAGCTGCCCTGGGGCACACTAATAGCTACAATCTAATCTCTTTATAAATGCTTTTGGGTTCTATTTCAAAGGGGGTGAAGATCTATTAGTAAACTGATTACACAGTTTGGGGAACACGATACAGTTTTGGGAATTGGGTTTGATATCAGGCGTTTGTACTTGTACACGTCTCACAGTCATGTACAAAACTCATACAGTATATGTAGTGATTTTAGTCTGTTACATTTTTATGTAGTTTCCCCGGAACAGCACTGACTGGACACTGCATAAGGAGAATTTTGATTGAATAGTGCACAACTTTGTATAGAAAAACATTGCATTTTATTACCACAAGAACAATGAACTGTATAATTGTGAAAATAGTTTTTCAATTCAAGATGAAACAGTAATTTTATTCAGTCCTGTGAATTTGGACATAATTTGCTTTTCATAATTATTCAGTCTTTTCAGAATGTAGAAGTAAAAACGATGTCATGGTCTGATGTTCAAAGCCATGCTCCATTTCATGATGAAAATTACAAGTACAAGTCTGTAATGTTGGAGGCTACTCTTGATATTGTCTCTCTGTAGAAGTAAAAAAATCTTCTAAAACACTCCTCAGATATTCAAAAGTCGGTCGATCCTCCGGTGTTTCTTTCCAGCATAGGTGCATGACCTCGTAAAGGCTATTGGGGCATTCGTCTGGCTGTGGCATCCTGTATCCGTGTTCCAAGTTCTGGATGACTTCTGGGTTGGACATACCTATAAAGCAAGCAATGAGAAACAATTTATGCTAGGGTTGTTAACTGGAATGAATGATGAAAAATCATGTATGTTATTACCAGGGTAGGGAATGCGTCCATATGTCACAATTTCTGTTAGCAGGATCCCAAATGACCACACATCAGATTTAATAGTAAAAGTGCCATAATTGATGGATTCTGGAGCTGTCCACTTGATCGGAAACTTTGCGCCTATAGTAAATAAAATACAGAACTTGTGTGACTACATTCATCACATAGAGGTCACATATCACTGCTGTTGTTTTTACCCTCTTTGGCTGTGTATTCATTGTCTTCTATAAGTCTTGCAAGCCCAAAGTCAGCCACTTTGCAGATGAGCTCATGAGAAACCAGGATATTTGCAGCTCGCAGATCTCGATGGATGTAATTTTTCTGTTCAATGAAGGACATGCCATCTGCAACCTGTAGGGGGCACAATACGACTTGGTGGAAATAGTGTTTGGAAAAGTGCTGTGGATTGATGAGCACCTAAACTTGGGTGTTGCACTTCCATAGGTCAGACACTACTTTAATAATGTATACTCCACCCAGGTCTGTCTGCACCGTGTCCTGACTTAAAGCTGGGGTACCTAACCTTTAAATCACAAGACCATTAACAACGGAGAACAATCCATCTTTCCTGAATCCTTCCTAAAATGATTTATCACTTGTTCTCTTATGTGTCATTTGGGTTTTAGATCAGATTTTTGAAAGAGAAAAGTAAAATAGAGAGGGCTCTTTCTCACTCAGCCACAGCTCACTGACAAAGTAGCCAAATGGTGACTCATGGGAGTTTTTTCTTGCAAAAGATAGTTTGTAAAAGTTGTTTTCTACTATGATTACCGTTTATAGTATATTGGGATCTGATTAGTTCATAACATTTTAATTTTACTAACTGTTTTTTGTGTTATTTAAAATGCATTATTAGCATTTTAGTTTTTAAGGTTAGGCTCCCCAGCTTTAGAACTTGGTATACATATTATGTCTTTCTGTTTTATGTCAATATTTGATCCAAGAAAAGGCAGACTTCCTGGAATTTCAATGTGTTGCATGACAATATAAGGCTTTTGTTTGTGTCTGTGATTGCGTATCTAACATCTCAAGTTTATAGGTCAGTGCTTCATATTTCAAACTAAAGAATCTGCCATAGCCTTGTCACTGGCCTAAGGTCTTGTCAAAAGCTGGAAAAGTAACACCTCTTTACCAAGCAAGTCTTCTGAAAGGAGTTTTGGAACACGCACACTGGTGCCTTTTTGTTATAGACCACAGTTTTGACACCGGCTCTTGGCAGTGATGGAACGGTGTGAAGCCATCAAAAAAAAAAAAAAAATAAACACATCCAAAGGTTTAATTATTATATATTTTTTCTGCACACTGTAATATCAAAATAAAATCTACCAATATTGGTGAACAAAACTATCTATGTCAATTTTTATTATTTTTTGCAAGAAAGGACACAACTTTTGGACCACAGGCCACTTTTATATGTATATACTGTATATCTGCTGCTTTCTGGGCAAGCAAAAGATTTACATAACCAGAAATGACTGCGGATGTTTCACTCTTTCATCTTGCGGTTGCATTTTCCATTCACAGACTTGTAATGCATCTTGGTTAAGTGAATTCTAAACCTTTGCTCTGCCTCATTGCGTAGTTTTGGGTAAGGGTTTTATGCATAGACAAAGGTTCACAATCCAATGCTGAGAATCTGCTTTAGCGCGGAGCATGGGTAAAAAACAAAAGCAAGAAATTCAAATAAATAGTTTTACCTGAGATGCCATATCGATCAGAGTGCTCAATTTTAGGCTATTTCCTTCTGGTGTTTTCAAGAAATCCACAAGACTACCTGCAGCAAAATGACAAATAAAGAACAACATATTTTTAGAAACGGTAACGTCTTGATAAAATTGTGACCTTTATAAAAATAAACCAGGCTCATATCTAGGCCCGTCAAAGCGATGCATTATTTGGGACAGTGACATCTACTTCCTGCTTGAATTTGATATGTGAGGATATAAACAATACACTTGATGACACACAGCGTTAACCTTAGGACATATTTCATACTTGTCAGTGGCAGGAAAAAGGAGGCATTTCTGTTTTTTGTCCGGGTCACAAGGGGACACTGTGGGCACACCTGTTTTTTTGACATCTTTATTGTCCCCCGTACTCAACCGGACGCATAGAAAAGATGGGAACTCTAATCCTTTGTATTTGTGGACAACAGAGGTGGTTATTGTGTAGTGTCGATACACGTGGAGCCGCTGACAATGAGACAGCCTCACAGGACTGTCACTGGCCTCTCAGTGAGGACGAGACAAAGCACTATTCACTCTCGCTGCTATTGTCATGGTCTCTGTATGCGTTTTGGTTTGTTGACACACAGTGAAAGTTAAGTGTACTCTTTTAAATAGTTTAGGAAGGTTCATCTTGGCTTCTTAGTTCAATGAAGTTAGCTGGTATATCTTCTGTGCCTACATATCTATACCTGCTTCATCCAACAACCTTTTTGGAACTTAGTGTAAAGATATGTGACATTGTGATTGCAGGTTATACCTTCTATACCTACATACCTATACATCTTCTTTTTCACATACAAAACAACTAAATACACAAACATAAGTACAATAATAATAGACGGTAAAATATGCACAGTTATGCTTCTGAAATTCTAAAAATGAATTATCAAAATGAGAAGGGACATCAGTGCATTGAAAGCTAAATTAAATTGTTCTGAGATCTGTGTTGTGTTCGCAGTTCCTGTTGGATTAAATCACTATTTTGCAATAAGTCTTTTATAAATACCTTTCATGCTGCTCTATTTAACCTACATTTACAGTTGACCTTTGCAGTTACAGTTAACAGTTTTGAACCGAAAACTTTGACCTAAGCACAGAGGAAGCTCCCAGTAATATAAAAGAGAAAGTATTGTTGTCTACACAATTTGTTTTCTGCAATCCAATTGAACACAGATTTATTTTAGTATTTTTAAGGTCATTCTTACACATGTTTATGGTTGCAAATCAGGCTAAGAGTCACAGGGTTCCTAATAGTTCACTCCAAATCATGGCTTACAACATCAAAACATTTTTCTTTTCCTCACTGTGCAACAAAAAGGTCCTCTCATTTATCTCTTATCATATACAAAACAGGCTTATTGTCACACACAACATACGATCTCATAGGAACTCACATTACCACATGCTCTTTTTGAATGTAATCCTCAAAAGGGTTTGTATTTGCAGTAAAATACAATGCAAAAGTCCAGGATCAAAAGAGGTCCGAGTTTGTAGAATGAGTGCCTGGGGATCTTTGTAGTATAACTATGGGGTTTCTCAATATTTCAATCAGGGATCCCAACTGCTCAATACAAAATAACTGTAATTATATTTGTCTCAGTGCTATGTAATAATGAGATACAGCTAAAACATGTTAAAATGTATTGGGGCGTTTTGTGTCTGATATTGTAAAACAAGGTAAGAATCTTAGAGAATCTTGAAATGCTTAAAATCCTGTCATCCTCACTGGCTTGTGTTGATTTAATAATACTTTTCGCAGGTGACAGAGCACACACCCGTGGCTGTTGTACCGTATATTTGTGCAGCAGAGCGTGTGGTTGTCCTAAGAGCCGCTCGGAGTTGTGCAGTAACGTCACGCTGCTAAAGTAAATAAAGGAATCCTGGCAGTGAGGCCTTGTGTATACTGTAGGTGTAAATGTTCCGAGCGAGTTTTCATAGGCCAATATCTGTAATCGTGCTTTTGGAACACAGCCAGGTGCCATCATAATGAACAATACGCTTCTCTTTTTCACACTTCCCCTTAGTAAACACGAGTGGAGAGAGACAGTACATGTTTGCTTTGAGACCTTTCACAGCATCGTTCACGAAGCACGCATGGACAAAACTGAGAAGAGGAAATTCAGACAATCATAAAAATTTATGTTTTTATTCAGTGACTTAGTTGGAGCGTAAACAAACCCAATAGTAATGATACGGTACTTTTTTTAGGAGTAGAGTAACAAAAGTAAAAACATCCAAATACTCCAACAGTGACTGAATGATTTCATCTTTACTCTTTTTTTAAGCACTGTGGCTATTTTTGATTTTAATCCCATGTATGATTTGAATGAGGTTTTTAATTACTTAATGAAGTGGTATTTTTTATGTTATTAATATTTCTTGTGATCTTATATCCAGTGGGATTTTAACTTTATTTTTTTATGTTTGTCTTTTTCCTTCCTCTCAAGCCTGTATATACAGTCTAGTGGTTGGCTTTCAAATTGACAATATGGATTTGTTTTTTAAATGATTATTTTCATGATTCATTGAAATATTCCAGTTTTATTGATAACTTTGAATGTTTTACCAACCCACTTTAAATGAAAAGCTAAATGTAACCACTGAACATAGTATACGATTATGTCTCATTTTATGATCATTACTCAAGTATAATTGTTATGATTATATTGAAACTATAAAAATGTGTTAGATCTGTCTATGAGTTAGAAAATGTGCACTATTAGTTAGTTTGTTAGAAATGTTTATAAAGGCTTATCATTGATGTACTTCTGTGTTTTTGCTGCTGGACACACGAATATGTCTTATGGGGACATATCTATCAATCTATCTATCTATCTCTATATTTGAAGTCCAGAAAGCATAGCACTTCTCAAGCCCTGAGCCTTTTACATGCTTACGTCACCTTGACTCAAACACAAACAATAGCATGCAGCTGCGATGACTTATGACTTAAGCTTTATGATCAGCCCTATTCACGGTTCTTTGATATCCTTCTTGTGGAGCACCAGACCAGTCAAGGGAAAGGACACACCTTCTGTTGGTTTGTCACAAATTGGACATGTTTGATCCTGAAACTGTGTAACAATCCTGATAAAGGCGGCTCGTAGTATGGGCTTTGACACACACACACACACACCTGACACACAGTCTGATCATGTCAGGTGAGCAATTACACACATGTGACGCACTTCAGACAAGCTACGACAAATTGTGTTTAATAAGGCAGTGCACTGATAAAATGTTTTCTTTTTGACTCTCGGAAGCTAATGGAAAGTAATAAGTAGTAAGTTGTGGTTTGAACGTACCATTTTCCATAAACTCAGTGACGATGCAAATGGGCTCCTGGCTGACCACAGCGAAGAGGCGGACCAGGCGCTTGTGCTGCAGGTTCTTCATCATGTTGGCTTCAGCCAGGAAGGCCTCCACTGACATTGTGCCGATCTTAAGTTTCTTGATCGCAACTCTTCTCTCGTTTTGGTAGAGACCTAAGAATACAAATAGTAAAATATGTTTTGTGTGTTTATTTGTATAAATAAATAAATATATACATAGATGACTCTCGCCCCACTTATAGAGTTGTATTATTTTGAGCCTGCTGAGCAAAAAAGTTTGGGCACCCCTTCTTTAGATCAACTAAAGTTGCGCTGATCAAATGTTGTTGCTTTTTAAAAATGTGCATTAGAGTTGAAGACATGCCAACGTAAAAAGCTTTTTTTTTGTCACATCACAAATTTCTTTAACGATTTAACGTCTGTATTTTAGGTAAGATTTAAACATGACCAGTATCAGCCTCACAATTCCTGATCGCAGCACCTTTAAAATAAATGTTCTGAAACTCTGAAAAACAATGTAAATACTTGCAAAGTACCAAAAAGGTTTTACTGTTTCAAATATGTAGTTTAACATTTTGCAGTTGTAGCCCCACTTTTGGAATTGTGTGCTGTAGAGAAAGTGGATCTTGTGTGCCCCTGTTTGGATCTAGTGTGGTTTGTTTGGCATTTTAAGCTTGTGTTGGCAAATGAAGATGGAAAACAGGAGTGGAAAGTACCCCACTAATTGAGTAATAAGAGGGTTATGTTATGGAAGAGTTCACTTTATTCTCTTGTTGTGAGGCCCACTGGACATTTGTGCAAGTATTGACAATTTCTTTAGTCCGCAGGATTATTAGAAATGTGGACTCTCTGCTTTGTCAGTGTTGTGTAATGCAGCTAATGCCCTCACATCAGTCTGGAGTAAACGAGCTAAAGCAAGCCTGCAATTACGTTTGATTCAGGGAAACGTTTTCTTTCTGTTTGCTCAACAGAAAAGGCTGCATGTCAAAAAGCATGATGCTTTTTGACATGCAGGATGTCTATTCGGGATTATGCAACAAATAATCACATGCAAACGTTTTAAAGTATGATTACAACATGTATAGGCAGCAACATTCCAATGATAAAGACTAGAATTAGCCAAAAAGACGTTTGAGAAAATAATCTTCAAATAATGTTTACACTTCTTCCTATGTAGAACTACCTGTTACTGAAAGGTGTGTTAGCATATGTTATAAATCTTATCTCTCTCATGTTGACTAGCTGTCATGGTGTGGACTTGTTGACCATTTTGACCTGGTTTTATTTAGCTATAAATTTGTTCTCTTGAAGTTTGTGTTCTTCCTGTCTGTCCTGTTGAATGTTGCCCCGCCCTAATTTGATCCACCTGTGTGTCCCTGTGTGTATGTATTCCCAGTGCCCTTCCTTATTTGTTGTTCGTCTATTGTCTCTACCATGTTTGTCCTAGCCTGGCCTTAGCCATCCGTACACTCTGCTCAATCATCATTTCACTGCAATGTAACGTCTGAGTCTGTTCCCTGGGTTAGCGATTACAATCGGTTGAATTTCGACCGACCTACCAGCGAGCGCGGAAGGAGAGTGTTGTAGTTAGTTGTGGGTGACGTCAAGAGTTTGTGTCGAACGGGAAGGTTGTAGTTTGGCAATGGCGAAAATCGCGATCTGGTTCTATTACATACGTCACAGTAAACTCAGATCCACTTGTTTCAATATGCCAAAAGAGTTAACCCCTCCTATCTGTAAACGGAGCTCAATGGAGCACCTCCAGGCCTCAGTATGAAATGTAATTTGTACTACTATGGTGTGGTACGACCGGGGCTATGTTTGTCCTGTCTTGTTTTCAGCTCGGGAGTTTTTGTGTTTTGACATCACCTCAGATTTATTTTATTAAATTACACTTTAGTTTCAGTCTTGTATTTTGGGTTCCTTCTTCATGCACCACGCGACACTAGCAGGTGAAACCATGGGGGATCCTTCTCATTGCACAATAATGTTTTTTTTTTATTATTGTATTTGTTTATCCTAATTTGTGCAATAATGGATGAATGTAATGAGATTCATCCATACACGTCATACTCTGAGGAAAGCAAAACATCTCCAGAACCAGGTGTCACAGCCACTCAGGAATGTTATTGAGCAGGGTGCCCAAACGTATTCAATTAGCAGGCTATAAAGAGTAATGCAGTGCCAGGGGCCAAATCTAATTTGAATTTGGTATGAATGTTCAATGTTAAATTGTGCTTAATTATATTAACATCAAGAGAGTGATCAGAACCAAAATATTTGTTGTTGCACATTTTCTTCAAAATCTTCTGGCTTTTATATAATTCAATTCTGTTTTTTCTGTACTGATATTCTAAATGAATTACGATTAAATGGATTACTTAGTTAGGATCCAAATGTTCCACAAACAGACTTTATGTAATAGTTGCTCTGTAACAGAGACTCACCCATCCAAACTTCTCCAAACTGCCCAGCTCCAAGTTTGCGCTGCATTTTTAGAGTTTCTCTTGGGATCTCCCACTCATCCTGCCCCCAGGGCGTCTGTGGTGCCCTGGACTGGCACGCCTTCACCAGCTTTGTACACAGCCCCTCTGAAAACCCTGATTAGAAAGTGTGGTTATTGAAGGTTTAACAACAACACTCGGCCCTCCGCTGTAAACACACGTGAGTGGTGCTGCACCAGTTCTTTCAGAGAGCTGAAGGAAACCTTGGCTGAGATGTAATAGCCACCGTTGTCCAGTTTGCGGATTTTGTAGTGCTTGACTTCATCGCCTTTGTTTGGGTCAAAATCTCTGACAGATAAGGAGAAGGAACCTGCAATGAAAGATCAAAATAATTATGCAAATTAGATCAGCAAACAAACATAATCAACCCTTGTTTCAGGGTAACTTTTAGAAACTTGCAAAAATATAATCATGTGGCTAAAAAAGATGGAATACAACTTTTCATGAGGATTTTATTTATTGACTTGAACATGATCAGAAATGCAACCCGTGCCTCAGGTTGACTTTAGAGGGTGACTCTGCAGCTGAGCTTCACAATCTGTGCACGGGGCAAATATTAGTCATGCACTACACAAATATGGCCTGAATGGACGAGCGGCTGGAGGAGAAAGCTATTGTTGACAGAAAGTTATGATCCATATTTTAATAAAATAAGAACGTTTTCCTTTCTAGTAGAAGGTGCTTGGGTCAGATGAGACGGCAGTTTAGTAGCATCATGCTGGAGCAGTTTTAGGGGTAAACTTGCTGAGTCAACCAAACACTGAGGCTGGGGCAGACCTTCCAGCAGGAGAACGATCCTAAACAAAAAGCCTGAGCTCCAAATTGTTGTTTTGTAAACAAAAATGGTCAAAAGTTAAAGGTTTCAGTGTCTAGATGTGCACAGCTTGTATTAAAGTTATAAAAAGGTCCTGGGTTTGATTCTACCTCCAAGGCTCTAGTTTCTCTAGTTTCTCTACCATTAAAAACATGAACAATTGGTCTTTGCCTCTTGTGCAAGCTTTCACAAAGACTTAGTTCATGTTGTAGGAATACCTTTTGTTTAACTAAATGACAAGTTTTAATTTGCTTTCACTTCATATTTACTTTGTTGTAGCCTTAAAAAATACAAAAATCAAATCTATGTTAAAAGTTATGTTTTGACACAAGCATACAAAATGTTCAAAAGTTCAAGTTGTATTAGTGATTTGGCCACCCACTGTCCATAATGTATATGCTAGATCGTTAACACAGATTATTTTTCTCAGACTTATGCGTGCATGACCTCATCTTCATAATTACACATTACGTTGTGATTAAATGCACAAGGGATGGGCCGCATTCAAAGCAAGCATCCTTTTAACTCTGGCTCAAAGCTGCGCGTGTTGGCCTGGACTCGCTCGAACTTGCAGCTTATACCTGGGGTGGTCTCACTGTCGCGGATCAGAAAGGACCCCTGAGTGTTTCCAGGAGCCAGCAGGAGCCTCATCGCATCGTTTCGAGAAATATTCCTGAAGAACCACCTGACACAGTGTAAAAAAATCAACACAGCTTTAGTCTTCGATCTTGGAGTTGTGGTCGTGGGTGAAGTCTTTGCAAAGTCTATTTCCTGTGTGTATAAACTCACGGCTCTGTCTCCACTGTGTTTGTGGCTATAAAGTTGAACGGGATGTATCCAGTCTTCCCGCTGGTCAAAGATTCAGCTAAAAACCACTCCGGATCATCCCTTCACAGACATAACATCATATGAAATCTACAGTAAGAAAGCTCTAGATTGATATTTGTATTGTATTTGTGCCCAAAAATATAAAAATAGTTGTTACTTATTCAGAATTTTGAGTTTGTCTCCCTTCACAAAACCCAGGTCTCCCTCATGGGCAGGTTCGTAACTGTAAATAGCCACTACCAGATTGTCGGCTATGGCAATCACAAACAAAAGTAATAAGACAAGTAATTTGGTTTATTAGTAGATATCGTTCTTATTTAAGTAAACGTAATAAAGAATGTTTTTGCACCTGGCAACGGAGATGTAGGTGGCGACTGTGGTGAGGCGTGTGAGTGGTAGGGAATCCGATCATCTGTGTACTAATGAGAGAGCACAAGAGGGAACATTTTGAGATAATTTATTCTGAAATGGAAAATGTAGCGTTTGAAAAAGACTTGGGCACAACAGCTCTGATCCCGCTACGTAATCGGAACGTTAAAACACCTTTAAAACGTGAATGTGTTGGATGATTGTAATTCTGTGCGCACACTTACTGCGTTGCATGCTGAAGAAGGGATCTGACAGTTGCAGTGGTCACAGATCTCGTCTAAATTCTCCGTCCACTCGTTGTCTGAGTAATCCGAACTGCAGCTACAGCCCATCTTCAAAGAGAAATAGTTATTCAGCCGAAGATTTGTAAATTAGCTGGACTGAAAGCCGCTACTTGTTTCTAGTTCTTTGATCCCTGCGGCTTATTTAGAGATGCAGCTAATATCTGTATTTTTACCAGAGCAGAGTTTATTGTTTTATTATTTTGTCTCTTTCAAGTTTTAGAAGCTCTCAGACGCTGTTTTATTGTCAAAATAGATGCAGGTGAGTGAGTGCTGACAGGAAAGCTAACAGTTAAGCTGTGATCTGTGATCCTAGTGATCTGTGTCTGTAAAAAATATATATAGATTTCAAGAAAATCCACGATTGCTACCACCATATGAAGTCATAATATTCAATCTATGAGGGTACATTAAATTCCTGAAAGAAATTTGGGCTATTCTTATCATTTCTATAATTTACATAAAGCCTCTTTCTCTTTTCACTTTTATGTTATTAAGAAATTAAGATGTCAAAATTGAGCTTCTTAAGGAAAAACCTCTGGCGCCTAAAAGGTGAAATCCTGTTGTGAGCTGTTAAAACACTTGTCTGTTTGCTACATTACAACATGAAAACCTGCGGCTTATATTCCAGTGAGGCCTATATGTGGAAAACATAGATTTTTTTTTTGCTTTAGACTTTAGGAGATATTGCACAAAGACAGTATCTTATGTGCATGCCCTGACGAACACCTCTTGGTCGAAACGCGTAGGCAGTCCATTTCTATAAAGGACTTTTATATTTTCTCACTTTAACAGAGTGCCTCAGAACTCTTTTTTTGACCTTTTGATCACCACACTACAATCGAGTCCAAAATGTCCTGCATTGGCTCACATTGCCCTGTCTTTGAAGGGCACCTGTTTGTCAAGCCTTCCGCCCCTCTGCAGCACTCACCTTCGCTGCTTTGAAATTTTAACTAAATATTGCGTTGAGTTAATTTAAATTGAAGCTTGTGTGCAGTTGAGTGCTCATATTGTAAACTCAAATTGAACACATGTTTGTTTGTTAGTTTACACAGTTCATCAGAGCAAACTTCTCAGCCTCACACTCCTTTTGGACCACTCCAGGTCAGTGGGCTAATCAAAGACTGAGAACCGTGAGAAAAATCTGAAGTGGACTGACCCGACAGTAACAACCCTCCACCAAATTTCTGCCATGTTGAACAAATCACAAGAGGATTACTGGGCCACCACGTTTTTGTCATAATTAGCACTCCCATGTCTGCAGCTAGAACTCAAAAGTCACGCAAACAAAGTCAGATTTTTCCAGTCGGAGTCCTACGACATCCAGTGCTCTTAAAAACAAACACCGCCTCTAAAGTGCTGTGGGAAAAAAGCTTTAGCAATGTAACAGGAAGGCCCATGTGTTTTAATACTTAACTCAATTCATCACACATGAAACAAACATACATTTTAATCACATATAATACACCACATAATGTTTCTTTGTGCGTTATTAAGCCATATATCAAAGCAAGGCAACTGAATTTTCAAACTTAAAAAAATGTTGCTGCTATACAATCCATACAGTTCACTTTCCAAACAGTCTGGTTCTCTCTATATATGCAATTTTGACATGTTTTCGCCTCTGCTACATCTTTGAATAAGCTTTTACAGTTAGAAAAGTGAAAAAGAGAGGACAAAACTCACTCAGCCAATCAGTTAAAAGTCCAAGGAGCCATTACAGACTCACAGGGCACTTTCTTAAGTATGCAACATGTTTTCTACAAAGATAGAAGACTGCATGTTGTGGTTTTGTCTATACACAGCGTTATAACTTTAACTTTATTGGAAGAAGCAACATGTATTATTTATGAAAAACGTTAGGCAGGTTTTTTGTCTTATGAACAAAATATATATCATTTCCTACAGTTTTTCCAGTAGTATTATGGTCGCTTACCTTTGAAATGCTCCCCTAGGCCACTTTTTGCTTCACTATTTGGTTATAATGTCCTGTGAGTTTGCATGTGGGGAGCTTGGGTGTGGAGATGTCATACTCTGCTCCTCTTTTAACTCAGTGTGCTCATCACTGTAGGTGCACAGCAGAGCCCCAGTGCTTCCTGTCGTTGAAATGTTGAGGCTTTTGTTTCATGGTTCTACAGCTGCTCCTCATGCAGCTGTGCGCTTCTTCACATAGGACACGTTATCAGTTCTGTATGTCGAGGCGGTCAGGACAGCACTTTTTCCCAGTGTAGGAGTTTGCATGGTAAATTCCAAACCTCTGCAAGAGAGGTTATGGAAAGAGCTGAGTGGTAGTGGAGAATAGAAGAGAAGATGCTCTGTGAACACATGAATATATCAACATCTTTATTTTTGATCCGCAGAGGGTTAGGGTTAGAACATGCAAACTCCACTCAGAAAGGCCCTGGTCCACCCAGGACCTTCTTGCTGAGAGGCGAGAGTGCTATCCACTCAGCCACCGTGCCGCATCATGAAATAAGTACATTTGACTTTGAATTAACCAATTAATATCGACACATTTCTTATCATTAATTTCTTAAATCAAGATAATGTTTTTTTTTTTTTGCAGCGTTGTCATATTCAAACAATGTTTCCCTGGAAACGATCCACTAATAATGACGTGAAAAACACTGGTTTAAAAGAATACAAATAGCAACAAGTTTATTTTAATCTATTTGTGGTTTCCTCCCTGTGGCCTGCAGTGGTCGCCTGTAAATAGATACTGCTCTTGGTTTAAATATTTTACCAGACAGTAGAAACGAATGCAGCGTGAGCTTAAATCTATTGTTAAATTCTCGCTGTTTATAGCAAATTCTTCAGGCAGTTTATACCTGAGTTGAATCTTGCATGGACCACATTGTCTCACTTGTGGTAAAGGCTTCTGCTACATTCATGCAGACAGGAAATCAGTCTAAACATCACAGGAAATGCATCGACATGTACCAGTTTGCACGAGCACAGAACGTGTTGAAATGTGAAGAGAATGCTGTCAAGTATGTCTAAGCACATCAACTTATGCATTCACTTGTGCTATTTTCAGAAGGAATTCCTCTTTTCCTGTTGACCCTGGTTATGGATACTTCCTTAAGTGGTTGGAAATCATATTCTGTTACGCAATCACAATAAGATCCTATCAGCTGTTTGAAGATGCAGGTGCCTTGTTTCCCATTTCAGTGTATTGTGTTTTGCTTAACGTTTTGGTACTTCTTTTTCAGATTACAAAACATCAAATCAATCTAATTCATGCACGTCCTTTTTGGCCACTGTCACAGCTTTTTAACACCTTTTTCAGACAGAGAAGTGAAAGACAAAAGATCACACTCACTCAGCCGATAGCTTTTATCCCAAATAGTCAAATAGGATCTATATATTACTTATACTAGAATACACATACTTTACTTGCTTCTTATCTTGCCAAAGGTAGATATTTTCTACTTCTTTATTATGCTAAAGTCAGAGTTTTTTGTACTCATTATAGAGAGATTTTCTACTTGTTTCTTCTTCATGCTAGAGTTAGAGATTCACTATTTCATTGTATTTAGTATTTAGAGTTATTGTTCATTTATCTTGTGCTGTGTGATACTCATTCCTACTGTTATGTAACTGATGATGCAACACTGAAACGTCCCCAAAGTGGGACAGATAAAAGATCTCTTAATCTCACAATGCCCTTTCTCTTTCTCATAAGTATGCAGAAAAGTACGATATTATGTCACAAGATAAAGGCACATGTTCACAAAATGTTACTTTTACCGGACTCTTTCTCTTGGCACAATCCAAACATATTAGTGAAATGGTATAGAGCAGGTGTCTCCAACCTTTTTCATCCAGAGAGATACTTTCCCGGGATGATAAAGGCAGAGAGCTTCTCCTTTACGACGGCACTGGGATGTATTGGCCTGAGCAAGCCTAATATTGGGAACAGTCAGTATTCATCATCACGTATTTCTTTCTAGAGCACAAAGTTAGTGCATTTCTAATAATGAACAATGATTATGAAAAAAATAATCTGAAATATTAAGTGTATTATTTGATTCACACCTATACATTCTCTTTTAATGTTTGTCTACACTTTCGCTGCAATGATGTCACACATATCCTCCAGTGTGCTGTTTTATGATCGCTTGAATAGTGTGTTATGCTCTCATTTTTCACACTGCTGCTGAGGCCCTTTGCTTGTCTGACTAATTGTGTTCTGGTGCTGCTCCCCCGAGGGCCCCACTCGTATGTTCTGGCCCGAGGAAAAGGAAGACAGAGACATGGTTTCACATTGAGGGTAGATCATGATTCAATATGGACACATGATATGAGATGTGAATATAATTGTTTACATGACTTTTTTTGATTTACATATTACACATTAAATACAACATGGACATATTTTGTAAAGAAAAATAAAAATAAAAAACGCATCTGTGCAAACATGTGTATATTGACAATGCTATTATTTGCTGTGTTGGCCTTGAATTGAGTGTCAGAATCTCTTAAAATGGCTTGCATATTCATTTTAAAATTCATACAGAAGCATTGGTTATTGGCAGATCCATGCTCACCCTCTCCTTCTTACTGAATAGATATCAACTTCTCTCTCAAATTTCTTCTCCAAAAATTGTCTATTATCATTATGTATTCACGCATTCTTTACATTATAGTACTGTCATTTTTTATATGTTGCTCAGATCACATTAAATTATATATTATAGACATTTCTTCGCTGCTATGTCGGCATTATTGGTTAGGGTTTGTTAAAGTTTCATTTCGAGTAGGATTTGAAGTGGGGGGCCTTGAACACTGCCGCCTGTGTCCTGTCACTGCACTGACAAGGCGAGGTGTAAAAATGACCTCACATGCTTAGATTATGGATGCAGTGTGTTTTATGAAGGGAGAGACAAGTCATAAGATCACTGAGGAATGTTCCAGATTTTTTTTTTTTCTTAAACCATTTGGAAAACACCTGAAAAGTCTGAAGAAACCACTACCAGACTTCAATTATTGCACTTATGCTCATCGGGAATATAGGGATGCACTATTTTGCCATCTATTTCCTTTATTTCTGACTATTGCACATTGAAAAATTTAAATATCTGTGTTTAAAAAAAAGACTATTTTGGTTTCAATATGAGACTAATGAGCCCCCTGCCTGACAACAACAAAAATACAGTTTGGCTCCTCTCACTGTGCTGCCAAATGGAACATTTGAGAAATGTGTTGTTCCTTTGGCCATAAGACTGTACAGCAGATCTGTCTGAGCTACACATGTGTATTTCTTCAACGGGCGATCAAAATATCTACATACTACCAACAATTGTGATTTCTTTTTGATTGCGATCAATTGTGCAGCTCTAATTGGAACATTCCAGTCTGGTTTTATGTCGCTTTGTCTTCATATATTTATGTTGGAGGAGCATTTCTTTATCTCAGTGTGCACACAAAGCCTCTTAGGTTACGTGAATGCTCTTGGGACATTGCGCTTGTCAGTCTTTTTGCCAGACGAGCAGCTCTGGAAAAGCTGAAGCACACGGTTGGAGGATTAGCACAGGGAGAAACGCCTGGAGTTGATGTTCATCTTGGTGAGGCCAATGTGCTTGAGGGGGGTAGACAGGGCGAAGGCGGCCTTCATGGGGATGTCACACAGCAGGTCAGACTCCTCGCCGCACTCCTCCAGCTCAAGCGTGGCGTCCTCCAGCATCTCCTTGTGCCGCTTACACACCTGCTCCACTTTGAGGCGGTGGATCTCACTGCGCAGACCGATCAGCTGTCGGGCCAGGCGGTTGTCCTGCAGCTGCATCTCTCTCTGAGAACACAGAGGAGAAACAGTGTACTGTTTTGTCAATGTTTGTTTACGTTTGATTGGCCCTTGAGTTGTGTTCGGAGGATTTCATTCTGTTGAAATGAGTGTCAAATAACCCCAAACCATCTCGCACAAACGACACCATTTGACGGATCACATTACTACTGCTTTAAACTGTATTCACAGTGATTTTCTGCATTTCTATTTTATTTAACCTATATTGAACCAGGAAAGTCCCATTGAGATGAGAACCTCTTTTCAAGGGAGTCTTGGACATATACTGTACATATATGTTGGGGGTCACTGACTGGAAGGTTTGAGAACCTATATGTACATAAATAATAAAGCTAAGCTTTTATTGCATTTTTAAGGAAGCTAAAATGAATTAGGTGCCTTTAGTTAATTTGATATTTTGTTTATATTTTATTGATTTATTAGAAAACTACAGACACAATGATTTAGTCTGATTGACAACTCACCAGCTCTTTTCTCAAAAACTCCAAAGCATCATCAATTGTATCAAATCCACAAATGTTTCGCACAACTAGTTCTGAATTCTCATCTCTTAAAATTGTGGGCACAGACGGGACTTGTTCCTCCGAGCTATCAGCGGCTGAGCTGTCCTTCCATGGTCTGCTCTGTACGCGCTCCTGCCACTCCAGATAGGATGGTCTGCGAGTCTGCAACTTCAGCTTCTGAGTGAGAGCCTTTACGCTGTCCAAATCCTCTGGATCTCCCTCAGAGGAAGACGAATCTTCTTCGTTCTCTTTAGATCCCATTGCAGCTCAACACTTGTTCTCAATCACGTTGCTTTTTTGTTTGATAGTTTGAAGAATAACGCGCAACAGGTCCTTCCCTCCTTTGTGGGGCAGATAAGGAGCAGCGGCATTGGGCCATCCCACACGGGCTGGAGGAGGCTTGGCCTTTTGTAACAATCTGAGGATCCATAATCATTACTTGACGAAAGTATTCACTTTGCTATTATCACTTTTCACCGTAGATATAATGAAAAGAAAATTATTTTACGTGTTACACACATGCGCATATATATTCAGGCACAAATGTTCGCCAAATACCATGAAGAAATAAAGTGACAAATATTTTAGGACAAATACAATGTGAAAGATATTTATTACGGTAGAGCAGAGTTCTGTGAGCAGACAGTACGACAGTGGACATATCATGTGAATTTGCTGCCATCTGGTGGACATGTTGCATATGAACCACTATCGCGTCCCATCATTATCATGAAGCAAATTGCGCGAGTTTCTGAGAACTAGAGAAATGTCGCTCACAGGAAACGTGAACTTCCGTCTTTTGTTGCTCAGATTCTGTCAGTGACGAGCCCTACATCCACTAGCTCTGCATAGAGCAACTATTGAAGACCAAACAGGACCCTGTCGTAATTTTGGAACTCTCCCAAAGTTGCACTTTTATTTTCATTTTGACAACCAGATGCTGGTGTATATAAGGCTCCATCGACGATAAATCTCCCGGAGGAGTAGACCTTGATGCTGGAGGCTGATGGAGTTTTCGGAGCACATAAAAACAGCAAATGTGGAGGATGTGGTTCTGCGTCAGCCGCTGCAGCCTCCGCGCAGAGGAGCGCTCTGCATCACCGCGCACCACCTGCTCTTCTCGGACAGAGAGCAGAGCTGCAGCCCGCTCCTTCTGCTCCTCAGGAACATCGATGCAATAGAAAAGAGGTGAAAGAACTCCTTACACGTGTTGCACTTAAGCTATTGAAAAAGTAACTCCACGTGTCGTGTATCTTTTCACATGCATGACTCTCCTCCTTTTTCTTTAACCAGTGTGGAAAACATTTTGGGCTATTCCAGTCATTTTTCTTTTGCTGACCTCGGTGAAAGGTTTGAAATCAGCTTGTTTTTCTGCTTGGCACCTTTTCAATTGTGTGTGGCTTCACTGTTCAGAAAATTGGTCAACTCTTTGCTCAATGTGATGCTTGCCCCGTTGATACAGATTGCTGTTTTCTTAAGCTTTGCCACATTGATTTTCCCTGCCTACATTTGTGGAACATCTCACCCCTCTGAGCTGGTGTTGGTAAACCTTCAAGTAGGCCTAGCATCAGTGCTGTGCTGACAGACATGGGTAATGGAATTCACTTTTGTTTCATTTTCACTCTTTTGTAGGGGAGGCTCTTCAGGCACTATCACACTCAAATGCAAGGACCTGTGCGTGCTCCAGATTGACATCCCAGGCATGGAGCAGTGTCTCAACATTGCCCAGTCAATCGAGGTATGAATAAAGTCATGTTTTTGAGAATATAGTTTGCATATATGTGTCACTATAGCTTTCCTAATTGTCTTTCTCTGTTTTACCCTGTCAGACCCTGTCCAATCTTGACAGTGTGTCTGACATGTTTCCATTCTTTTATACACCTCCTGATCAGAGCTCGGACAGGCAGTGGGGACTTTCAACCCCTGAAAAATTCTTCAGAGCGAACAAAGAACTCGTAAGAAATCACATTGTTTTTATTTTCCGCGATGAAGTAAATGCAGTACAGTACACCAGCCTCCTGTCAGGAAAAAGACCAGGAAGCTGAATGAATGTGGGTGGTTATTTTAATGTCTCTGTTGGGATTTGTGTTGACTTTTCCATGACTTCAGTTTGACCTGATACAATTCCTCACAGAACAGAAAGCACAATAGAAGAGAACTGTTTTAATAATATGTTATATTTCATTTTTGTTCGTTTCAACAGATAAGCTTTTGTTGGATCAAGTTCAATGTCTAAAGTTTAGACTCTAAACCCCTCATTGCTAAAACCCCTACTCTCAGCCCTCCAAGAAAGAAAGTTAAATGTTGTGAACAAATCAGACCACAACATACGGTTTTTGACATGCAGAAAACCTTTTATCTTTTGTAAACCTTGTAAGAAAGACGAAAGAGTCCCATTTGGTCTGAGGGCTTATTGGCTGAGAGAGTTGTTTTTTCTACATGAAAAAGCTGATGCATGTGATAATATTGATTGAACCAAACTGCTCTATAGTGAGGAACTAGTTACAGTTACAGGTTTTCCAGTCATTCCTAATAATAAAAACAGGGATTAAACAAAATCTCTGTTGTTTAGGTTTCTCAATGGAGACTGAGTACTGTTAACAAAGATTATTCAGTTTGTCCTTCCTACCCGCCTTCGGTCATCGTGCCCAGAAGTATAGATGATGAAACACTTAAAAAAGTAGCTAAATTCAGACAAGGAGGTCGTTTCCCTGTTCTGTGCTACTATCATCGAAAAAATGGAATGGTGGGTGTTGAATTATTGAAGCCAACTTTTACCTAGTTATTCCATAGATTTTCATTGGACTTGTTTCATTGTAGGTTATAATGCACAGTAGTCAGCCTTTGACGGGGGCCACTAGGAAACGCTGTGGGGAAGATGAGTGTCTTCTGCAGGCTGTGATTGAAGATTCAGACAAAGGATACATCATCGACACCCGCTCCAGTCAGCAAGCTCAACAAGCACGGATGACAGGGGGGGGATTTGAACCTAAGTCATGTTATAGCAGCTGGAGGAGACTGCATAGACACATGGAGAAGTCAGTGCACCCAAATGCCTCATCAGCAGACATATCCTGGTCATCATTTTCTCAATAATGTTTTCTTGTTCCTTTTCAGGGGTAAAGCATTGCAAGAAAGTCTTATTAAAATGGTGGAGGCCTGTGGAGATGAATCACATAATATGGACCGTTGGCTGAGTAAACTTGAGAATTCAAAGTGGCTCTCACATGTCCAAACAGCTCTGTCCACTGCTGGTCTGGTAGCGGAGTGTGTTGAGAGGTACAGAATACTGTATTAAATATCCAAAAATTCAAATCCATTGTTAGTTCTATTGGTACTCGTTTTTGCTGTCTGGTCATTTATTGATAAGCCTCTACTATAAAATGAATCAGTAAAGTATTGTGATGTATCAACAGGGATGGCCATTCGGTTCTTATTCATGGGTCTGAAGGCAGAGATTCTTCTTTGCTCATCAGTACATTGGCCCAACTCATAATGGACCCAAGCTGTCGAAGTTTGGAGGGCTTCCTGTGTCTACTGGAGAGAGAATGGGTGCAGGTGGAAAATATTTTATAATTAATGATGAATGTACTTTTTGTTTGATAAAAGTTGCTTTCATGTCTGTTCTTGCTCTAAGGCTGGGCATCCTTTCCAACTGCGGTGCGCACACTCAGCATACTCACATGGCCGTCTGCAGCAGGAGGCTCCAGTCTTTCTGCTGCTGCTGGACTGTGTGTGGCAGCTGTGGAGACAGTTCCCCCTGGCACTGGGTTTCTCTGAGTGCCTGTTACTGAAACTTGCAACGGAGGCATATGCCTCTGACTATGGCACTTTCCTATGTAACAATGAACAGGAAAGGTTAGTCTATCTGATTGTTACAAAAAGATTCTTAGTTTTACTTTTTAAATGTCATTTTCAGGTCTACTCTTAGACTAAAGGAGAAGACCTACTGTTTATTCCAAGCTCTTTTAAATCCAATGGAGAGAGAGATTTATAGTAACCCCCTGTATGAGAGGACGGAATTGGCAATTTGGCCTTCAGTTCATCCACAGGCCTTACAGCTGTGGAGAGGTATTTCAACATATTCTCTCACTGAATTTTGAGAAATTCTCAAATATATTTTCAATTTTTGTAGGGTTTTTCTTAAGATGGACTTCACAGAATCGGCTTCTTGAAGATACTCAAGAGGAAATAAGAAACATGGCAAAGGAGTGGGAAAAGCTGTCAACAGTGTTGAATTCCCTCATGCTAATACAATGCTAATTATTTGTGAATTGATGTTATTTGTTTATTGGCGTTTTATTTTATTTTTTGTTACACAGTTAGCCCAACAAGGAGCCAATACACATAGGACTGGCCTGGACATTGGAGATGCAGGGTAGACTGTATGGAAAATGTTTTGTGTCATCACATTTGGAAATTAAAATGAGCTTGACTTTTTCCATTTGAAATTTTCACCCATGAAAAGCATGTTTGAACATTTTGTCTTTGCATTTCAGTCACAAATTTCAATGTGAATAAAATTTCAAAACAACATATTCGCCTTGAAAATGTTAAATATATATTTTTTCAAATTCAATACACTGTGAAATTTGATGAAAACAAAGACGGATCATTTGTTTTGTCAGATTTTTCATTTTAAATGGGCCTGAATTCCTCTATATCTATTATCAACAATCTATTATTCATCTTTATCATCTAATATTTTTGACTGCGTATTTCAATCACTGAAATTCCATATTGTTTTTAATTTTTTTAATATTATTAATTTTTTTCACATTTCAAAATCACCTTTGATGCTTGTAGTTTCCAGCACTTAAATTCAACAATAAATCCAACGTGAAAAAATGTGATGGTGAAAAAATTTGCACGACACATCCAGTGTTTTGTGGCACACTGTTTGCAATCGCAATGTCGTGGAATTGTGCAAATGAACGTTTCAATCAGGGCGACAGTAGCTCAGTTGGTAGAGCATTGGCCTTTGGGCCTGAAGGTCGTGGGTTCGAGCCCACCGTAAGACCTACTTCACGACTCTCACTGATGACTGCTGTCGTTGTGTCCTTGGGCAAGACACTTAACCCCACTTTGCCCAAAGCCCCAACTGAAAGATCTCAGCTCCTGTGGACTCACCACCTGCAGGAGGATCAGTGAGGGGCTGGTGCTAAGTGTACTGGGTGCAGCTCTGACTGCCACCCCCCAACCCAGAAATGGATTAAGGGGAAGAAAATGGATGGACGTTTCAATAATTTATTGGGAATTATCTTATTTTTTACGATACATAATATTTTGCCGGTTATGGTCAAGGAGGTTCCTGCATCACTGTGGACCATCACTGTGGACACTGTGTGTGCATCACTGTGGACTCTAACCATGAATCTATTCAGACCCATGTTTTTGGACCCGTGTTCAGATACCAAGTCAACCTGTGTCTAAACGTGAGGCGGGTTTGAAAGAGGTTAAGGAGTCTGCAGTCAATGAACTGTTGACAGCACCAGAGGAAAGTGTGTCTATGAACTACTTTGTGCTAGCGTGTCAGTGCCAACATTACCTATAGATAAATATGCAAAGATAATTCAACTGTTGTGAGGGTTCTTTTTACAGAACACATGGCTGGGTCGGAAAGGGCGTTTTCAGAAGTTTTTAATTAAAAACTCTCAGTATAAAAAACAGTGGGAAATTACAAAAAACGTTTTTAAATAAAATGTATCTGAACTCCAAAAGCTGTTTCCCTGTTTTCCTGAATGTATTAGGCTACTTCAGAATAGGAACTGAAAAAGAACCAGAACCAGTGCTGCCCAGTCCTATGGGGATCATTATTTTTCCCTCATTTCTTTTGCCCTATTACAAAATGAGTTGTTGAGCGACACACCTCCCAGTCTTGTTAAGCTCAGCTAAATACTATTCACAATACAAATCCTGTGCACAGCAAGTCTGTGTTTTCACACATAGAGCTGTGAACGGGACATCCTCGTACTATGAGCCATATGGGACATTACTTTACACAATGTTTTAGAATATAGAATCACCACAGTGAGCAGTTAGATTACTAATTCTTAGTATTCTTTGTATTTTAATCCGCATGTAAAAGGAATCGTTTTTTGTCATTTTGTTCAATTTTCTGGATACAAAGTACTGCCGTAGGAATATCACAGGTATGTTGAACTGTTCCAAAGAGGTCTTGGAGTCTTTTGTATTAATATTTGTATTCTTGCTTTTAGGTTTTGAAATTGAGATGCAAAGTTGTGTGCATGCATGTGTGTCCAACATCCTGGGACATGTGGTGGGTGGGCGATGCGCTGTCGTGAGGAAACAGTGTTCATCAAACTTCAGGTTCTTCAGGCAGTTGAGCAGCTGGAGTAAGCCGGACAACAACAGTGGCCCGCTGCCTCAGGAAAAACCCAGAGTCCTGATCACAGGTAATATACCTGACACACACATTTAATGTTTTGTTTTAATCTTTATGATATTCCATTGATATTCTAACAACAAGAGAAACAGCACCGCTACATATAGTTGCCACGTTCAGCCCTGATATAAAACGGCTAATGAATGAGACATGAATGCAGTGTTTTCACTTTCCCTAACCATTCTTTATTAGAAGAATGGTTAGGGAAAGTATTTACCAGTACTATGTTAAGTGGCAACTGCATGAGTGTGTGCTATTTTCTTCAAAAGGTATTCAAAATAATGCTTTACTCCTCAATGTTTATAACTTTGGTGTGTATTTGCAGGTGGTCTGGGACAGTTGGGCCTGGGGCTGGCAGAGATGCTGAGGTAACATAAATCTGTTATTATGTGGATGTTAAGCTCCAGACTAATCACTCCTCAAAACGTATTTCCAGAAAACAATATGGCACCGATAATGTAATTCTGTCCGATATTAAGAAGCCACCTCCACATGTATTTCGCAGCGGTATGGAAAGGTTTTAAAATAGCTGTTTAACATCGAATCCAACTTAACACCTTCACTGTATTATATAACAGGTCCATTTGTGTATGCTGATATTCTGGACTACAAGCACCTTCGAGAACTGATAATAAACAACCAGATCACTTGGCTGGTTCATTATAGTGCTCTGCTTAGTGCTGTGGGCGAGACAAATGTGGCATTGGCTCGTAAAATAAACATTACAGGTCAGTGAGAAACCCTTTGTATTTATATCGTACACTCTAACAATACGTCTGAACCCTGTGTAGGTCTTCACAATGTGTTGGACCTGGCTCTGGAGAACTGTCTTCGCCTCTTCGTTCCCAGCACCATAGGAGCATTTGGTCCTTCCTCACCCCGCGATCCAGTTCCTGACCTTTGTGTCCAAAGGCCTCGGACAATATATGGGGTTTCAAAAGTTCACGGAGAACTAATGGGAGAGGTTGTTCATTCTGCATTGTAATTGGCTTTTCCAGCCTTAACCAATTTCATGTATTTTTGCTTAGTATCTGCATCATAAACATGGGTTGGACTTTCGCTGCCTGCGGTATCCAGGTGTGATTTCTGTTAATACACCACCTGGTGGAGGAACAACAGGTAATTCTATTTTTGCAGTATTCCTTTTAAATAAAATGTAAAATGACCATAACCAAAGATATTACAAGGTCTGAAAAGTACTAATGTTTTTTTTCTGTAAATTGCAATTATATGGTTTGAAATTTCCAGTAATTATACTGCTGCAGCCCAATTTTTCTTGAACAAATCTGGACGGCACGGTCACATAGTGCTTGTGCATCACAACAAGAAGGTCCTTGTTCGACCCCTGGGTCAGATGGGCCCTTTTCGGTTTGCATGTTCTCCCTGTGTCTGCTCTGCTTTCCCTTACAACTAAAAACATGAGTCAGTGTTTGGGAGAAGGGATCTAGATTTCCCAACCTTGGGAAATTTAGATCTCTTCACCTGTTGTTCATTAATGGCCACTGTCCCATAGAAATAAAATAGAATAGATAGACGTATAAATAATACTTCACAGTACTCTATAGTTACTAATGAGTTTGAAGACTTTTAAGTCACACAATATCAATCAAAGTGTGTAAATCTGTATTTCACTTTCAAATGTCAATGGAATGGGGTTTTTTTTAAATATTTTTTTAGCAGCACTAACTGACATACTCCATGCTCATGTTGGTTGTATTTCCCATTACATAAAGAAATTGTTTTTTTAATGAAATCATGGAGCCACAGATTAAGATTTAAGTTTTTTGTTTCTAGATTATGCCGTTCAGATCTTTCATGATGCTCTCAGTACGGGTCATCATGAGTGTTACCTTCGTCCAGACACTCGTCTTCCCATGATGCACATCTCAGACTGTCATCGAGCGACAGTGGAGTTCATGCAGGCACCAGAGTGCCAGCTTTCTTTACGCACTTATAACATCGCAGCAATGAGCTTCACCCCAGAAGAAGTGGCACAGGAAATACGCAAACATCTACCACAACTCAAAGTCACCTACAGTCCTGATTCTGTTCGGCAGACAATTGGTATGCATCTGTTTATCATTATTTAAATCTACTTATTTCAAAAGGACCACTTTTTTACATTGCAGCTGACAGCTGGCCAGTTCGATTTGATGACTCAAATGCAAGGAGAGATTGGGGTTGGACATCATCTTTTGGACTAGAGGAGCTTGTGTCAGATATGCTACGTACAATTCGAAACAAAAGGACCACCGAAGATAATGTTATGAAATGTTATGAAAATGTTTAGTTGCTGATACCATACAGTAAATAAGTTTTGAAATTTGTCAGACAAAAGCCCACAAACTGTATAGCATTCATTATTAGGGAATTGTATAATTTCAATTGTCCTTATTTATTTGTAATTTTAAATTCCATAAAGATATAGTTTTTAAGTATTTTTTTCCCCAAAAGGATACAATAATACAGACCTATCCTTGCGAAAAAGAAAATACACTGACCTTTTATATTTGAATTTATAAATTACATTTTACTTATTTGAGTGTGATTTTTAAATTATCAATAACAAATTCATATTTACTTCAGCGTAACAGAATTGTGTTTGATTATTTTGTAGAATATGCTTATACATTTATCTGATTATCCTCCTGTTGTGTTATGATTGTCATAGCAATTTCAAAACACAAAATGTTGTTAACCAATACTGTACAGGGCGGCATGATTATCCCTATGAGCAAGTTAAAATGACAGAGGCTTTCTATAGTTGTTTAGTTTTATGATTATATGATTTTAATAAAGCATGAATATCTATAACATTTTGGCACCACAGGCTGTTTTCTTCATCGTCGTTAAATCCTATGCAGTTCGTGCTGTTGCCTATAGGGGGCGCACTGTCCAGCCTAGTTCTTCTGACCACCACACGTCTTTCAGCGCCGTCCCATATCGACATCTTCTGCAATGGACGCGGGGTTTTTCCGCGTAAGATTTTTATAACTTCTACTGTGTTAGATTCTGTCGTGTGTATTGCTTTGTCGTGTTGTGTTGATTTTCAGTTTATTCGCCATGTAGGTGCAGGCCATTTGGACTCTCGCTCAGACTGCTAACCTAGCTAGGTTATCTAATGAGGATGTAGAATCCTGCTGACGCTATTTCCATGATTTTATTTGAACTGTTTTTTAGATCTTAAACGGTAGTCTTCTGTGTGCTGTAAGCGGGAGTTTGTTCAATTGAGTTTGTTTTATTACAGTAGAGTGAGGTCCAGCGAACAAGCGAGTCAGGTTAGCATAGCATTGCTAACACGCACAGCCTGTTAGCAATGTGCTTAGCGTTACTGAAGATGGCGTCGGGGCGGTGCTTGCCTAATGTTTCAATGAACATTTGACAAGCGAGATATCACATGTCAAATTAAAGTAGCCATGATCTGTATCAATCTTAGGAGAAAAAAAAACATTGGACTGCATTTTGTTGGAAGTTAAAGGTGGTTTTCAGAATGTGGTCGCTCCCACATAACTCCATGTTAGGCTAGTGATAAAAGATAAACAGACTCAATCTTGCGATGTACTCTTTGACAGTTCAGTGCTGTTTTATTTATTGATTTTATAATATTTGTTGTGCATTGGGAATTTGATATTTGCTTCGTTCGATCTGATTTGGTCTGGTTGAAAATCTTATGATTTGTGACAACACTTCTTACTCGCCCTGCTTATTTGTTTTTATTTTGAAATGTACAAAAACGAACTTCAATTATCGTTATGTCTTTAATCCCGATTTTTCCCCACTGTGGGACGAGAATCTAAATCTTTATATAGGATATAAGGCAAAATAATGGCCAATGCGTGCACACACATCTAACCATTACTTGGGAGTTTTATTTGTACTTATATATATCACTTACAATGTATGAGGACTTTCTTGTTTACAACAATAATTTTGATGTATTTTCTTTCAGGGCACAAGTGCTGAGCAAGATAATCGTTTCAGCAACAAGCACAAAAAACTCCTGAAGCAGCTGAAATTTGCAGAATGTCTTGACAAGAAGGTACTATTCTTAGTTGTTCAGGATTATTTATCCCTCTGTTGTCAATTTAGAAAATGTGCATTTTAGTGATTGATTTTTCTTCATCAGGTGGATATGACCAAAGTGAACTTGGAAGTCGTCAAACCTTGGATTACACATCAAGTGACTGAAATACTGGGATTTGAAGATGATGTCGTCATTGAGTTTATTTTTAATCAACTCGAGGAGAAGGTAATGTCAAATTTCACTTTTCTTTTTGTTTTTGAAAGAACTGTTGTAGAAAAGAATGATTAGTCATTCCAAAATTGGCTATACAGATAATGCACATCCTACAAAGATTAAATTAGGAGACTTTTCAGTGGGTAAAACTATTACTTTAGTTGACATGTTTTTGTTATACAAAGTGCCTAAATGCAGCAGTCTTCTAATGATGATGTGATTTATGATTTAAAAGGCCTGAACCAATATGGATGTTATTCCTTGCTTCAGAAGTATAGCACCAACACCTAATTAGCTCTCTCCTGAGCCCAAAGTCTCTGAGCCCAACTCTCCCTTCATGATGCAGTGTGTGGTTTTGAGGTGAGTTGTGTATAGGGATTACCAGTACCATGTCAGTCAGACAGCCCATAATGTATTCATATTCCCTAAAATTTCATTGCATCAAGAAAAATCGTTTAGTGGGTTTAGCAAACAAATCAACAACTATAAAAGTAATGGAATCATAAAGCTAGGCTGAAAATCTTACTTTGATGTAATGTTATTTTAACCTGATTATGATCCTTCTGATATATTTTATGATACTAAACACAAGACAATAATATACATTGTGTTCATACTGTATTTTAACATTCAGCTTGGTTTTAAGTACAAATAAAGAGTGGGTGTAAAACTAACTATTCCAACAGATAGTGCGAACTTCAGTGGATTAGCGTTCCTGTGCCACATAAGCATAGGTTTGTTTATTATCTTCTTTTGAAATGGGCCCTTGGCAGTTGCCTATCGCTATTTTTATTTTTAGATGTTCCGAGCTACACTGGCAAGTAGTTTAAGTATTACTTTTGTGTGTTACTTATGTGTATTATAACAGTAACAGGTGTTGAAACAGTTAATAGGTTTTGTACTGTAGTGCACATGCAATAGAAGAAACTATGATTAGCATTTCAGTTGTTTTGACATCTTGTGTTACTGTTTACTCATTATTGCTTGTTCGTCTCTTGCAATTTAGATAAATGATATAACTGTAAGCTCATGGTGGTTGAGTCTCAAGCGATAGGGAAGCGGAAGCAAGCCAATGGAGCTCCATGCCCGCTGATCCCACGGGACTCACTGAAGACATCGGATCTGTACTTGCAGTGTTGGGTTTTAATGCACTCTGTATTGTGGCTATTTGTTTAACTGCTACAGTGTAGACTGTGGGGAGACTGGGTTATATGGGTGGGTAATAACTATAAATATGGGTTAATTTATTGGGTTGCTATTAGTACCAAAGCTCTGATAGACTACTTGTACTTTGTTTAATTAAATGTGTAACTGCATGCACTTTGTTACTAGTTTCAAATAGTCTCCCTACAGATAGCTCACATTATATTTTTGTTTGTGTTTTATTTTTTTCTTTAACATTTTAATTGAAAATATGTATTTACTTTAGGGTGGGGCAGAATAGTATATGGCTTTACATATGCAGACTTTATTCGATATTTAGTCAGGACATCATAGGGAGTCCTATAATGGACTCTACCCTTTCAAGCTATATTTCAGTTATTATAATCCTTGTATTTTTTTTCCTGTCCTCCATCTATATGTTACAGCACCCAGATGCCAAAATGATGCAGATCAACCTGACAGGGTTCCTGAATGGGAAGAATGCTCGAGAGTTTATGAAGGACTTGTGGCCTCTGCTGCTTAGTGCTCAAGAAAACATAGCTGGAATCCCTTCTGCTTTCCTAGAACAAAAGAAAGAAGAAATTAGACTAAGACAGGTAAAGCCAGCATTACATAATTATTGTGTATTTTTACTTTTAAATTTGGGTTTGATTTCTAGCTGGAACAGGAGAAGCTGTCTTCTCTTAAGAAGGGCGATGAAGACCGAAAAGAAAAAGACATTGCCCCGCCAAGGAGCCCAAGAAGGTAAAGGATAAAACACGGCCAGTGTTAATATAGCTCAGTCAAAACTGATCTTGTTTTATTTTAATTGGTTAGGAGAAAAACGAGGTCACCATCACCTCGACGAAGGTCTCCCGTGAAACGCGAGAGGAAACGCAGCCCGTCACGCTCACCAAGACCAAGACAGAGCCCGCCGCCTATGGTCGCCTCTCCTCCACCAATATCCACCACAGAACCTGAGCCAGAGCCAGACACATCTGGAGGTCTACCAGAACCAGTTGTTCAAGAAGCCTCTTCCACAAGGTTAGACAGAAGCAATCATTGAGTTGACACATTAATCCTAAAGGGCCGTGATTAATCATGTTTTCTTTCATAGTGATGTAGCCACAGAAGTAGTAAATGTTGAATCTGTGACTGAAGTTAAGGAACCGTCTCCAGAGAAGATTCAAAAGAAGGAAGAACGACCAAAGTCTCGTGAAAGAGAGAAGGATGGGAGGAGGGACAGACCACACCATCGTTCCCGCTCTCATTCTCGCACAAGGAGACGCCGCTCTCGTTCCAGGTATGTTCACTTGGCTTTGAATTAAAGGTGTCCTATGTAATTGTAAGTAAAGACTTTTAACTGCAATATACTTCTGCAGTGGGTTTTGATACAATTATATTGAAGAAGGCAACAGTAAACACTGTCATTTAATGCAGCAGATGTTGGCACATGTAATTCTAGACCTAAAAATGTCGGAACTATCGATAAAAGAACTGAAGGTATTGCTGTCTTATCAAATGCCATTCTTTTGCAGGTCCTTTTCTCCACGTAGAAGGCCAAGCCCCAGAAGAAGAATGTCTCCTCGTAGAAGAAGCCCCCCTAGACGGGGGCCCCCGAGCTCGAGGCACAGACGTAGACGTTCTCCTGTTCGAAGGTCTATATATTTTTTTTTATTTATTTTAGCAAGGACAATGCAGTCATACATTAAGATACAACTGATATACTGTATAGGTTTGCTAATTCTCAACTCCTGTCCTAGTTGAGCTATGCCTAAAAAAAGTGATACAACACAATCTCAATAGCATTTATAACAGTCTTCTTACTTGTAGACATTCCCACATACAAGCCATACAAGCACAGACGTACATTATGATCATGGCTCACTGTTTTTGTCCTGTAGGAGGCGCTCTCGATCTGCATCATCGTCTGGCAGCAGTTCATCTGGTTCCCCTAGAAAAGCAATCAGAAAAAGAATATCAACCTCACCGCCGCGAAAATTGATGAATCACCCGGGCAGATCTGCCAGTCCTGCTGGTAAAGGCCAAAGACCTTCCTCTCCAATGAGAAGACGGCTGCGTGGCTCCATGACTCCCCCCAGGTCCTCTGGTAAGATTTAGTCACACTGTTCTCTAGAGCTGAGAAATATAACAGATAAAAAGGACAATACTTTTTCTCTATTGATCTCCATTTTTGAGCAGAGAAAATGTGACGTTGTGGGCATTTTCCCTCTTGGTCCATACAGTGATTTGAACCAGGATCAGCATTCAGAAGCCATATGCTGCACCCATTGTACATGTTTGAGACTCAAAAATGAGATGTTGATGATTTACTCCTTTTTATTTCTGCAAAGCCCTTCCTATGTTCAACATGGCTTTTTTTGTTCAGGGTTCAAACCAGGAGCACGAAGCGATTCTCCATCTGATAATGTCAAGCACAGACCATCTGAACCTTCCGAATCAGGTAATTTCTTTTTATTATGGGTTGGAAAAAAGACATAGAAATTCAACTCTTCCATTTTCAGAGGACGATAAAAATGACAAGGGAGCAACCGCAGATTCAGTTCAACAGAGGCGACAGTATCGTAGACAGAATCGTCAGTCTTCCTCAGGTAAGCTTCAATGGGCTCGGTGCACAAGGTGTGTTTGCATTTGTGTCAGTACTCCTGTATCTTTCTGTGGCAAGTGAACAAATAATGACGTACTTTAATATCACAAAGAGTTTTAAGATACATTTTAGACTTAGATGGCAGCGGCAGTCGGGGACTTACGAGTCCAATAAATGATGGTGTAATAAAATTTAAAAATCACTAGGGCTGAAACAACTAATCGATTAATCGACGACTAATCGATTATTGAAATAGTCGACAACTATTTTAGTAATCGATTAATCGTTTTCTGGTTCACACGGACTCAAATGGAGCAAAAATGACATGAAAATGTAGTATTTTTGATTAAAACCGACTTTGTTTTTATAATTTCATGAATATCTGTCTCATCCAATCAGATAGCAGAATTAGCACAAAGAGCCTGTTACAAACATTTACTTTAAGTTTACGCCATCAAAACGTCCTCGAGTGTAGCCACTTTAGCTTTTTGTGATGAAAAAATACATTTTTTCTACACAATTCACAGCCAAGCGATTACTCGTAAAAATAATCGATAGATTAATCGATTACAAAATAATTGTTAGTTGCAGCTCTAAAAATCACTCAGATGTTTTTATTATTTAAGTATAAAATATTGACCTTTAAAAATGGTCTTGCACTTTAGATACAGGTTCATCGTCATCAGAAGATGAGAGTCCAAAGAGGCCCACTGCCAAACCTGCTGCTCGAAATGGAGATGTCAGAAAAAGACGAAGTCGTACACCTTCCCCACGAAGACGGCATCGTGATCCCTCACCAAGGTTTGTAAAAAGTAAATAAGACAATTATTGTATTTGTCAGCGTTATCAGTATTTCAATGTGTATCTTTAAAAACGTGTTTTGATAGAAAGAGGCAAAGTCAATCCCCCACTGGACGACGACGCCCGTCTCCACCCAGACGCCGCCGGTCACAGTCTCCGAGGCGAAGGTATTTTAACAAAATGTCTTTACAGATTATGGCTGTGTGGTGTGTAGATAAAATGTCACCAGAATGATGAGTGCATTTCTGATGGAATGCTGCCTTACTACAAATTGTAAAGTTTTGTCACTACTTTTCTAGGTCGCCATCTCCTCCTCAAAGAAGACGCTCTCCTTCCCCTCGACGTTACTCTCCTCCTATTCAGCGTCGCTATAGTCCATCACCTTTGCCCCCCCAAAAGAGAAAACTGTCTAGTTCTCCCAGGCGCCCTTCTCCTGGGGCCAAGCGCAGACCATCAAGGTCCCCTAAACGAAGGGGATCTCCAGCCCAAAGGCGGCGCACCCCTCCTTCATCCTCCTCTCCTCCCAGGCAAAGGAGGAGTCCAGCTCATCAGTCCAGTCGATCTAAAAAGGAGGGTCGTCCTTCTCCATCTCCAGCAAACCGTGGTCGCAATCCTCGCGGCTCTGCGAGTCCTCAAGCTCGTTTTGAATCCTCTCCATCCTATCGAAAGCGTAGATCTCCAAATAACAAAGCAATCCGAAGAGTGTCCCGAACGCCAGAACCACGCACGGGCTTGAGGTTTGTAGGATTTATATCAGCAACTACAGAATCTTCTTTTTTTACTTGTGTATATTTTGTCCCAACAGAGCTTCCATGAGCCCACAGCCTGGTAGAAGAGTATCTCCAAAGTCTCGGTCGGTCTCTCCACAAGCAACGGCTCCTAAACGACCTGCCCCCTTGTCTGCTTCCCCATCTCCCACTCGCTCTGCCAGTGCTTCTCCTCCTCCAGCTAAGAAGCCCAGCAGCGGCTCTGGAAGTCAATCGCCTAACAAGGTAAATAGTCATGGCAAGTTTAGTCTAAATGCTTCTTTTCAAACACCTTGTTTTTTATAATTACAGAATTCAGATGTGGAAGTTTCTGGGAAGAAGAAGAAAAAGAAGAAGGAGAAGAAACATAAGAAAGACAAGAAACACAAGAAGCACAAGAAGCATAAGAAGGAGAAAGCGACGGCTGCTGCAGTGGACGGACAAGAAAATCAAGGTGCAGAGGAGGAAGTCGATTCACGAAAGGTTAATTTTGTACTCGTAGGAACAACTTTCACATTGCAAAGTATGCTAAGTATGTTTGTTTTTGTGCTTTCAGGAATCGGAGAGTGAAGTAGAGGACTGCCTGGATGACTTGGAGAAACACTTAAGGGAGAAGGCCCTTAAGTCAATGAGGAAATCCCAACTTTCTCCACCCCAAACGTCCTGAAAATAGTTATCCACTTTGTGTGATTTGTCCTTAACCTCGTCTTTAGAATGTACAGATTTTGAGGTTTTCCTAATTTACGGTTTAGTCACAGGCTAATTGTGTTGTCATTATTACATTTAAGACCGTTACGTTTTTTAAAGCAGTTACATTGGGTATTGGTTTGAGTTTTTCAAAATCTACTATTTCAATCTGATAACATGCGTGATAAAAATGTGCATGAACGTTTCTCTATAACCCCATAATATGGCTCTCAGTGGTGCAGAATGCATTTTCATATTGTGGTCAGAGATGTTTAGCCTGCTGATGCCGACGTGATTCTGTTCAGTCACACGCAGTGGAATTTTTTTTTAGTTTTTATTGTTTAATTAAGTTGAGATGCATATGTGGCTCTCTAAGTACTACTATAATTTCTGTCAAGTACTTTGCTCTTGTCCTTTCTGAATTAAAAGCTTTTATAGAAATTGTTCATGGTGTGTTTATTTTTACTGGTGTAATCTGACTGATCCCAATTAAAATGCTGTCAATCTAAATGTTTTTTGGTGTTAAGAATTTAGCTTTTTGAGCTATGAAAACGGGTTACTAACGTTACAATACTACACACATTGCACCCAGTTAGAAAAGTTAAGCGCAAATATTGGATTTCCTGCACTTAAGACATGTTTAGGTATTGAATTGCTATAGCTTATTAAAATGATCAATGCTTTATTAAGCACTCAAGTTGCAAAGATAGATTAAAATGTGTAAAAGATAACGACTCGGCATTTGTGTTTTGTAAAATATAAATCAAGCCTTTTGTGACTGTCTTGTACTTTGTGCACTTGTATGTAATGTAATTTTATGACATGAAGATTTATTAATGCATGCCTTAACCTGTTTTTTTCCTTTAGTATTTTGCCTTAGCTCAAGGTGCAATTTGTGACTTCCTGTTACAATGGTAGTAAAAATAACTCTTTCTGATTTTGATCAACAACTAATCGAGTTATCAACCAATTTTCTATTTAAATTAATGGTTACTTAGAGCCCTAACTTGCTGAGTCCTCAAAAGCTTTCGTTGTTACAGCAAACATCCATAAAAATCCCTATTGGACATTGCGCATCTTTGAGAAGGAGGTTTCTCACATCCTCCTCCCACATTTCGTGTTCTTTGGCTCTGATGACATCACATCGCAGATATCCAGTCCTCTCCTCCGCTGGTGTCTGAGTCTGTCATGTCTTTGTGGCTCAAGTAAAGACTCAAGTTTAATACGAAGAAGCAGCAGTGTTTGCAGGACTGGCCCCGGGGTATTGCGTGGAGAAGAGCACAGAGCAGACCTGAGACTTCTTTGTTGCGGGAATATAGGGACCAAGAAAAGCTAGCGGGCGTGGTAGCAAGAAGAAGAAGTCATCTTTAGTTGGGGAAAAGTACAGACATCAGCAATAATGTCGCTTTCTGTGCCACAAAACGGAGTCAAAGGAGACAGTGAACCCGTTATTGAGCTCTTTGTGAAGGTAAGACGACATCAATAATCATACACTCAATAAGTTAAGAGATGTTGGTAAATATGTGTCTCTGGTTTTGCAACACTTCTCACATGTTTGTCCAGCAGAATGACCATGCTAGCTCTAGTTCCGTCCGCGTGCTCTGGCTTGGCACGCGAGCTACAACACAAGCGCCAAGATGAGGTGGCTGTTGTGGAAGAAAGTGGACGATTTCAGTCTCTTGGGCGATTTCTATGACCACAAAGTCACAGATTATAGACAATGTGTGCGATGTGGTGTTGGGTGGGATCGTGGGATGCAGCGATATTGCTTTTGCGTCTCCACCCCGAGGAGAAAGCGTGGGGATCAGGGGGAGAGGCTGCCATGCTTGTGGATATGACTGGGCGCTGTGTGAGGACAAAAGAAAACCCCTCTTTTGTTTGTATTATTACTAGAGTGGTTTAAACACTGTCATCTATATTCACCTTTTTAACAAAACCCTTGAAATGCAGGGATTTACGTGTATTTGTTCGATGGAATTAGTATTGAAGCATAACTATACCTGGGCGATTGACAATATTTACACCACTTACTGGTAATACATCAGCATGGAATTATCTGCAATGGGAGGATGCTGGTGATGGAAGGTTGTGAATGGCTGTTTCCATTTTTTTTAGCCTGTTACAAGGCGGGAAAGCACCTACTAGAAGGATAAAGGGGGAGTATCAGGCTGGGCTGCACAGGGGGATAGGGCAGTGGGAGGAGTGTAGGGGTCTTGAATTGGGTGAGCAATGTGCATTGTATGGATTGTGGCCCCTGGGTAAAACTGAACACGCCATAACCCAGTTGAGCAGTTCAGTGGAATATGCTGTTTTGCTTTGTCATATTTGTGAAGTTTGAATTGAATAACATTTCAGACGGGCAAAAGCTCCACTATTTAATTTTACTGCCAGAGTTGCATAATGTTGGTCCTTGAAAGTTTGCTCATCATGTGGCTTTTCTTTTCCTTCCCACCCCTCCCTAACAGAGCTGGTTACAGTGTGTTTTACTTGTACTTTAGACAGGAAAAATGACACAGCAGCGTATTGCCTTCCTGCTGCATCAGTCTCTTGTGACTCCTGTTGTTGTTTGCAACACATGCACATCCATTATTGATTGCCTTGTTCTTTGTGCCTGTATTAAACACAGTACAACCAGACAATGGCAGGCATGCGGGTTGCCATAGGCACTCTGCTGTGAGTGGGGCCTCTGGGAACAGCTGATAACAAACTGTGTGTTCCTTCTACAGTGCCATGTCAGATCTGTTAGGACACTGGCACATTCAAAGCGGTATAAAAATGACCAAGGACCACAGCAAATGGTCAAAGTTCACATGAGGGGAATAGGGATGGTTAGTTAAGTATTTATTGCACCTGTTATGTTTATGTCAACATCATCATATTGCTATAGGAACAACTTTATTGGTCAGCTCTGTGGGTGTGTATATTGGTCATCCTTCACATTTATTGCTGGCAGCTGCAAATGAGGCTGTTGTAGTGTCATTGTATGTGGGGAAACTTTGACCTCATCACATTACAGTGCAATGTAAGCCCTTTGACAAGTCTTTAGCTAAAATTATTGCATTACCATTAGTGTTTCAAACTCAAATGGTTAAATGGTCTTCAAATGCCCAAATTATGTCTTTGTACAAAAACAACTATTATCTAAGTAATGCCACAATTGATTGGATTATGTACTTTTCCTGTGAACCATTTTCCACCATGACGCAGGGATAGTAGTTTTAAAACCTGTGAGCTTTATCAGTTTTTGTGCCAAGGTCGCTTTGCTTGTGAAGCCTTCTGCTGCCTCCAGACATCATATGCTCACCAGCAGTTTAGTGCCAGTGACAATATGAAGGGTAGAACTTATTTCCTTAACAGTTGCATGTCCAGTATTCTTTTTTATTTTCTATAAAACTACAGATTGAGCTATACATTTTCTCTTAAGATAGGGCTGATGTATCTAATGAAACAAATACATCAATCATGTATAATACCGGCCCATTAGAGTTCAGTCTTATAAAATAACTTCTCAGTGTGTACATTGAGCTTATTGTTATCAGTTGTTGCATGTGACGATCAGCCTTGTGTCTTGTGATGTCCCAGTTTAAAGAAAGCAATGAAATTTATCTTTTTTATTAAAGTAGGTCATGTGTAACTAGTTCTTTTTAGTCGGTATAACTGTGTTCTTAACGTGACACGGTATTTCCTCTCTAAATAAATATTTTCCCCCTGAGGCTCTTTTGTACGTCGTCACAGTCAAGTGCTCTTATTTTTTTTGTTTTTTTTTTTTAACAGGAAAATCAATAGAGCGGTTCAGCTTGTGTTCAGCTTGTAGTCAGCACCATGAGGTTGGGGACAAAGATTAATAGCTTGTTTCTCTTGTACTTGCTTTGATGTTGTTGCAGATTTATGTTGTTTTTACCTGTAGAATTAGGATCAGAAGAATTTAAAAAGGCTTTTTACTTAAACTGTATTTGATAAAGGCTTCATGTCCGTAAAGAAAGTGTTTCAGGGGAATTTACAAGAAATACAAGAAAGATGCTTGAACAACCCATTGACCGAGAAGGAATTCCTTTTATTCTGTGATCTAGTCCGGACACAATTGAAACCTTCTTTTAAAACCACAATGCATCACGACACGAATGGGTTTGAAGTATAAAAAGTACAGTTCACCCGCGCTTTTTTAATTCATGATGATATAGATTTGTAGTTTCTTATTGAAGTTTCTTAATGATGTGAAACAAAAAGGTCACATTGATGATGCTTTAATTTGGATTATGAAAGAGTGATGTGGACAGTTGGAAGGAGGCAACCAGGTCAGCCAGGAGACCCTTGTGTGTACCTTGCATGTGTTTATCCTCATGGAGCAATATACTGTAGACCCTTTCCAACATAATTTAGTACAATTTTGTTTAGAAAAGTGGGCGTAACAACCCAAACTCTGACGACCAGGGCTTTTCTCGGCTCCATGTTTTGTGGCACTGTCATGATGCAGACTTTATAACCTTGACCTGCCTTATGCCCTTTTGAATCATTTCTCACTGAGCACTCCTTCACAATAAGTTTATGGTCTGACCCGTCCGAAGAGGGTCACTTGCTAAGTTGTTTTGACACTCTACTAGCCTATGTCGCTCATGGGAAATACCCTAAAGACTAAAGCACAAAATGAAATATCAAATGTTCTGTGTAATATAGGGATGTAAAAAACTATGCATTTTCATGACCGACCACCGAGCCTCATTAACCGGTTGAAACCGGTTAACCGCGTAGTTAAAAATATTCCACGTTCTTTGAAATAGCAGCCATTTCGAGCCGCGTACTTTTCATAAGTTTATCTATGCGTTCTACTAGATCAGAGCTGAGACAGCAGCGCCAAAACCCGCAACAGCTTCGGCACCTTTGTGCACAGAGAACTGCTTTTTTAATCTTCCCATTCTTCTGTGCTGCGGGTAAAGCATTTTTAAGCAAAAGACAGCTCGTCCACATGGTCAGGGCAGCGAGTGACGAGCCGCGTCTCGCAGGTCTCCGCTAAAGTTTAAAAGTGATGTGTGTGGATCTGATCTAATGACAAGGACCAGCAGCACAAACATGTTTCATGTGTTTGACTGAAGCCGCGTATTTGCGAGGATTCTTTGGGCTGCGAGACACAGAGGAGCGCGACAGCCCGGTATGTGTGTGTGTACAATACATGTGTGTATGTATGTGTGTGTGTGTACAATACATGTATGTGTGTGTGTGTAAATATAAGCTCCAATGTAGTTCTGACCTGCACTAGTGTGGAACTTTGACGGTAACAGAGGGGAGAGATGATGCGTGTGGATGTTACGTATGGAGGGGGGGAAAGTGTTTGTGTGTGTGTGTGCGCGCGCGTGTGGCTGCGTGCATATGTGGAGCGTGCGCCATGAAAGTCGCCCGTAGTCTACTAATGCATTGGCGCACACAGCTAGATAGGGACCCGCTCGTCACATCGTGCAAATAGGGCTTAAAATAGCGTTATGAAGAGACCTCCCCTCTCCGCTTTTTCTTATTTTTAACCGACAGCTTTGACCGGTTAACGCTGTGACGGTCAACCACCGGTTAACCGGTCACCGATTTACATCCCTAGTGTAATATGCTACATATCTTCTATGTTTTTCTAATTATTCTAGTACGTAGAATGTCAGCGATAAATTGATCTAAACAACCAAAAACTAACCTGCCTGTGTTCATAGGAGTCTCCAATCGGTTCGCACTCTTCTATGAAAATCCTGAGTTTGTGTAGGAGTATTCTTGTTAAATTAAGCTCCATAAGTTGTATACATTGTAAAGAGTGAGTTTTTGTGAATGATTCTGTACAGTTTGAGAAGTGGAGCAGACGGTCTGATGTAATGAGTTGAAACCGTGGGCGTTTATGTTTGGCGATGGTTTGTGCGGTCTGTGATGAGAGTAGGACTTTTACAGTTGAGAGGGTCTGATGCAGAGCACAGGACATGGAGCCCAAAACGACTCTTAAACCCTGTGTTTTTCACAAGGACGTGTGGATCTCTTCTTTGGTGAAGCGCCAGCACAGAAGCCCTGTGTGCAAGACTTTCCACAAGTGATGTCTGAGTCATGGTCAAAGTTTCAATTCCATGTCACCATTTTAAATAGGACTCCCTTCATAGCTTCCCACCCATATTATTGCTGACAGTCTTGTTGCTATAGTGTTGTAACTAACTAATCAGACAGATGTTTGTTTAGGCACATGTATAGTAATTAGGACTTTTTTGCTCGCACAGCTTAAAGTGGTGTTATTATTAATTAAAAGTACATTTGGTCATGATGTCTACAAGGTTTATTGATGTTTGGATTATCACCTGTACAAAATCAACAAATCACATAACTCTGGAAGTTCTCATCCAACTTGGCCACGATGGCGGCCAGAGTATTTAGCCACTCTGCTCCCAAACTCCGGAACACTGTACCGTAAACAACCTGCGACAGTTGGACTCTCTGGACATTTTCAAATCACATCTGAAATTGGCTTATTCTTTGTAATATTTTATTCTTTTCTGTTTTTAATATCATGTGTGATGTTTTTGATCTATTGTGTCTTGAAATGACGCAATGGGTTAAAATAAGATTTTCCGATCCACAAGCTGAAGGAGTTTCTCATTTGGGTTCTTAGTTTCTTAGATGAAATTCAGCATGTATTTTGTTATAAAAAAAAAAAAATCTTGTAAAAAAAAAAAAAAAAAAAATTTGGGAAAAAATAGCCCATTGGCTGCAATAATCAGTTTATCCCTACAATTATTTATAAAGTTGACTTAATCTTCTATTTTGGTCCGAATATCACTAAACAAAATCTACAAATTGAAAACTCCTTTAAAAAAAATATGTATGACTGAGTGGCACATCTCGAACACAAAGGCCAATAAGACGTCTGCTGTGACCTTGCTGAAATATCTGCTGAATGATGCACTGGCTGAAGGACGTACTGTTACTGTCTGAAGTGAATTTTCTGAGCGTGAGGTCTTTGTCCTCATTTCTCTGTGACCCCAGCGCAGACTTGGGAGGTTGCCATGACCATACCATTTCCATGGCGACCGTGTCGCAAACGAATGTTCACGCTGTGTGCTGCTTGAGGAAGGTTTTAGCTCCATCATCATCTCCTTATAAGGTCAAACGCCAAAGTGTTGCTGAAATGAGCTACGCTCCCCACCCAATTTAGAAAATGAAGTGTGTCGGGGAGGGGAAAAGTCACTATAATTAGAATATGAAGAGAGGAGCTGTAGCCACAATGAAATCGTTTGTATTTTGCACTAATACATTAGTGCACATGATTTCAACACAATTTTAAATGCCATACAGTTGAGAAAACTGAAAAACAATTTGCATCTTCATTAACTTAACTTCAGAATGCTATGACTTGAAATGCTATAACTTTAAACAGTACTTGAGTTTTACTTTGTAACTTACGAAATATGGAAAATTAAGGATGGTGCTTCTGTGGCTGCAATTAAGAAATTGTAAATACTGGAATATATAGTTTATAGTTCAGTTCATTGCAAACAAATAGGGGGCAACATTTCTCTTGATTTGACTTTATTTTGAAGATTTCTTTAGTTAAAGTATCTTTTTTTCTTGATTTTTCTTTTATGAAGTGTTTCTCAAGAGAGGTCTGACTAGAAGATCTGTTTTTCTATTTGATAATACCTTGTTGTATTATGGGCTAGAATAAACCATTTTCTGAAATGTGTGTAATGATCGCTGTGTGACTTTAAAGTATAAACAATCTCATTGCAATCACAATGTTGGTCAGAATTATCACAACGAGATGTAGATAAACATTTGTGAAGCCCCATCTTTGCTGGATGTAATCTTCCAGTCATTTGTGCAGAGTGACGATAGTGAGGAAGTCCATTGGGAAGTGATAAAGCCATGACCTCACCATGTTTCTTTTGGGCTGGGTCTGGTTGTCCTGACTCTCAGACACTCTCTGCCTGATAAAAGTCCGACCTGAGGCTGACTCACACAATCCACTGGGCAGTTGTGTGCGTTATGCTTCTGACTCACTCCAAACAAAGCTCAAGTCTGTGTTTGCAGGAGTCATTGCCTTCTTTGGAATCACACTAATATGGCTTTTGGCACATTGTAGCTGGAATATCTTTCTAAACATCTTCCTCGAGTGAATCACATTTGACAGAAGCTGCTCAAAAGTTGGAATATTATAGAGCATGTTTATGTCAAGTGATGTAAAAATGAGGCTACCAATATGTCAAAACCAAGAAAATTCAGCTTTGTAATCGGTCTGATCAATAAATTAAATTAATTTGATTAGTAGACCTTTTATGTAATTTGAAGATGTGAGATTTAACTTCATGGCCATAACGTCCCTTCAAAAAATATCTAATTTGTTCCTCTCAAAGCACTTTGGTTACATGTGCTTTTTGTCAAATAGTTACTCTCTGGGCTTTTATAAGTATGCAAACTATGCTTTCTGATAAGATGAGGACTGCATGTTGTGGTCTGATTAGTTCATAACATTTTACTTTTACAAGACTCTTTCTATCTGACAAACAATACGTGTTATACAGGAAACAAACGGTTAGCGACCCCAACTTTAATGTATATAGGGACAACTCTAATTGCAAACTAAACAAAGCTGTTGGTGGGAGTAACAGGACATTTCTGGAATAGTTTCTCCCTCCTCCCAAATGACCCCCCCCCCCCTGCTGTGGAGGCAAAGGGGCCCCGGATAAGGAGAGAGAAATAAAAGTTAGAAGGGGGAGCAGAAACATGCAGTGTGCCAAAAGTGCTCAGTCTTCACAGGACGCTGTCTCGACACTGCTCTTAAGATTCCTCCATTACATCTGCAGTCTTCGGTCGGGCCTACCTGATCTCTTATAATGGTTTCCTCTCCTGTGAAGCAGATCTACTTCAGCCAGCACTTAGGCAGAGCCGTTCAGTGCTGTGAGAGGCTGTTATACGAGCCAGGCTAATGAAACTGAGAATGAGGAAAAACAAAAGAGTTCTGTTAAAATGTGATGTACAATAAAGAACTTTTTGTACAATTTTTTTTTCAAACCAGCTGAGAATTGTTTCCCTCTTAAAAGTTTGTCTTCTGCTCTCTTCTCACTTCGTAAAATCATTGGATTTTCGCAACCATTATTTACACACTGAGCAACACAGGCTGGTGTATCAAATGTGTCCTGCCTCGTGATCATTTTTCTTGGATGTTTGAATATTCGGACCGCTATAGTATTCATTTTTACAGCGATAAAACCAAACTGCTTTCTAGCTCGTTGCTCGTGTGAACGTTATAAAACTACACAATGCTTTGTTGGACATTGCATACTGCAGAATGACAGAGTAACAAGCTGTTTAACAGTGTTTAAGCTGTTTAAGAGTGAAGCTCTTAACTTTGAAGTTTGGGCTTTTGCATACAATGCTCTCCTTTTTATAAAGTTGTCATTAATGTTTAAAATATTTACCTTTCTCAATGTGAATGATGATCTTGCCATAATTCATTTATAATGTTATTCCTTGGCTGTAGCACTGATGTCCAGTGTCAATGCCAATTTCAACACGTGTTGGAAAAACACGAAACGGCAGTGGAGGAAAAAGCCTTAAAATACATGTGACCCATTTCCATAGGAACAGTTGCTGTGTTGCTGCCACCGTTGATCCAATACTGAATGGGTCTCTGTAGGTGTGATGCTGTGGTCAAAATACAGCCAATGTGCCTTCTATTCTCCACACAAAGCAACAAAATGCTTTTAAGAACATTTCAGCTTTACAGAATTGGAATAATGTTCAAGCAAAATGAGTTTGTCATTGTTCACCCAGGGCCCTGATCTAATCCTATCTTTTCAGACAGAAACTGTAGCCTGAGCAGTGACAGGACATTCTCTGTACCACAACAGAACAATCCCACTGTGTTAAAGGGAGGAAGCTGCACCAGCTTGTTGACATCCACAATAAGGAATTTTCTTAATTATTGTAGGATTGTTATTTGTTAGAATATTTCAGATTTCAAACAACATTCAGGATGAGCACATTCAGCTGTTCACACCCCTCAGTGCAACTTGGAGGGGGGTTTTCTCTCCCAGTGTAGTTTTTAGTGGCAAACTGTTTACAACTCAAACAACTTCAGTCTAATGGTGCTTTCAGACCGGATCATGCGTTGCGTCGGCTTTCAATGCAAAGTCTATGGTGACGCGTGTTCGAGCGTCACAATGCACGAACATCTCGTGACGCACGAACGGGCCGCTCAGTAGAGACACACGGACTGCGCGGGGAAGTCGAAGGGGAGGAGCAGGAGCGGAAAGTCGACGCACACAAGGAGATAAACTTTGCTCAACCTTTCCTCGGGATGTTCGTGCAGCGACCAGAGAGCCGCAAAGTGATCACGGGACATTAGTGGTCTGAGCGAGCAGACTGAACATACTGTAAACAGCCAAAACAGGGGCTACATCAGGACTAAACCAGGGTTGACAATGGGGGACTGTGTGCTTGTGAAAATATGCGTTGTCATGCTCCCGTGACTGCTTCGAGCGTGTTCGCCGATGCGGAAGTACCGTTTAATAATAAAATAAACTTATTGCGCACCTCCGTGAACACATACTACTGTTATATAAAGTCTGTGGAAGGTCTCTGAATACAGACACCCTGCAGAGCTGCATTATTGGAGAAGAACTTTACACGAGAAGCCGCTAGCATAACTCTGTTAGCATGAGAGCCGGCCGGCTACTTCCGCCACTTCCGGCGCTGGTCAGGACGTTCTGGTGTGAAGACCCTGCGTCTGAAAACTAGAGAATGCGCGTCTGGTGAGCGGGGCTTCAGCGTTTGAGCGTTTGTGGTCTGAAAGCACCAAGCTGTGCCTTTAGACATGCGGATTTAGACATGGATTTGGAATATTGACGCAAAATCTAGTATATAGCGGGGCAAAAAACTATTCACTCAGCCACCAATTGTTCAAGTTCTCCCACTTAAAAATATTTATAAAATAAAATTGTATCCATATTTTCTAATAGAATGAGCCTATTCCATCAACACCCATCAAGGCATTATGAAATACAGTAATTACTAAAAATCTACCAAACCTGTTTTCATTAGTGGCTTTAAAAAAGCAAAAAGCAAGAAAACAATATCATTACTTTTAAATATGTGTCTTCCTCATGTTTGATATTTTTTTCGATGCGTGCTTACATTAACATGTTTCGTCGTCTTTGTGTTTCAGGCTGGGAGCGATGGAGAGAGCATTGGAAACTGTCCTTTCTCACAGCGACTTTTTATGATCTTGTGGCTCAAAGGAGTTGTTTTTAATGTCACCACTGTGGACCTCAAAAGGTGAGTGTTTTTTTTTTATACTGTAGTTTGACCCATGATTGCATGCTGTTCTGTGTGTCTTAAAATTCAGCAAAAACTGAACACTTTCAATGGGTATGTTTTTAATATTTGAGAATAATGGAGAAGATGAGTGGAGTAGTCACAAGTTCTTCAATCTATTGAGCGGCTGTACTGAAGTCTTGGAAGGTGTTTTTGCAGGATCTTGCTACAGAAGACGCACAAACACAAACCCGTAAAACATTTCGAAGATGTAGCAGTAACATATTTGAGATTATGTGTTATGTAGCCCATTTGGCCTCTAAAACCCATGGAATTCCATTTAATTGATTTTAAACTTATTTCTGTTGAAGATTGTGCTTTAGATTTTAGACCCAGAATGTTTTTTTATTTCTCTGACAGGTTTTCATGTGTATTTTTCCATTGGTTCTGAGATGTGTTGGTTACTCTGCTTTTGAAAAGGATTTTCTGTTTGTTCACACTTCTCATTCAGCACATGCTCATTTCTGTCTGTGTCAACTGCTGCGCACAGACAGCTGGAGTGAAATGTGCTGTGTGAAAATGTCTGACCGTGTTTAAGATCCCATGCTCTGTGTGATGGTCAAGGTACAAAGTGTTTTATATACATTTAATAATAAAGTGACTTTAAGGAACCCTATTAAAGTTGTTTGTTAGTACTAGTTAAAAAGCTGCCTATACAATTAAATCTAGATCACACTCCTGCTGCGTCCAAACCAGTTGGATTTTTATCAAAGAAACTGGCAACCTACATGAATGCTCATGTGGTGCTTTGTGACTCTGGTCTGTGAAAGGCGCTATATAAATAAAGATTACTTACTACTACTACTTACTTAATTCTGCTTTCTCATGGGATAATCTGCTTGAGATTCAAAATACATAATGAGATAATGTGGTCCAATTCTTTTGTAACAGACAAAATCTACAATACGGAACAATGCCAAAAATGTTTTGTACTTGTTGACCTTGTATCTCGAGATACAGATATCAGATGTAAAAATGAATTCCATCCATTATATATTGTCTCTTTTACTATTGTCACTACTTTGTCACTATTGTGTGATATGCAAATTGTAATATGTATGTGCTTTAATCGATCAGGAAACCCGCAGACCTTCAGAACCTTGCCCCTGGTACTCACCCACCTTTCATCACCTTTAATGGAGAGGTCAAAACAGATGTCAACAAAATTGAAGAGTTTCTGGAGGAAGTGCTGAGCCCCCCCAAGTAAGTGAAAAAAAATACAGTTTGGTATTAAACATAATTTTTGCTTATCGTTTCTTTCTGGTGGTCTTATCTTTTTTCTTTTATTTTTTTTTACAGATATGTCAAACTTGGGGCTCGGCACCCTGAGTCAAACACAGCTGGTATGGACATCTTTGCAAAGTTCTCTGCCTTTATCAAGAACTCAAAGCCAGATGCTAATGAAGGTATGTTGTCTTTGAACCCAGACCAGACAAGATCACTCATCCATAAATGTTGACATGGTGCAGGGGGTTGGATGTGTCATGGCTGACTCTGTTGAAAAAACATTATTCTCTTATTTTGATAAGCAGCTGTCTTATCAATCAGTGGAGCTGATAAACTTTAATGCACCTTAGTGGATAAATTAGTTGTAATCCATTAAGTCTAAAGCAGGGGTGCCCAACACGTTGATCGCGATGTTACGGTCGATTGCAAAGAGTTCACGCACTACCTTTACACATTAACACCACACACGCGCGCGCACGCACACGCAGAACAGTGTGCCATGAGCCATTGAGTCTGTGCACTTTTTTCATCTTCATCGCAGGTTACGCGCAGACAGTGTCTGTGTATCATGATGGAAGCCTGGATATTCATGTATGCAAATGTGACTGCTGCTCTGTGCGTTTGACAGCCCTTCCTTAAGAGAAAAAACGAAGGGCCTGTGTGTGTGTGTGTGTATGGTAACCCCCCCTACCATACACGCACTCGTAGCACTATCTGTTTTTCCTTTTTTAGCGTTTCTGACAAGAGCTCTAAGCAATTGAAAGTAACATTTACAACATGAGAAACTACTCACAAATAAACTGTACATTTACATTGAGAAACACTACATTCTACTGTACATTTTGTGGCAGATGTATGTGCACTTTTATAAGTAACTATAATTTAAGCCAGCAAAAGTATTTATTTCCTGCCAACAAGCAACATGGTCATTACTAGATCGTGGATCGCATTTGAATACATCTGTATCAAACCAAGACCTAATTTCACAGCAACCATTGAGCAGCTGGCCACCCCTTGTCTAAAGTATTGTTTTTCACTGTTAAGTCTAGAGAAGGGCTGCCCCCTTGTGGTTGTTTCACTACACTACAGTCTATGGCCAGTTCACAAAAACATTGATGGAATATTTAACTCACTGACTGCCAGGCATTTTCAGATTTGAGAAGTGCGTTCTGCCAGCAATTTCAGGTGATTTGACCCAACTTTGAAGTGCCACAAAATATTCATTTTTTAGACGATGTAAACACCAAGGGCACCAAATTAAAGATTAACCTCTCTGCTTTACTCTGAAAAAAACAGTTTGTTTCTACCTCTTACCGTTCTTGAGCTATTTGCCATAGAGCAAAGCATACTTTCACCCACAACACCTGGTCTGAGCAAGAAAACAGAGAAAAGGAGCTGTATGTAAACAGGAACATATCAAGCAGAAAAGTGACTTTTAGATGCATTTGTGCTGCTTTAGTGACCACTCAAAACATCTTCACACTTGTTCCATTACAAAAATTATAAAAACATGACTCTGAAATAATACTTTTGATGGCAAATTGTTGGCAATTTATTCACAGATAGAAATTTTAACTTTCGTCTATTCCATCAACCAAAACGTCAAACGACAACAACACAAAGATCAACTATAAATGTATAAAATAGAATGAAGCATGTGAATTTGAGTGTGTGTGTTTGAATGTCAGTGTGCGAGTGAGTGTCTGTGTGTGTGAGTGAGTGCGTGTGTGTCTGTGTGTGCGTGAGTGAGTGAGTGAGTGAGTGAGTGCGTGCAAGTGAGTGTGTGCGCGTGAGTGTTCGTTAGTGTGTGTATGAGTGAGTTTATCTGCTTTTTCAGTCCTCCCAGTAGTTCAGCTTTGAGTTGTAGAGGTTGAAACACTGTGTGCAACGGAACACGACACGCTGTGTACCATTTGTAGTTCTCCCTCCGTGAAGAAGAGCTCCAGAAAGTCTGGATCAGATGAATCCAGCTCCAGAAAGTCTGGATCAGATGAATCCAGCTCCAGAAAGTCAGCTGGATCAGATGAATCCAGCTTCGCAGCCTCTGTCCGCAGTCTCTGAGGTCCAGGAGCTCCTGTGAAGGGCAACTGACTCGGCTCCCACTCATCCTCCTGTCAGCCATCTTCCCCAGAGCTTCTGGGTGACGAACGTGCTGGAAATTGGATACACACAATAACTATATTATACAGTGAATTTGTTACAATAATCAATACATAAAATACAATGAAGGCCTTCCTCCCACATTATCGACTGACTACTTTTGGACCAAACACAGTATTATTATATTATACTATACTATATTATTATTATATTATATTGCCATGGGATGTACAAGAATAGAAATAGTAGTCCTTTTACCTTTTTTGTGCACAGTAACTGCCTCTCGATGCACCACCTGTAAATAATATAAATTTGTAAATCACTATACCAGGAGAATATATACAAAAGTACAATGGTATGAGGAGGAATTATCTTTACCTCTGCTCCTTGCCCTGTCAACCCCAATGGGGGAGGGCTCTTTTATCAGAATCTGTGAATGGAGAACACATTTCATTTAGTCAGAGCTATGTCACTGCAACAAGATGTTCAAGTATGAAATAACTAAACATAAAAATAATAAATACAACAATGATAAAACACATAACTGGCATTTACTAAAGAAACATTAGGATTTGAGCGCTGTGTTACTTTGCAGATCAGAGCAAGTTTCCGCGCCTTTCCCTCCTCTCAAGTTAGAATATTCTTGGCAATTTAGCAAGTTCTTACCTTCGACTCTTTGTGGAGCTTCTGGAGAGGATGCTCTGCTGGATTGAGACTGCAACCACTCATCCGATAAATCATGATCAGGTTCTCTGAACGAATCCGAGGCATCAGTAACAACAGCAGCTGATACGCTGCGAGAGGCGGAAGGTGTGTCCCTGCTCCGGGCTCTGGGCTGCAGAGACGGACCTCCACCGGGGTCTCGACTCTCTCCCCTCTCGACCTCACTCACTGATCCGCGAGTCAATCTCTGAAGCAGTGTCAACTGCTTATAACTATTCTTTTTCGCCATCACTCTTGCTATACTATCGCTAAACTAGATCGCTGATCCGTCTCAATGCTACAGCAGCACGCTCTCCAAACACTCCCACACTCCTCCTCCTTCTCTCCACTGACTTATGACCTCTCCTGTGGCACAATACTGCATCCTACTGGTGTTGATTTATCATTACAGGTACATTTGCACTATATATCAGTATTGTGGGTCATTCACAAGGTGCGCCAGACATTACTGTAGCCTCCCGTGTAATAACATAAAAAACTCGTCAAACTCGTCATGGGCAGTGAGCGTTACTATACAACATGACGAGTTTTGTCGTCATGGGCAGTGAATGAGTTAATGTTTTTAATATATATTTTTTTTATCAGGGTTGGAGCGTGGGCTGTTGAAGACACTACAGAAACTGGATGAGTATCTTCGTTACCCACTTCCTGATGAGATCGACCACAACAGTATTGAGGACATCAAAGTTTCTGATCGCAGGTTTTTGGATGGAGATGAAATGACGTTGGCTGACTGCAACCTATTGCCCAAGTTGCACATAGTAAAGGTTTGTTTGAATGAATTGTTTCTATATTTGTGTACTTTGCTTATAGGAAAAATGACATCGCATGTATTTCTGTTCTTCAGGTGGTGGCAAAGAAGTACAGAGGCTTTGACATCCCCAAAGACATGACGGCCATCTGGAAGTATCTGAACACTGCGTACACACGGGAAGAGTTCACTAATACTTGTCCGAGTGACAAAGAAATTGAAATAGCCTACGGTGATGTCGCAAAACGGCTGATCAAATAAGCAGTTTGACCTCCTCCGCTCACACCTGCTCTATACACTTCAAACCTTTTCCACCCAGGCTACAGGACTGTCAAAACCATGAACTCTTTCTCTGATTAAATTCTGAGCTGAGGTCCTTGAGCATGGTCATTTTTCTGTTTGGCTTTTATGAAGACATCTTTTGTTGATTTAGTTTTGTCATATATTGCATTTATTATATGAATGTTTAAAAACTCACTGATGGCCTGCATGTGTATGCGTTTTAGACATGCTTCTATAAGTGACCTTTAAGATGACCTCTTTTCTTAAAGGGGAATGATCAAGCTATGAGACGTTTGCCTGATTTTAATATGAACTCCGTCGTCATGTATCCCTATAAATCTCATTATTTTGTTGCGGTGAAAACAGTGTTGAAGCTTTTTGCTTCTATAGCTCAAGTATTGCACAGGGTTTCATATTTAGGCTTATAGCTAAACCAAACCTGTAAACATATCATTATCCAGTTAGTTTTTATTTATGACCAAATAAAATCCTTGCCTGGTAAGAATGGTATCCTTGTACGATCACCTTCTAAGATCCCATTCTTACAGGGTTGTCAAAACACTGTAGTTCCAATATTTGATAACGCTTCAAAATAGTTGTCAAAAATTAGTTTGAGAATTCACAGAGCTGGTTCTTTCAGTCACTTAACACTTCTAGCAGGCTCATTTGACTTTTGACCCAGTTCAGGTATCCAAATGCGCATTGTTCTAAAAGTAGCAGTGGATAAATCCACATTGCAAACCAAAAAGGGCACATTATTCTTCTCTTGTGGGCAGGATGACACTGACTGGAGAAGTCAAATGTACATTTCACTGTTTTGTGTCCACATTATTGGGAAAACGTAGACCATGAAAAGTGACACTAAAGATATTTATGTAGAGCTCATTGGTTTGTAGATTCTCGTTTAGATAGTGAATGTCTGGTATACGTATTACTGTAGCTCTGAAAGTGCTTTGGGTGATTTAATGCAAGTCTTTTGTCATAAAACACATTTGATATGAAAAAAGGAATTGTAAATATTTGCTGTAATGCTAAGATTCAGTTTGTAAAGTTTGATTATTTTGCTGGAAGTTTGAAAAGAAGGGCTGTTTTTTGCCTGCTTGGTTTTTAAATCGGGAAACCCAACAAGCTCCTTGCCTTATTTCTGTCTTCTGTGTCTTCACAGGAAACATTTTTCACATTTAATTGAAATAGGAGTATTTTGATAAAGATGTGTCCAAGCTATGTGTACCCTTTTATTTGAACATTTACTGCAAAAATAAACTTATGTGGCAATCAGAACCACTTTTATCTGTTTATATTTGTTCATTAAACCAATGCACATGAATTATGTCCCATGGTATTGATTTCATGTGTTGCAGCTGTCATGTTGGCTCACTGTTAATTCAGGTTTCATTGTCAAATGTGAGACGGAACAGAGACACATATTCACACGGCCATAAGACGTGTGTGGGAGTTTGAATGTTGAATACAGTCCAGATCATTAAAGTGTCACATTCCAGCCTCCCCAGACATTTGCCTGCATGGTTTACTGACTCCATGTTCACTTAGGCCCTGTGAGTTATATGCGGTTCTTACTGTTTGGCCTTCTGAGTTTCCTACCATCACCTCTACTCAACAGTCAAATAAATACTTTGTTAAAGCTGCTGTACCTAACTTTTATTTCAATTAACAATGCATTTGAATGTCCTGAGAAACCGTTTTGTTAAAGTAAATAGTAATCAAAAAGGAGTTTTGTGAATGTGCCTGTCACTATTTGATGCTTTGAGTTGAGTGCTAATTCGCTGAATGAGGGTGGTCCTTTAGTGATGGAAGCAATTTGTTTTGAGGAACTAGTCACGTGGATTATATGACATTGTTCAAATTTTGTGATTTGAAAAAAAAAAAAAACATCCCAATGCTCAGTAATAGATACTAAAAGGAGATATAAAGGCATCGCATCTATTTTTAAGAATATACATTTACGTCACACACATTTTACTCGGAAAAAAGGGGGGTACGGAGGGTGCAGAGGAGCCGAGCTGCCACTAGAGGGAGCGCGCGGACTAGCAGTAAGATAACACGTCCATGAGAGCAGTCGACCGGTTTGAGAGCGGCCTGAAGCAAAAGGTAGGCACCACACTTTTCACGTCGTTTACGAGCTTAAATATTCAAACCACCAATGAAATATTTGTTTGTTAATGTATTTCTGATATGTACGGTCGGTTTTCCTCGGACAGCTCGTGGCGCCAAGTTCAGTCAGACCAGATCCATGGACCAGATGCGCTCAGGTCACGTGCTGCAGCCTCAGGTTTGTTTCATTTTTTTTTTAGTTTAAAAAAAAAATCTTCATACAGGATTCAGTTATTTGACATACATACATAGATATACATTTCCTCTTCACCCATAGAGAACTGCAATGGAGTGGGAAGAGGTAAGACTTATGAACTCCCACCCCATCTATATACACGTTCGTTATTTATTTTAGCTACCTGGTCAGTAACTAACTAAAACATTTATTAATTATATTGTATAATCATTACAGTCCAACCTCATTCTCGCCACCATCATCATGTTTATGTTTGTCATTTTTGTCATGAAAATGTTATCATTATTATTATTATTCAGGTATAGTCACATTTGTTTCCTTCTTTGTGACAAAATGGACCACAGTAGCCAACTCGCATTAGCAGGTTTGGCGCCATCAGCTCCCACCGAACCTCAACGTGACCAGCGAACACCAAGAGCATCACACCATCAGGACAGAGGCCAAGACTCACACCAGCTCCTCCAACAGAGCCACTACACCATCACACACACATTTCCACACAGTACCATCAAAACCATGATTTTTTTCGTTCCCTATTTATTTATATTTATATATTTTTGGCTTTCTTTCTCCCCCAATTTATTTATGTATGTATTTTGCATTTTATATACAGCGCAAGTAGGTACTGTATATTCAATGGTGCCATACCTCACCAGAGGATCAGAGAGCTCCATTGCGACATCAGTCAATCTCCTCCACACCTCTAGTCCCCGCCATAGCTCCCACCCACCACGCCAATTCTGCCAACACGACAACTAGCACCGAACTAAGAGATCCTTTATATGTCCCACATTGGGGAAATTTCAGTGTTGCATCACAAGTTGCAGAACAGGAATGAGAGCACACAAATGAACAATAAATATACTTACTAAAATAAAACAAAATAAAAAGAAACATCAGAGAAACAACATGTTCTCTCTGTTAGTAAAGTAGGTTTCCTCCGAGTGCTCCGGTCCCACTAAAAACATGTATAGGTTTGAATGTAATGAGTGATTGAATGGAGGGTATTAATGTGTCAGTGTGTTCGGCGTCTCGCTTCCATCATCACTTTGTAAAGAAAATTATAATATTTGGAGCAAACTCAAGTGATGGTAATCTGATTTGTATGTTAAAGCAATAAGGATTTTTGGAGTCTGGTCTTCAAATGTATAAAATATATAAATGAATACAAGTTGTATAGAAAATGTTGATACTCATTTGAGCAAGTGTCAATACTAAGAGGTTTCAAGGACACAACTGGACATGAAAATTGTTCTGAATATTAATTATCATTTTAGAAATATATAATAAAAGTATTATGTTTACCTTTAGTTGTAAACTACTTCCTCCAAGTTATACTACAGGAAGAAGTTCCGATCACACACACCTCTAGACCCTTCAGGCGAGCAGTAATGGCGGCGGTGCCACCACGGCGGGTCATGACCGACTCACAGATAAAAAAGTCATCGTAGTGTTGTGGATCAGGTGTTCATTATTTGACATGATTATGACAAATTTGATTAGAATAAAAATTCATATTATTAATATTGATAAAAGGGTTTGTGATGTGATTATGTTGCATGAGGAAGTTAGTTTAGAGTTCAGTCTGCTCTGGAAGTAGTGAGGTGTGAGCAGAAAGGGAGACAAATCTAATTAATCTTTATAAGATAAGATAAGATAAACTTTTGATCTCACAATGGAGAAATACGAAATGTATGTTCTCGTTTGGGCTTAATCATAATCATAATCCTTTTTTATTGCAAGTGACAGGAAGTCACAGACCAGGACATTCTTTGGCTCTTGGTGCAAACAGTCAAAAATATATACTAAAATAAGGTATAATAAAAATCTACTGAGATTTATAAAATATGAACATTAAAATGCACAATGAAATGTTATTGTTCTGTTATCAGTGCTTTTAGACCAGCACAGGCAATAAGTACATTTCTGTAATTTTCTATAAACTGCATCCCCAATAGTGAAACATGCTTGATGAAAAGCAGCAGGTTGAAGGTTGCGCTTGAGTGTTTATTTAGGCCTCATTATTTGTGGTGACTGAGGGTTAGGGTTTCCCTCCCCGGGCTTTTTGTGGTGGCTTGTTGGGAAGATGGGAGACTCTGGTGGCCATGGGCTGCCCACAACCCGTGCCCATCTCCTTGTTTTCCATGCATTATAGCCATCAAGAGGACCCCCACGCGGCACAGCTGTGGTTAACCTTTTATTTACAGTCAATGCGAGAACAGGATCTTTGTGTTCTGCTATTCTCAACTTTAATCACTTGAGGGCACTCAGCTACAGCAAGTATGTGGCTGCCGTTCATGCTCATATGTCTCAATGCCTGGATTTGTGGTCTTATTATCCTTACACCGTCAGCACATTTGACAGGAAGTAACATAGGTGTGTAGAAGTAAGTGTGGTCATGAAGCTAATGTTGTTATGAAAGATGAAAAACAACAGACCCATAGTTATGAGATGTCACCAGTTACCACAGTAGTTAGTAACAAAAACAAGCTCTAAAGCAGTTTCAACTCAACACTAATGCAGGTGTACGTGTTTTAAAACTCCCCAGAGCAGCTTGACTTCTCTTTAAGCAAAGGTCTTGTCGTGCTGTAAACAATAGTTCCCATGCTGTGATGCCAAGTTGTGACTGCAGACTACACTTTGTGCCTTCAACCAGCTTTGGACCCGTTTT